ATTGGTTTCACTGTGATGTGTGTGTGTGTGTGTGTGTGTGTGTGTGTCTGCGTGTGTAAACAACTTTTTTACCAGAAAACTTGTTCCAATCAAAAACTTTATGAACATTTTCTTGAAGCATTTTTTTCTAGTATCGGTGAATTGAGGAGGTCCTGAATTTTCTTGTATTTCTCTTAATAAATGAGAAAAACAGGTATTCGTTTGTATAATTTTTGCCTTTACGAAATATCGTCTATTAGAAAATATTCACAATATTCTCGTATAAAAATAGTCATTGATCATTCAAACTTTTGCGGTCACCTGTTGAACGCAACCACGAGTTGATACGCGCGAACCCGCCAATCCGGTTTCATGTGTTTTTGTCGACATAACCGTATCGAGTACAAATCGGAACATTTTGCAACTATTTAAAACTCCGAACTATCGCTATGCCACCGGCCAACCACGGATCGTCGAAATCGATTATTTTGAAAATAATTCTAAAATCTGAAAAAAAAAACTCGAAATATCTCGTTAGTCCACCCAAAAACGACCTTCCTGAAATATGTATGAATTAGGTTTTTATTTTCGTCAACTTTTAGGTTGGTATCAATTTTCCATTCTATAACGGATCACTCTCCTTTTCTCTCAAGTTTTGACTTGTATCGTTTTTAATTTGTCGTACATATAAGAGGGTTACAAAATCACCCTGTAGTTTTCATCATGATATTATGCAGTTATTTAGTTCTAATCGTATCCATGAAAGTAGGTACATTTTTTAGAATCTGAGCGCAGCGAGAAGAGTATTGGTTTTCCTATGGTGTATGTGTTTTCAGGCTCTGAGCAAGAGGAATTTGGTTTTTTATAATGTGTAGGTTATTTTTCTGTTAAATAATTTTCTATCATCATGCTCCAGTCAAAAATGTACAAGGAAACTATTTTGTAGAATTTTGTATCTTGTTAGTGTATATTAGTCATTTTCCCTGTAGTTTGCCTAATAATTGGGAAAAACGGAAAAGTTTACAGCAATAAATGTTTCATTATTTTCAAATTAGTTTTTTTTTTTTCTAAATAATCATTGAGATCTGAAATGTCCATAGTTATATTGGCGTTTTCTAGATGTGATAGAACTTAAATCGTTTATTGGGGAGGGGTTCCACTTGTTATGTACAGAAAACAATATAATGATCGATATATATATATAATATTAAAACGTTAATTTTCTCGAATTAAAATTTAAAAAAACAAACGGACATACTTCAAGCGATGAATGGGCCACTGTTTTAGGTGAGAAGTGAGAAATTTAAATGTATATATCTGTACGCAACGATTAATCGTTACTAACGAAAAAAAAAATTTAAGCGAAGTTTGTTTATACATGTTTTGAAAAGCAGTAATATTTACAATTTTAAAATATTACATTTTGTAAATTTTCCCATTTCCCTACGTCTTGTCCTATTTACTATGAAAATCCCGAGGGAAAATCAAAAAATGACCTCGCTCCGCTCAGAATCTAAACTCTCTCTCTCTTTCTCTCTCCCTCTCTATTCTAGTCCTCAGATTTGTTTGCTATTTCGTTCCATCCGATTCTGTTGACCGTCATTCCTTTTTAATAGTAAACATACGAGTTGCGTCCTTCGCATGATTTCTAAGTAGTTTTTCCTTTCAACGCCCTCCTCCATAATCGATTTCAACATACAACGTCTTGGCTGATTATAATGTCAATCCAGTATTTATTTCGTCTTCTTCATTGTGTTACATACTCTCAGGCCAGCTTATTCTCAACGTCCACTGTAACACCTCGACAATACACTAACGTTAATTTAGTCAATACAAAATGTGACGTATTGTTTAATACGAGATTCGAATACTAAACGGAAATATGTTTTCAGGATTGCGCCGGAAGAACCGCTAGAATCGCAGGAACCGGTGCAGTGCGACGCGGACGAAGACGAATGTTCTGGGACCGCGGACTATTTCGAAGAGGAAGTGACGACGATCGGTGGACCCACCGAAGCGTCTGTGTCATCGGTGACGGCCGCGACGACAACGACGGCCGCAGCCACGACCACGACCACTACGACGACCACCACGGCCAGGGCGATCGTCTCGACAGGCCCGACAACGCAGCCGAACGCCAAGAAACAGTCCGCGCCGACAGTGACGATGACGAGCACGTCGAGACCCGTGGTGACACAGCAGCAGGCACAGGCCGTCTCGTATCCGACCAACTCGCCGGAAACGATAGCGGCCCTGATAGCACTGCACAACGCGTTCCAGGAGAGCCTCAAAGACCGGGAACAAGGGCCCGGGCCCAAAGGGCAACAGCCGCATAGGTACACGCAGCAGCCGCCGCTGCCGCAGCTGCAACAGCAACCTTCGCCTAAACCATTTACGGTGACCAATTTCCAACCCCCGAGGCACTTCCCGTCAAAGGCGCCTTCGCATCCACCGCCACTATCGCCGTACAGACACCACCAGCAGCAACTGCAGCAACAACATCAACAGCATCAGCAGCAGCAACATCAGCAGCAACAGCATCAGCAGCAACAGCATCAGCAGCAACAGCATCAGCAGCAGCAACATCAGCAGCAGCAACATCAGCAGCAGCAACTACAACAGCCGGTACTGCTGTCGTCCGAACGGTTCGGCAACCAAAACTTCCGTCACGGTTACCAGTTGTTGCAAAACGGGCCGTCACCCGAGAACGAGCAGCCTCCTCCGCCTCCACCGCCCGCACCGTCGTCGTACCAACAGCAGCAGTACAACGCGGACGTCGGTGTACAGTACGACGGCAATTACGACGACGACGGCGGCGCGTTAGGCGCGGCCGTCGGCTTAGGGATCGACGACGACGAATCGGACGTGGACGACGAAGAGTCGCAACGGAACTTTGCCCGCGAAGCCCCCGAAGCTTCGGTCTCGGTCCAGGTGCAGGTCAGTTCGTCGTCGTCCAAAAACAGTGCCATCAACCCCCAACAGCAGCAGCAAGTGTCGTCCACGACGGCCGCATCGACTACGACAACGACGACGACGCCGACAACGACGACGACGACGACGACGACGACGACGCCGACACCGACGACGACGATACCGGAGCCGCCGCCGCCGCCGGCTCTCGTCGTGGACGACGCCGACTCCGGGGACTTGTACGAGGACGAGTACGAAGAGCTGGAGGGCGACGAGGAGTTCTTCAAGGACGTGCCAAAAGTCGGAAGGAACAGGAGACGGAGACACGGAGACTTTGTCGTCGGCGGCGTTGGCCACGGCGATCGTGCAGACCGCGGACGATCGTAGCGTCGTCCTGCGGCCCGAAAAATGTTTTTGCTCAATCGTTTTTTGCGTGTCCGTTTTTCAGATATTCTTTTCGATCGCGACTACCCTATAAATATAATATTATATACTTACATATTATTATTATTATACGTATATATAAATATATACGCGAACACGGCCATTTTTCACAGTTTTTATTCCTTCCGTTGTATGAATTGTACTCCTCCCCGTCATTTATAATTGTATTTTTTCGTGCGGCCCCGGCCGCCTCTCCGTGCCTTAAAACGCGATATTTTTTTTTCCTCTTTATTAGTTTGTATTTTTTTTCTCTGTAAACTCCCTTTAATCGCTCATTTGCTGCGCTTGCAAACGTTCGTTTTACTCGCGAACAATAATATAATAACTAGAGCTCGGAAGTTATAGGAGGTAAAAATGGCAAAACGTGCACGAACAAATTGTGGAATACGCACGAAAAACTGTTAAATATACAAACAACTATTCAAAGTTTATTATTCAAAAATATATAATGTCATTATTAATATGCACGCAATAGATAAAGATTAAATACGAATCGCACCGTTGTCATTAGATTAATAGTAGACTGAGACGATAAGAAAAAACAATCAAATCTACATTAAATAATATTGAGTTTTATATTCGATATTATTTAAAGTACATTAGTGAAGAAAGAAAAAAGAACAATTTTTTTTTTTTTTTAACAACTATTAAATGTGCATAATATGCGTAAAAATATCCGAAAATCGATGAAATATGCACGTTTTCTTTAAAACTAACGAAATATGCATTTTAAATGTTCGATTTTTAAAATATCCATTGTATAGAAAGATTTACTTATTTGGTCCGCTATAAATTCAGTGCATACAGAAAAACATGCATCTCCTATAACTTCCGAGCCCTAATAATAACAATAACGTGTACGAATATATTAAAACGAGTGAAAATAACGAGATAATCTTTTTCTATTTTTTCACACAACGATTCGGCTTGTACAAAAAAAAAAAAAAATACCTCAATTCCTTTTCACGTTATACAATATGTGTCATATTTGTTACGTGTCTACGGACGTTGTTTTTTTTTTTCCCCGTTTCGTCGGAACGGCGTATACCCATATAAAATTCGAACGTTCGTAACGAATTGTCCGCGAATCGGACATAACTTTTTTTTTTTTTTTACACGCTACCTATATTATTACTACTTATATTATATTTTATAAATGTACATGTATACGAAAAACTATTTATAAAAAAAAATAATAAAAATATTATGTATTTCAATTCGGCCGAACCGTATGTATGTATCTATTATTATTGTTATTATTATTATTATTATGTCTGCTGCTATGCGTCCGAGGAAATTCCGGTGTCGAGAATACGTTTTTGTACAAACACGTACGCGAGGTACCGTCGTCGTACGGCGGCAACCCGAAAACGGCGTTTCGAAAGTAAAAAATCAAGAGGCCGTCACAGTGGCGTTCGCCGTGTCCGGCGCCGCGCCCGGGAATTTTCAACGACGAACAAACCGTTGAATCTTCTTTTCTACGACTCCGATGAACTATGAAAAAACGTCGATTTTTAATCGCTACACCATAGTTTTACCCGTAACTCGTAGAAAAGGATCTATTTTTCGATAGAAAATGGATGGAACGGTTGAATGATAGTCCTTATCAGTAGACTATTGGTAACCGAAAACAGTAAACGTAGTTTTCAATTGTCTGTTGATTCCGGCAACCCGGGTGCCGAAAAGTCCGTTCGGCTTTCAAACAATTACTGTGAACTATGTCGCCGAAACAGGTTTTTGTTCACTAAACTAGTACCTACCTAACCAAGTTGCTCGAAACCGCATCGCCGAAACACGCCTAATATTTTTTTATAAAAACGACGTGGAATTTGATTTCCTAAAAAAGTCATTTTTATCTTAGAATTAAAAACTTTGAAAAGCAATGCTCGAACCATCTGCTTATCGTCAGTCGTGTATTCACGCGATTATATTCGTTGCATTAAACTCATGCAACGCACGTATTAAATTTAAATCATTCAATTATATATTATTTATGTATACATTTCAAGATTAAATTATTTAATAAATACCTACTCGTAGTTGTACGTTTCTATACTTGTATACCGAGGCGAGGATATAACCCCTAACTTCCCCTGGTCGAATCTGTTTTTTTAACGGGCAATATACCCGGGACCGACCTTGGGTTTTTTGACGGCAAATCTAATTTACGCTGCCCTTATTCAATAGTTAACTTTTTGCATAAAATAGACGTTGGTATTTTAATAATAAAACATTTTTTTTATTTAAAAAAGGAACAAACGTTTTGAACGACCTCAATTTTCTTTGCAAAATACAAAAATTTAAAAAAAAAATCATTACGAATACAGTAAAAGTGTAACCAAAGTTATACAGTTCATACTACATAATATACTCGTACAAGATCACTGTCTAAAAACGATTCTGATTCTCGAGTTTCGAGTCATCTGGCCCAGAGAAAGCCGCTAAAAGTGTCCAAAAATAGCGGAAAATATTATACGCATTTTATATAATAATAGACACAACAGAGTGGAATAAGTTTTTATTTTCGGTGGAAATTCTGTAAAAAAAAAAAAAAACAAATAAGATTTGTATAGGTACTCTCAATATAATGATACGTTGAACATTTAGAGAATAGTAAAACATTGACAAAACTGTCTTTAAAATGTTGTCAAAATCTAAAAAATAATTTATAACACTTGTTCTGTCTCCAAAATTGATTTTAAAGTTGTTTTCGTATTTGTTTTGTGTGCACACATTTATAGCTGAAATACATTATGTATAAATTTCGGGATTAAATTACTAAATAAATGCTTATTCTTAAGCTAATGGAGAGGAAACGATATAAACCCCGACCAGACATGGACAGTAACGTTTCAAATAAGCTATTGTGAAATATAAAAACCGTATTCAGAATACTTTTTAAAATATGTTCTTGATATTTTAAAAATAATTTTTTTTGAAAGTATTCAATATTGTATTCTAAATAGATTGAAAAAAAAATAATAAGAAAATACTTGTTTTAACGTTTTAAATTTAACCTTGCACCTATTATTTGTATTTTTTTTTCCCATAAATCTACTGTAATTGCTGTAAAGTATTTTACTCAAATGTGCCCCGGACTTTCACTGCCCTCCTCCCCTGGTCCGAAATATATGGAAAAAATCGGAACGATGAAATTGGTGGAGAAAAATTGCTATTGCGAGATTTAATTTGGTCGTCACGGACGTGGATGTTCAGCATTTTTAACGGATAAAAAACGATAAGTGCGGAATCGCAAACGCGCGTTCAATTGCATTTCTTTTGTCGATTCGCGTTTTTCCGAAAACCGATTGAAATACCGGGCAATTCACCGAGTATCTCTACAGTATAATTACTGCAACAACGACGCGGATGATAATGCGTTGTATAATCGCGTTACGAGCGAAATGTTACACGCGTGTTATGTTATGTTATGTATGTTTTTTTCAAAAACACGTTTTTTTTTTTGAGCGGACGACGGGTAAACGTCATCATTACGAGTCGCTGAGTTTTTTTTTTTTATTTTTTTTACTGACGTTTTTTTATCCCCTCACGTAGCATTTGTGAACGCATTTTATTTTTTTTTCGGTATTCTTGATATTATTATATTGCACTTCGGCTATCGTCCATAATAACAATACAACGACCGAACGTCGGGCGCGTTCAAACACAACTCGCCCACGTACGAAACCGATATAGCGGTGTAGGAATACGGTTATAGTATTGTTTACTGTGCGTTATAAATTATGTAAAAGTCGAAAATCGTACTGCCGTTTGATTGCAGTTTTATTCGGTTTTATTGATAACTCGTAATAATAATCGATAACTCGATAAAAACACGGTATTTAAACTGTATAATAATATGCGTATGTATAATGGTAATACATTTTAAAAATATATTATACATTATAATTTCGTGATTAACAAAAAATATATATTTTCGTGTTTCACGTTGTGAAATACGTCGACTCAATATAATTGAGTAGAAAAAAAAATTAAAAAACGAGAAAAAAAATTTAAAACTAATATTGCATTTGTACGGGTTTTACAAGCGACGTACGGTAAACGTCCCACGCTCTACTATTTCGGTACCGGTCGTACGCAGTTAGGAAAATGATTACGTATACAATTTTTTTTCAAAGGTGCTAAAAAATCTTACAATATTATATATATTTTAAATTTACAGACTATGTTCAATATTTGTTTAACAATTTAATTTTAGTATACAGAGTGATTCACTAAGCGTACTCGCCCTATTTTTTGGGTAAATTTTGAAAGTATTCAAATTCTGATTTTTGGAATTTTTAAATGTATTTAAAGACAATATTTTCGTATACTTGGATTTTTCCCAACATCTAAGGAGTAATCTGTGACAATACCAATGTTGGTTTTTCAAATGAGGACTTGTATTAAAAAATCCATAAATATACAGTATTAATCTATTTAAATAGAAGTATTAAACTATTAAATAGAATTATTAGTTACTAAAGCTTTATCTATTTACGGAACGTACAATATAAATTGATATTTGAACATCAAAAGTAGATAAAAATAAGGACGATAAAAAAAAAAAAAAAAAATATATAAAGATAATGTAACATTTTAGAGCTGCTTGTGAAATCCTAAATACGCCGTTGCTCTGAATCTAAAATATTATTGTAAAAACAACTACCACTGCGCAGAAACTTTAACGTGCATAATAGGTTAGACAATTTCAACAATCTAATAATAATCTGTCTTTTTCGAAAGTGGTAATCAATCAAAATTGCATTTTTCGATTATTATGAATATTGGGATTCGATATAATATTATTGTGTCGTCAAAAAACTGCAAATGTCCGTCTCTATATTGTATTTTAACGTTATGGCAAACACTGGTTTTTAAATAGTCAATTGGAAATTTCGTTTTCGTTTTAAACATTGGTTATTATGTAACGTTTTTTTTTCCCATACCTAATGTTCATATACATGACGTCCCCCGAGGAGAATATATGGTCAATACGATATTTCGAAAAGTATTGAACTTCTTAAACATTTCTTTATTAATATTTTTGACAATATTAAAGAAACAAGTAGCTCTAGAAAACTGCATTACAATATAATATTTTGTCATTCTCATATTCAGAGGTGAAACCACTATCCGGAGAGTAATTTAGCACTATTCAAACGCCATACATCGCGCCGCCACTTAAATGATGCTCCATCACTCTTCCCTTACTTAAATTTAAAAGTGGGCTAATCTCGTCAACGGGTCGACGGAAATCTAAAATGTCAACGCCAAAATGTATTAAAAATAATAATTAGTTTATTTATGCTATTTTTAATATAATAGGTTTTCGTTTGAAAATCAAAATTAATGGTAGTCCGTGGTCCAGTACCTCAAAATTTATGGTAATTTGACGTTTTACACCTACTTGGTTTTGATAATGTCAAAAAAAAAAAAATAAATTCCCAAACAAATTATTTCTTTCCGAGATATGGCAATGATATCTCAAATGAAAATAAAAAACTAACAGACATACTTCGCACGATGGGTGGCCGCTGTTGTAGGTGTGAAGTTAGGAAAGTAAAGGGAAAATTAAATGTATATGTGTCCTCAACGATTTATTACCGGTAACGAAAAACGATTCTGAGCGGAGTGAGGCCATTACGATTTTAAAATAATACATTTCGTAAATTTTCCCGTTTTCCTATATTTTTCCCATTAATTGTGATAACTCATAGGTAAATCAAAAAATGACTCACCTAAAGTACCACCAGAATTTTTTTCAAAAAAAGTGCTACAGTTGAAAATCGGAGTAAAATTTCTGGTAGAAAAGTTGTTAATAGAAAAAAAATAAAAAAAAATAAACGTCATTGTAAAACCAATACAGAATCTAGAATATAACAAAATCAATATGACATTTATGTCAGTTTTTTTCGAGCAGCTGACTTGTATGATTTTTTCGAATTGTGTTCATGCGTTTTTAATTTTCGACGTATTTTAACCACCACGTTATAGGTTGACGCGATTATTAACCGTGTTAATCGTCTACCTGCAGTACCTACGTGAATTCCTAATATACTCACCTGGCTAATTAACATTGCGTGTTAATGCGATCTAAATGATCGTCCGTATTTCGCACGTCTTCGATTCTCGCGGGCACGGTGGGAACGTACCCCTTACTATGTCCCACTGACGCCGCCGATCGATTCTAAAATCGCCGGACTATATAAGCCCGACGAACCCGGTCGACAAAGGCACTTCACTCATTCAGTCAACCGGCCGAACAGTACACCGAAAACTAAACCGAAGTCGTCGCCACCATCAGCTCCACTATACTTATCAACAATACGTGTATAGTCTTGTACCAGTATTCAATAGTGACCGGCAGCAACAGACGAATTTCAAAAATGTTCAAGTGAGTGCCCGTTTTACGATGTAAAAATCTAAGATAATTAATTTAGAACAAATTATTATTATTCGACAAAACCCGATTAAATTAGTACGTAATATTATACCGGGCCGCGCCGTGTGTTACAAACGGGGCGTATTCGACCGCGAGGTTTCAAACATACTTATACAGCCTACGTTCGTTATACCGATCGTTTGACATCTGTTTTGTCGAATATTTTCACTAATATTTTCCATCACACCGGCGAGTTATTCGAAAACTCAACCGAATCCCCGTTCCCTCGAAATATCGTTGGTAAACAATTGTTCGTTTTTGTTGCACAGGTACACGATATTGTTCGCAGCTCTGGCCGTGTCGGCGTCGTTGGCCAACAGCATTCCCGTGGCCAGCCAAGAGCCCAGCCCGGCAGAGTCCAACATAGTGGTGCACAAGAAAATCGTCTTCAAGCCGCAGAACCCGGTGCCGGTGTCCGAGACCAATGTCGAAGCTGTGCCGGAACAGTCGTACGACGCCGCCTCACTGGTGGACACCGGTCTGTCGGGTCTGCACCATCTGATTAGCGGACCGAAGAAAATAGTCGGCGCCGTGGCCAGTTACGTGTTCAGCACCCTGAAGTCGATGGACGCGAAGAAAATCTTCAAAATCGTACTGCTGGGCGCCTTGGTCACCGTTTTGGGATCCGTTGCCGCCGTGGCCGTGGCCGGTCTCGTGTCCATCATCTCGGGCATCTGCGCCGTGCTCCCGTACGTCCGGTTCTTCTTCGGCGGTGAATTCGCCCAACTCTCTGAAGCCCACGTGGACACGCTCAGTGATTTCGTTTTGGGCGCCTTCGACAAATACGAGAACCTCATCCAACACCATAATAAGGCATAGGTCGTAACCTAACGTCACGTCGCGAAATCACCTATATTTATTGAATATTGTACACTTATATTATTACGTTATTATTTTACGCGCTGAACAATAAACTAAAATATCGTGTTCGAGTCGTACAAAAAAAAAAAAAAATACTGTTTTCGGCTCTCCGTTTTTATACATTTACTCATTATGTTCACGCGCAAAACAATTATTATGTATAATCGTCTTACAATAAACCCGTGTAGTGCACAATTATGTGCGAAATTATTAGAAAATATTATTTGTCTTTTTTTACGGTTCTCTCGCGGGCTTCGCGGTATAACTATCCAGCACGACGCTGTATGGACGCGCTGAAAAAGTCGGTAGCCATGTATCGACAGAGCATTTCGAAATAGTATTTATTTGAAAATACGTTTAGTGACGGTACGCAGTTTATGTGTAAATAGTGTAATAATTGTCGTTCGTCGCACAAACATAACAGCCAGTATTAAACAAGTTAAGGCAGCCCACTCTACGTGCGTGCAAATAATTCCCGGTTTTCTACTCGTACCTATTTTGGGCGAAAAAAAACTTTCCGTAAATCCACAGGTCTCTCGTCGTTTTTCGATTCGAGCGAAATTTCTGGTAGAAAAGTTGCTTACAGACGCAAACACATAAACAAAAAATATATTTATATATGTTTTTACTATATTATTTTATTATTTACAAAAAAAAAAAAAAAAAAGATGTCCTTGGATAATGGAAACGGATGCAGCAACTGTTATAGGTAATTTAATGGATATCTATAAGCAACGATAAACCATTGCTAACGAAAAAATGATCCTGAGCGCAATTCAGTTAATAGTGATGCTTTGTCAACAATATATATGTCATATTATGGTAAAATAATTAAATAGGCTCTATATAAATTCTTTAATAATATTTGTTTAATGTTGTATCGATTTTCTCGTTTTTCCTTTTTTTTTTCCCCCGGTATTTTACATTTGCTGGGAAAACTTTTAGGAAATTCGAAAAATGACCTACCTAAAGTACCATCTAGACAAAATTCCCTTTCAGAAATGGTGCCACGCGTTTATATCGGAGCAAGATTTCTGGTAGAATTTTTGTACACAGTATAAAAAAATTTAAAAAAATAAACACCTTAGTAAAACCATTACATTCTTCGCTACACTCAGAAACTAAAAGTAATCAGGACTAAGATTTGTATGAAAATAAAAACAAAGAAATATGCATTTTTTTTCCTTCAAATATGCAAATTTAAATTTTATTTTTTTAAAGATATACACATAAATATAGTTTAAAAAAATAAATATATTTATTTATTTAAATAAATTGGCTGATGGTCTTAATAAAATATAATTAAAAATTGAAAATTGTTTATTTATTTTTCGTATGCATATTTATTAATGATTTTTTTTATTATATTTTATTGACACAATTTATAATTCATATTCAATAATGAAAATACGTGTGTCACATGCTACGACCGAATATTTTTTTTTTAAATTTTCGAATATAATTGATCGGTGATTGGATCTTCATATTGATTGTATTGGCTAAAGCTTCTTTCAACGTTACGTTGTGGTCGGCGCATATTTAAATAAAGGGATTTTTCCAGAATTTGGCACTTCCATTTTTTACTTGAGGCGTTTTTAAAGTAAAAATCGCATGAATTTTACTACAATGACACTGAAAACTAGTCCGTTTTGGACTGATGAACGCTTATTTGAACGTTTAGTACGACACAGAAAATATTAGGATTCTGTGTAATACCCGAAAATTTATATCTTATCTCGGATTTTATATTAACCGTGTTTTGGCGAATAACCAAGTGTAACCTAATTACTGTATTTTATAAACATGTCGTTTTGGTGATTTCGGTTATTACTTTGGTTATAGGTCACTGAAATATCATAACCAAACGAAATGAACGGTCATGATGTTTGGTTATTGATAAAATAATGATTAGATAATATTTACCTAGTAATTTGTTTACTATCAATTAATATTATAGGTATTTGCAATAACCATAAACGCGTCGTTTTCGTGAATCTACAACCGTTAACCAAAATTATATAACCATTTATGGTAACGGATATAACCAGATTATTCGCCAAAACACACCTACACACTTTTATTTAATTGTGTTTCTCCGTCAAACTATTTGCTCTTTTATCGCAAATTGTACCATATGATTGTACTTATAAAAACATAATGTATCTTCGATCAAAAAACCAAGTTATACAGTTTGATCAGTTGAATACAATAAATACGAACAAATATGCATTAAGCTCAATATTATGCAAAATCATGTAAAATAAAAATAGTACCATTATTCATATGAATAATATAAATCGCGGACATTACTCATAAAAACTTCGTTTGAACGTGGCAAAAAAAAAAAAAAAAAAAAAAACACACATACAAATCCTAACTCCGCTAGTAATATTTCGTTGACCGATGAGGTAAAAATGGTAAAAAAAAAAAAAAAAAATCTTAGATTCCCAACTACAGCGCAGCCGGCGACCTGCACTCGCGGTGTGACGCGTGTCGAAAATGTATTTTCTCGAGGTTTACACAGTTTTAGCACACCGTCTAGTGGAGGAACAATAATTAATATTCGTGGTGCGACGTTTAACTTAAATCGAAAACCCTAATCGTTTGCACGCTTCGGACCGATGAAGTCTGATGGACAGATTTTCAACTAAACCGGCGTAGTACTACGACGCAGCCACGCAGGGTCTACGATAATGAACAATCATTGTGGTGGGCGCCTATTTTAAAATTATAATTACGACCAAAACAAAAAAAAAAAAATATAATAATTTTTAGATTCTGAGTTGTGGAGCGAAGAAGCTAATAGTTTTACAAAGATGTACATTTTTATTCCCGGTTTCATTTCTGCATTTCGCTAAAATCTGAAAAAATACCATATTGGTACCTACCGACAAAATCATTATATAGTTTACAGTTGTTGACGAATATATTAAGCATTTTTTACCGTAATACTGAGCGATTCTTTTATCGTTAAACACTCATTATCTCGGAATGTATTAATTTTTTTTTGGTATTTGTTTTATAGAAAATTTAAAAAACAAGCAGCTCTAAGATTTTACGTTTACATTATATTTTGTTGCTCTCGTTTTTATTTTTTTTTTTTTTTTTTTTTTTTTGGAGGGGGAATGAAACCTATTTTTGATTTTCAAATAGCAACCTATATTAAAAATTCCATAAGAAGATTGATAATTAGTTAAAATTAATGTTGGTATTGAAATTTTTGATTTCCGTCAATCCATTGACGAGATATTCCACTTTTAAGTACGGGTGGGAATAGAGTAGTGGTACTTTATTGAAATACCTTGCCTCACCGCCACACAAACGATGCTCCACTACTATTCTCCCGAACAAAATTTAAAAGTGGAATATCTCGTCAATGGATTGACGGAAATAAAAAATTTCAATGCCAAAATTTATTTTAACTAATACTCCATATATTTAAGGCATTTTCAATATAGATTTTCATTTGAAAATCAAAAGTAGCTAGTTTCACCCCCAACTATAAGGGTAACGAAAATAATGATAATGTAAAATTTTACTTTTGTACTTAAGTATTCAAAAATAGTGAACATTTTTCGAAGGTTTTCAGTGTTTCACGATAAAAGAAACACGCGGTATGTATTATTTACTTGTTTTTATTTTATAACAGATTTAAATTGTGGTTTTGTGTAAAAAATGATAGTTGGTTTTTTTATTTTTTATAATTATTATTATTATTAATTTTTTTTTTCGACAGAAAATACCTAATGGATTATTTATTTCGTGATATTGATTTTGCACGTCTTTTTGATGCTCGTCTCCGTCACACGCACAAACAGTGTTGCTTCGAGAAGTCCCCACCTACGTTAATAGATTGTTTTTAAAATTTGTCTTCGGTATTCATGTACTAGTCGTAATATTCGTATAGTTCTATTTTCACGACTTGAAAACCGTATATTATCACGCGGGTTGTAAGTTTAAGACGTACAAATATATTGGCGAATACCGTAAATCACATCAAATAGCCGATGTATTTTAGGCGACGAACATAACAGTGACGCCATACAAATAGCCAGGGCGGTTTGTTTTTTTAACCCTCGTCTAATCGGGCGCGTCTCGGAACACACACAAACGCGCCGGCCCCGCATTGTTCAGTCGTTTCTAATCATTTTTAAGTTTAGTTTTAGTCCGGCTCGGCGGGCGTTGTCGCGCGGGGCCCATTCTTGTTGGCCATCGGCCTGCGGAGTATCGGGTAAATGGCAATAAACAAACGACGGTTTGACGAACTAAACATTTCAGTTTATTTTAGGCATTCGTCGTATAAATAAAAATAATTTACAGTGATAATATAATCGCGCGCCGGTGTGCCGCGCAGGTCGGCGTGTACGCCCGCGCGCCGGTTTACAAATAAATAAAACGATAACAGAGTCGCGGCGACCGCTCGTCTCATCCCTCGTACTGTTCGTATTTGCTGAAAGCGCCGTTGACGAAGTCGCTGACGTTGTCGATGTGCGAGTCGGACGCACCGCCGCCGTTATTGTTGCCGGCGCCCAACAGGTATTTCACGTACAGCACGACACCGCAGATGGCCGACACGGCCGACACCAGACCGGCCACGGCCACGGCGCCCACGGTCGCGACAGTTCCCAGCACGGTCACCAGGGCGGCCAGCTTGGCGGCCTTGAGCAGATTCTGTTCGCCCAGGGACTTCAACAGACCGCCAATCACCGAGGTCACCGCGCCCACCAGCTTTTTCGGCAGGCTCAACACGCCGAGCAGGCTGGACAGACCCTTGCCGCCGCCGGACGGCGCCTTGGCCGCGCCGTTTTGCTGCGGTCCCTTCTGCTCGAACTGCTGCTGGTACGACCTCTTGTGCGCGACGGTGTTGCTGGACGCGACACTCGGTTCCCGGGTGTCCGGCGCGTTAACGGCCAAAGACGCCGATACCGCCACGACCGCGATCAATACTGCGAACCTGCGAAACATTAGGAAACATTTTACAAGTCGACCGTTTTAAAGTCGTTCTGTACGACAGTTTTGGATGACGCGCCGTATCCCGTAGTCAAGGGGTTACGTATACAGGCAATTTGTTATTCGAAAAAATTAAATTTTCAAAAAAAATAAAAAAAAATATTGAAATTCCCTTTCAAATACATTTACGAACGTTCCCGTGCCGTTACAAGTATAATCGTAGGGTTGACGAAAATATTGACGAAAAAAACGTTTCGAGCGGGCTACGGGGCTTATAGTTGAGAAACCGAATTTTCGCCATAAAACAATGAGAATTCGCGCCGTACAACGTCAATTTTAGTTTTTCTATGCTGCGAAAAGAATCATTCGAGTTTGAGAACCTCGAAACTGTATCAGATTTTTAAACATCAATTACTGTCTGTTTGATACCGAACGAATTAATTACCGACGTTGCGCGGTGCAAGTTTCCCTATGTCCGCGGTGAAAATCCCGATCGCTCGATTAAACCCGGGCGTATTTCCCGCGCAAATTAAAAAAAAAAAAAAAATCGTGTTATTCATTCCGGTGGTTTGAATGATTCGATACGATTTGTCGACGGCCGAAAACGATTGTAAACACCGCGAGATATTCGACCGCGACCGAATGACCCGGTCGTGGAACCGGCTATTATAATCATGCGATTATTAAATTGTAATATACGATTGTTGGCTCACTTGAACATTTTTGAATGCGCGCGCGTCGATGAGAACTACTCGGTTGATAATATGGTGTTCCGCGTAAGTAGCCAGGTAGGTTCGGTATTGGTATCGGTATCGGCGGACGGTTTGTTGACGTCTGTTGATGTGTCTTCGACCGTAGGACGACTGTAGGAACAATGTGCCTTTTCGACGGACGTCCAGAGTTTATATAAGTGACGGTAGCGACACTTCGGGATCGGTGGCAGTGGGGCCGCCGCAAATGCGAATAATGGCAAAAGCGGACGCGATTTCCACGCGATCGTTTAAAACGCATTAAAAACGATTTCTCCGCGCCTATGACATAATGGTATAGTTAAATGTACACGATTCAAATGTTACCGTACAAAGCGTTAATAATGTTTCTTCGATAAAAAAATATCCGTCGAACTATCGGATGTCGAACGTTTTACCGAAATACTCGAGCTCGGGACCATATTGGTTATGTTATGGACTTCCCGGGTACCCCGAGCCGATTATGGCAATTTTGTTTTTTTCATACCTTGGTTTTGTGTAATTGTTTCCATTTTATTTTTCGGCTTAAACGGCGCGAGCGTACGTATTTTCGTGGATTTTCTCGCATTGAAAATTATTGACTTGAGCTAGAGTGACCATAAAAATGGAAATAAAAATACGGGACACTTATGAGAAAAAAAAACAAATTAAACACACGGTGTTCCCGATATTATTTTGAAAACGCCTTGAAAAATCAAAACGACGACTTCTCTAATGCTTCAACTAGGCAAAGTTTCTTTTCAGAAAGGTTACTGCTTTATACATTAGAGCAAGGTTTACTTTTCGAATCGTTGTTTGCAGATAGAATAAAAAATAAACATCATTGTGAAACCGGTCAGAATCTAAAACGGAATAATCACGACATCGTGTGCTTTATAAAGATTTTTAAATGCAAATAAAAAAAGTATGCTCAAAGACGAATTTATTTTAACGACGACTATTGATCGATTTCTTCTTCTCCCGGTTTGCGCTGAACCAATCACGTCGACTATAATTATTTATTATCTTTTAGTAAATTATTGTAAAACTCTTTTCAAAAATCGTTGTTAAAACGTGTTCATTACCTATTTTATGCAATGGATAATACGCCATTGTAGAGATTTTATTGAATAATGTCATTAAGCCATCAAATCGATTTCAAAAGTTAACAGTGAGGGAAAACAACGGGATTAATATGGGACGGGCTCGAAAAAACGGGACGCAACGGGTGAAATTTTCGTCAGGAAAAATAAGGGACGAAAAATTGAAATACGGAATGTACGGTTAGCCCAAGTCCTTCTTTCCCGGAACCAAAATATTGCAAGTCCGATATTTTTAGATTCTTAGCGGAGCGAGTAATTTATTTTATTACGCGTTTATCGAAATGTATTACGTTTTTGTAACTATAATATTGTAACGGCCACAGCATTGTTATTGGATATTCAAACGATATTTATAATTTTATTTTCTTGCGTGTCGTATTGTCGTATATTCGCAAAAATAACTGTTAGATTTTAAATCGTTTTACAGGAAAATTATTTGGAATTATAATTTGTTTTCGATATGGATACTATGAACAAGATTCGGCAAATATCAAATATAATATTTCAAAACTATTATAGGATATTATAGTACAGCCCGACATAAAATCCGAATCCTAATCTGTATCCAATCCGGATCGGGTAGGTATCTATATTTCAAACAAACAAAATCTGCCATCACAGTTTAACCAGATCGAATAGATCGGAATTACTAATTTAATCCGGATTTCAATTTGGAAACGTTTATATTATCAAACAAAAAGGTTATAATTCAAGAAGAGTCATAATAAAATAATATCAGGATATGATTAGTTTTGATTTTAATTTGAACTCAATTAGATTAATATGGAATAGGAATTAAACATCTATAGCTTACCCACTATGGGAGTTAATTATTAAGTAAATAAATGACAAATTTACCGCAGACAACAGTTCGGTTGTAGGATAGATTTCGAGTATTTCGACAAAATTTAAACATCGAGCTTAGGAATAATGATAATAAAAAAAAAAAAAACGTGTCCTAGGATAATAATTAAACAAATATTATTAAAGAAATATACAATGCCTATTTAAATATTTTACCATAATATGACATATATATTGTTGACAAAGCATCACCATCAACTGAACTGCGCTTAGAATCGTTTTATCGTGAGCAACGGCTTATCGTTGTTTATAGATGTATATTAAATTCCCTTCTGTATTCTACCTTCCCAACTTTCCACCTACATGAGTGGTTGCATTCGAGTGCGAAGTATGTCCGTCTTTTTTTTTTATTGCCGTTTTTTTACACATTAAACATTATGCACGTAAAAAAAATATATATATTTATTTTAATATTTTATTGCCTTGGTAACAACGTAATATGCTATTAAGCTATTAGGTATATAACTTTAATAGGCGAACTGCTAAATTGTATTACTTCAATAATAATTTTAACAATACAGAATGATTTTTTTTTATCATGAACTATCAATTATCACTGAGGAATTATAATGAATTTGATTTCTGTTTTTTCTAATCATTATGGATTCATTTAAGCACAATTTTAATACAATTTTTAATTTTTTACCCTTACTCAAAAATGCCTTAAATAAATAGGTACATATTTTTAATTTTTAAATACGAACCCCCCCACCCTTTTGAACGCAAATTTGAATAGAGAATATTTTGATATGCATAACAATAATATCAAATTTACCGTTTAAGAGTTATAACAGTTTAAAGTTTAGACAGGAGGAGTAGGGAAGGGTTATAGATGGACAATTTATTACCCGTACAAATGTTGTATGGATTGTATACTCATCGTTAGCCTTCATAGTATTTAGAATTCGAGTAAAATCGTATTTAGCCGTTTTATTTATTTTCCCATTGTTAACTAATTGTATAATCCGGCTTGTCTATTGAACTTTAAAAACAATAACTATTCTCCTTATTGGGGTTTTATAAGTTTAATAGAATTTTCGATATAAGTAAACGTCGATAAAAATATGCACAGTACGTGTAACGGTCAATGAAGAACTGAAGGGCAGAATAATATACAGAATAATTAGAATATACCTACATGTATATTTGAAATTTTTACGAAAAATGTATTGTTGTGTTCCAATTATTTTTCGCGCGTACCATTTTCGGCGAATAATTGACGTGATACCAATACAATTGATCACTACAAATATTCGAAACGTTCTTTTCGTTACTAAGCGTAGCAAGGGATGTATTGGTTTTACTATAATGTGTTTTTTTTTTTTTTTTGAGCCTGTAAACAATTTTTCTACCAGAAGTCTTGCTATCGTTGGATTTCGGATCTGGTTTTCGTATTACAGAGATCATTTTTTTTGATTTTCCAATGGGTTTTCATAATATTTGGGAAACAAATTTAGAAAATACCAGAATAAACGGTTTCGTTATTCTAGATTTTAGTTTAAGTCGGTTAAAAATAATAAGAATAATTGTAAAGAACTGAAATTTGAACAAAGAAGACGTATATTAGCCTTTTTTTAGAAGTCGTTAAATTTTCAAATTATTATATAGCGGTTTTTAAGCTATTTATTGGTACATTTTTAATTTTTACTCGGTATAGATCCGGTATTTTTAACATGTTTGTTATTCGGCGGTATGTGGATAAAATCGTTTGACCAAACAGAAATCATTGAAAATTTAACACGTGGTTTAATATAAGTTGTATATGGTAGTTAAAAATAAAGTGTAATGTAGTCGTTTTTATTGGTTTTACAATGATGTTTATTTTTTATTTAATTTTTTTTTCTGTGTACAGCTTTTCTACCAGCAATTTCGCTCTGATTTCCAACGGTAGAACTTTTTCTAAAAGGAAATCGGACTGGGAAGGTACTTTAAATGGGAAAAACCAGGAGAAAACATGAAAAAACGCAGGGGAACCGGGAAAATAGGTACACTATTAAACAAATATTATATTATATCATATAAACGTAACGTACAAACGATATAATTAAATCGCTCACGATTTTTAATGCATTCGATTGATTTTATTCCGAAAATTTCACGGACAGTATGCAATTTAAATTAGTCGCTCGCCGCCGTCGCGCGTCGGGAGAAAGTGTAATAACGAATACCGACATCGTTAAATGGTATAATCTTTATAGTTATTATTTTAACGATACACAATTATTATACAACAATTATATACAGAGCGAATCATTTAAGTGTCTACGCTCTATATTTCGAAAAATATTCGTTTGGACAATTAAAGAAACAAGCCGTTCTAAAATATAACGTTACAATTACTATTTGTCGTCTTTATTTCAACAAGCTATACCGCTGGTAAATTTAAATAGTTTTCAGTTACTTTATACCTACATACCTATGTATTTAAATACGTCATAAACGATTTATTTGAAACCGATTTCGGTGTTGACATTTTTAATTTAAAATATCTAACCGCGTGAAAAACAGTCGATAGTGGTGTCGTCTCCCATTAAATAATGGTGATAAAAAAAAAAAAAAAAAAAAATAAATNCCCATTAAAAAATGGGGAAAAAAAAAAAAAAAAAAAAAAATGAATGTAACATTTTAGAGCCGCTTGTTTTTAAATCGTTTCAAAAACGCAATATCGAAACATGTTAATACTTTTCGAAATATCGAACGGTAGACACAAGTGTATCGAGATTTTTTTTTTTTTCAAATATCTTTATATAATACTATGTTTCTATTGTTTCTAAAAAAAAAAAGTTAGAAACATCAATTTATTATTTTAATTGTGTTAATATAAATAAAGAATAACGCTCGAAAGACACGTATCGTACGTTATCCGCTACATACAAATTAATTTTGTGTTTGTACGCGATTTATTATTGTGGACTCCTCGACCGCTACAGCAATCCTGATTATCAGTGGCGGATTTACGGGTAGGGGTCTAGGGGGTCTGGACCCTGTCCCAGACACTGAAATAATTTCATTAAATGCCGTCCAAAGAAGAGGCATCTATTAATAGAGTTACTTTTTAAATGCATATTATTTTTCAGGACCGCTCCCAGAAAAATGTAGTTGGAAAATCCGCTATTGCTGATTATATTATGTATACCTATTTAGTGATCGTTACACAAAGGCGAGTAACACAGGATACGTTTTTCCACCAAAATCACTCCTATTTTCGGAGGGTAAGTTTGACGATTTTACTTCACGAGACACACTTTGGTTATCTTCCATTCTATCGGCGGCTGTAGATTAGTTGCGACCAGAGGAACCCTTATTTTTGTCTAGAAATTTTATCGCTGATACGCCTAGTTATGATGTATTCTTTGATTTGATTCTTTTGATATTCAGTCGCGTTTTACATATTGACTGCGATATACCTGATGACGAATTTTCAATTCGAAACCGGTCGTACAATACACTTATCATAATACTCCAGGCGACGCATTCATTAACTTATTTATTCACTATATTTATTTATTTTATTTATTTACGAGTATTAACCATTTCAATAATTTTGTTTTTACCTTATTATTTTATTATTTATAAAATAAAGTGTGTAAAATGTACCGCATCAAAATCGGTATCTAATTCAAAATATAACAGCGGACGATAAACAATTCTAGAAATGCCGTTCTATACTAGCCAGCCTGAGCCTTTACATAGTAACGTCTATGACTTTGTTGATATGTTACTTGACGTTCAATCTTGACTTATAAAAAGTTCAGAAGTAATAGATTAAAAACGAAGAAAACGTGTGAACAAGAAGCACTTGCTTGGGTGGCACTATTGGGCTGACACGAAGTGATAACAATTATAATGTGATTACAATTCGTACGTCCCTCTCGTAAACCCGGGTCGCTGCTCATACGTGGTTTAGGGATCGGGCCGCAATCCACCGACACAGCGAAAAAGATCCCCGGTACCTCCACCGGCTCTCTCTCACATTTTATCATGGTTTTCGCCGGCTTCTGTATTATATTCTCGTTTCGCGGGAGATTTCGGCATTCCGGGCCGTTTTTCATTCCGGCGAGCATTTCGTTTTGAGACACTCTGTAAATAATATTATTTTGTAATCCGCCGTTTCGATATTAGACATAACATTGTGAAAACGATCGTTTATTATAATTGCCGACCAATAAACATACAATATTGTATGAAAGAATATAACATTGTAATATTATTTGAGTTAGGTCGACCGGCCATACCCATAATGCATGGACAATTATTGTAATACTGCGATCGAATTTTTGTTTTTCGCGTAAACATGTTATTATAATATTTTGACATAATATCATAACGACTACTGCACAATTCGAATATTGTAATGCGTTCGCACCGAACGATTCCCAGTACACGGGTTAAACAACTCAAGTATGAATGTTAAAGGTAAACGTATAACAGTATCACCGAGTAACGACTAATGCGAAATACATTAAAATATTTATTTTTTTACACACACACACACACACATATAAATATGTATGTATGTATACAGGATGGTTCTGAAATAAATGAGGACACTAGTAGAAGCGTGCTCACTGGGATGACCCAATGAAGATACTTTTGAAAATTGTATTCATTATCTTCAAAGCTTCATTATCTATTTCCATTACCGTATAATCCTTACATGCTAAAATTATATAGTGGATTATCCGCTCGAAAATTTAAAGTTATAAATTAATGTGTATTTAATTTGTTAAAATATTGTATTACGAGCACGCATAATTGATAATTTATTATTATAACTTTAATACTTAACTTACGAGTACATTCCCAGATAGCAAAAATATATTTTATTAAGATTCATGAAATATTATTTTTATAATGAAATGATTTATAAAATGTTTTATTTTTCCATATTTTTCATTTAAATAATATTTAGAAAATATTTAGAAAATAACGGTTGGCCACGGGATTTTCGTTTATTAAATAATTTAAAAATTATATTTTTTTTTTAATAAGAAAAAATGCAAAAAAACGGAATCTTGTAACTTGCTAGAGTCGGGTATTGAACCCGAGACTCTGCCTAATCTAACCTAACGCCCTATCCTCTAGACTATCTACCTAATTATTACTTATGAGTAGATAAGTGAATTTCAAAATATTATAATATAGATACCCATTTATCTAAACAGTCAAAACATATAGAAATTGCGGACTTTTGAAGAACAGGAACTTTAACCTCCTCTAAATAGTGCACACCGGTGCCAGGGGGAATGTAGATCTGTATGGAGTTGACAAGTAAATCTCGGTCGACCCGTTGTGGTCTTGGCGTCATTTTAGTCGTGATAATATTTGTTTACGTTAACAAATTTTTCCAATATTCGGCGATTACTGTGATGTATAACCAACCGGTCGTTAGTAACGGTTGGGTCTATACTCGAAACACGCTAATATTGCTATATTATTATATAAATTGTTTATGCAGCTGCGGGCACACGTTGGGACAAATCCGATAATAAACTGCTAGGTTCCAACGTAGAAAACATGTATCTATACTTATTATATGTTATTATCGGTTCTACGGTAGAATATCACATAGAAATATAGAATTGTTTTTGAATCGTAGTATAATTATTTAAATTTTAACAATATTATGATTATATATTCAGAATTTCATATTATTATTCCATCAATGATGTCATATCATTAATATATTCAAAATATCATTTCGATAATTCGTTTATAATAATATATTCATAATATTATTTCAATAGTTCGTTATTAATAATATAATAATATATTTAGAATATTCTATAAATATTTAATTTATGATGTTATATTAATAATATACTTACATTATTATTTTACGAAATATTTATTTAATTATATCATTTTTTTTTTTTTTATGAAAAATTGATTGTAATATAATATTATTATTACGGATATGCTATCTTGATCAACTTATATATAAAATTCTCGTGTCACGTGTTTGTGGTCGCACTCCTCCGAAACAGCATGACCAATTTTAATGAAATTTTTTTTTTTATTTAGTACGTATGAGATTCGTGATTTTAGTACTTAAATTCGGTTTTGAGGTTTTAAAATTATTTATTTTTATGAAGTACCTTAGTTACACGGATAAAATGAAAAAAAATAAGTAAAAGTTTGGTCAAAACGTACCTATGATAATTAATATAAATAAAAATAATTCTAAAGAACTATGTGCCATATTATTTTATGCAATAAAATGTAATGTTATAAACTGTCTTCTTAGAAATATATAGCAAAACAACCCTCTATTTTTTTTAATCGTGATTTTAGAATTTTCGCTTATATGTATATATACAACAAATAATTTAGCTAAAAAAAAAAAATAATAAAAAATGGCACGGGCGCTGGACGGGACAGCTTCACAATCATTCTAAAGTTTTTCCCGATAAAATACGGAAGTACATGAAGAAATGTTAAAACAGAAAACTATTAGTCCGCCGTTTGACCCACTTTACACCTATTTGTTTTCATTTGTCATTACTCATTACTGACATGGTCAAAACCAAAAAGGAATATGGGTAAAAAATGGCACAAGCAACGCTGGGCGGGACAGCTAGTCATTTATAATATAATAGTATATTATACATAATATGTATTATAATTGTCTAATCTAATTTAATTTTTGAACAAACGATAAAGTTAATAAATATCTTATTTAATTTTTGTCTTTTTTAGAAATTGTCATTTATTTGTTTGTTACGTCAATCTAAATGTATGTGTATACGTTTTATTTATTTTGCTGGTACTTACTACAACCTCAAGTCTTCCATCGATGAATTCGATATATTAGTTGTATTAGTTATGATGGAAAATTCATGCGTGTAAAATTATGTGAAATATAATTTATAGATTATAACTAAATCTATATAATTTATCATTTGTTCAAATATGAGAACCAAAACTATAATATAATTTAACAATCGTATACAATTTATACATAATTTTAAATTTTGAACTAATAGATGATCTCGTACAATTTCAGCAGATGTGGATCACTATAACGGGCGAAAATACCACGAAAATGGTGTTGCAATATAAGAAGAATCAAAAAAAAAAATGCTGCATACATTATAGCAAAACTAATTCATTCATCTCTTCACTCAAAATCTTAAAAAAAAAATATATATATATATATATAACTTCAATCTGGAAGTTTATTTTACCTATTTTGAAGGTTGCATAATAACTTTTTCCAAACTTCCTTCAAATCACAGTTACATACTGGTAGTACGTTCGATTTTTTCATAGGTACTTAATTTTGTACTACGTTTTCTTTTTTATATTTAAAAAAAAACCACAAAGTTGTAGTTATTGTACACCGGACAACTAGTATAGGTTATAAAGAATATAAAAGAAGATTTTGGTTTAAATAATTTTTGCTGTGGTATTTATTTATTTTTAAGTATTTGCAAAATGTATAACCTATAATAAAGTTTATAGATACGACATTTTGTTTTTTTGTTTTTTTATTACACCAATAAAAGACTGAGAGAAGACATGAATACCTATTCAAGTAAAATAATTTATTACTCTAAAGGTTTTATAGTATAAATTCACCATGTGTGATGGCGATTAATAGGCAATTTAATAAAATTATGATGGTATTGACGTTCTATCGAACAAAGCACATGGCGGATACGTTTGTTGATTTTTAAAACCGTCAATTAAATAGTAAAAAGACGAATACGGCGATTTGCAGTGGCAACTGTTAACGGGATCGTTTAAATCGATACTGTCCGCCACAAATCCTGCTCCGAGATTTCTTGCGAAATTTCCCTGTACATAAGAAAAGTGTACGATTTCTCATTATTGTGATGAGGTAATAAAAAACGCTAAAATATCTTATCTGTACATATTATAATATTACTTTTATGCGCAAGGAACCCGAATTATCAGCACACCAGGATATCGTTTTATCTGGATATTTACATATCTATAAAAATAAAAAATACATTTAATATTTCTAGACAAATAATTTAATATAATATTCTCTATTTAAATCTGTGTTCAAAAAGGGGGTTCCTATTTGAAAAACAAAAGTATATACTTATTTAAGAAATATGAAGTAGGTGTAAAAAAAAGAAAGAATAGTTTAAAATAAACATGAAACGATTAAAAAATGATTAAAAAAACAGAATTTAAATACTAAATCCTTCTAAAAAATGTCTCGTTAGTGATAAAAAAAATCACCTGTATGAGTATTACACATAATATATATTATATTATGTTATATTTTATGTTTATTGGACTTTTGATAGAATTTTGATAAATTCAACAGTGGACATATTGCGGATCATTTTAATAAGTCGTTTTTTAGGGGGAGATCAGTCATCCGAAATCCTCTAGAAAAAAATTTCTGTAGTCTGTCAATTAATTAAAAATACACACACACATTTAACATTAAAATTTGAAATTAATATAAGCTCTAAAACGATAATTATTTTTTCATAGGGGAGCTTCAAAATCGTAAAAATTTCATAGTTACCCGTTCGTAAGACGTGAAACATTCGGAGTAAAACGTTAAATCACCCGTCCTGTTTGAAATGCCGAACAATTGAAATTTGAAATATAATTTTGAACTTGGTATTCCAGAATTTTTCAGGGCTACTTCTAATTTTTTCTAAAAAAAAAAAAAACAAAATTCGACTTATATCATAGTATTTTTAAAATTTGTATGATCAATATATTATTCATTATTTATTCATACTCGTATGTTTACTAAGGTAGTCCTAGTCCATAAGGTATAAATTTATAATTTTTTCTTTTCTTACAGAATACATTATTTGAATACACTTAAAAAACGATGTACAAGAAGTTTCAAGTGAATATTGAACAAAGTTAATCCATGCTACAAAAGAGTTGAAGTTGCCTATGTTTATTTTTTTAAAAAAATAGCATGTTTTTCTTAGAGTTTAAGTATAGTATATTAAAGAATGATTCTATAAAAAAAATGATGATACATAATTTATTTAGAATAATATTTTACATAATCTATATTCCTGAATATTCTGTCGTAAACTTAATATCTATCCAAAAAATTATATTTTAAAAATAATTATTGCATAAATCTTGCAAAAAAAAAAAAAAAAAAATAAATATTATTTACAATGTAAAATAATATATACTAAACATTAGACCATTGGTAAAATATTTGTTGATATAAAATGACGTTAAATATACCAGGACACTGATAACGAGACAATATTCGTATGATTATCATTTCAACAGTATTTGGTTATCTAAAGTTTGAACATATCTATGAGTTATTTTTAAAAAGTGTTTTTGATACAAAATTATATACGACATCTGGTCCAGATGTACCAATATTTAAAAGGTTTAAACAATATTGGGAAAATCTAAATACTGAAAAATTTGAACCTGTGATGTGTATTCTGATTTAATTAATTTTATAGTTAATTATTTACAAGTCAAACATCCAAGGGAAGATTATAGATAGTTGTTAGAATTGACGGTTATTTTTCTTGGGGGAATGCCCTCTCGAGAAATTTTTTTTTAAACTACCCGGAACCATCCAACATGCTATAGTGGTAAAAGCTATATACTGTTTGAAAATATTTTTATTCTGAAGTCAATTTCGTTTAAAACAGAAAAAAGAAATATCTATTGCCAGTGTATGTGTCTTCATTATTCGATTATACATAAAAGCCTGGTTTGATGCACCTTCGAGTACACCTTATCAAGATCTAAATTGTTAAAAAGATTTAATAAGATATCAGTTTATTGATAAAATCATATCTGAAATCACGATTAAACAAATGTGTGGCCATTTGTGGTATCTATACCCGAGGTAGTTGCTATATCAATTTTCGATCCACATGTATCAGTAGATATAAAAATAAAAATGATGGCAGCTCTTAAGATGGATACAGAAGATGATAGTATAAACCGATATCTTTTAAATTTGTATGAGTCTATTGTATATTAAATAAAGACCTTGAAGATTTTATTTTTGTGAACTCAAAGCAATTCTTTAAACGTTCTAAAAGAAGTACTGACTTTCTTACGATTGATCCATCAAAATGGGACGTATGATGAAAATTTAAAAAATCTACTGCTTTTGTCACCAACATAAATGTAGTCAATAATATAGCTGAAGGAGGACTTAACTTATAGAGGCATACAATACAAACATTACCCATGATGAAATTCAAAAACAATATTTCCTATCGCAATAAATTTCCCGACTCCAAGAAAAGTACTATATTAGATAAATAATTAAAAAAAAAATTAAACCTTTGAATGTAAACATTAAAAAAATTATAAATTTCATTTTTAACATTTATTTACAATATTAATTAGCGATGTCATTTTTTTCAAAAAATATTGGTTTTATGATAAAGTACATACGATTGGAAAATACACAAAATGTTTTTTTTTAAACAAATGTTCTTATACTTTTTTCAATACAGTTATTATTACTTGTGTTATGCTTGAAAAACAAAAAACTTTGTTGTTTTCCAAAAAAATTGAGTTATGCATTTTCAAACCTTTGGTAGCTTTTGTGGTTAATATTGTCCAATTCTCCTAAAACTTTTTATACATCATTTTTATAAGTATCCGAACCAATTTAAGTTGCATAGTTAACAAATTTTCAAAGTTCAGTTTTAAGAATCATCTAATATTTATATATATATACGCATATGAATAATAATAACAATAAATAAAACTATTAAAATTATATATTATACCAGTGTATATTTTATTTCCGGGTCGTCACTATCGTATGGAATAACACCTCCTTTTACCAATTTCGCCGTACACGGATTAAATATCGCAAATGTAATCATGTAAAAATCGACATCCGCATCAAACGTAGCAAATTTCAACGCTACATTAAATCAAATTTTAAAAATAAAAATTATTTAGGTGAGCTATTGTACTATAACAAGTTAAAACCAGATAAAAAACAGAAACCAAAAATATACAGTTAGTGAACACAGTCAACTGTACGATTATTGATACAGTTCCATAAAAGGTATGACGTCAGCAGCAGTTTCGAATGAATCCGTGGAATATTTATTTATGTCCTGAACTATGAGAAAGTGTAAAAACAACCACGACGTGAACTATTTAACTAGTTAATACGTTTGTTCATAGATATATACATATATATACATTAATAAATAATTCAAAATAAAACATATAAATTGTAGTATGTTGATGGTAACATATTTTGTTGAACTGGTCATAAAATAAAACAATATTAAGTTGCTGATAACGTTTGTTCGGTTTTTAAAGCAGCTAAAGTAGGAAAGAAACATTTTTTCAAAACATTAAGTTCTTCCAAATTTGAAATTCCATCAAACATTTTTCAAAATGTAATTTAAATTTGTCTTTTTTAATTTGGAAAGTAGATTGGTTTGATATTTTTGAATTATTTAATTGTGACGTAAATACAAATATAAAAATATAGATATCATTTTGTAAAGTGTTTACTTATCTAATATTATTTTTATTTACCATTACCCACACAGCAGATTTATGTTTTAAAAATATTTTAATGATGATTTGTAAATATTTTTTGTCGTCTCAAATATATATTCAAAATACTTCTAAAACATTTAGAAAATATTTTATATTATATTTTGAAAATAAAGGGAAAGAAATACGCGAAAAATAAATAGAAAAACGTTAATATAATAATTTAATATCAATATTTTGATATTAAACTAATTTTTTTTTTTTTTTGACCACTCATTAATACGTATAATAAACTTCCTATCAAATTTTCAAGCATATCTGTTAAGTCTAACAATTCATCTATAGAGTACCTACGAATTGAAAATTACATAGAACTCTCGCAAAATTAAAATGTGTCTGAAAAGCTCAACAATTGCTCAAATGCTCTGAAAATTTTACCATGTCTAGAAAAATTAAACATACATTTTCTGTCAATATTTTAAGTCTTTTCAAATATTTAATAATGGAATTACATTAAAAAAAATAAAAAAATAATTGTTCGTAAATTTTGTCGTTTTTTCTATGTATTTTTCGGTTTTGCTCAATAATTAAATAAAAAGCTATAAGGGAAATCGTAAACCGACATTGTTGGTCATCAACGAAGATCTCTTGATTTTTTTCTATTGGAGAATACATATGGAAGAAAAAATAAGCCATACAAATTTAAAATGATGAAATCCCTGTGCCGTAATTTAAAAAGAAACGTATATTTCGTCTTTTTTGGTTTTTCCAAATTATTATGAAAAATAATACTTTAGATATCAAATAATGGCTTAGTCTGTCAGTGGCTATGTGTTAAAAGAAACATAACCGATCACTTGTCATTTTTAGATAGGAGTAATATTTCTGGTAGAAAACATAAGTTGAACATATTAAAATTATTAAACCAGGACGCTACATTGCCGTGAATATTAATTAATTCTAATTTTTTGATTTTTCCCAGTTATTACGAAAAATACTTTTGATATCGAAAAACGACTTTTTCTGTTTGTGACGAAATATTAAAAACATTAAAAGGGATAAAATCGATATCTTGTTGTTTTTGGATTGGAGCAATATATCTGGTAGAAAATATCGTGTTAACATAATAAAAACAATGAAAACGGTAACGCCGTGACGTGCCGTAAATATTTACCGTTTTGCCTGTAATTTTCATTCAGGTTTTTTCTAATTATTTTGAAAACCCCTTGAAAAATAAAAAAGTGACCTCCTCAGTGCACTAACGAGGGAAAATTTCCTCTCAGAAAAGATGCTATAGTCTATACTTCGGAGCAAGTTTTTGGTATAAAAGTTGTTCGGACACAAAAACAAAAATAAACAAAATACACACACTTCATAATGAAACCAATAGATTCGTAGCGTAGCGTTATAACAATTATCACGACAAAACCAAATTATTAAGGCCAAATCAACATTATTATCATTTACGGAATGCATAGCTTTGACCAAGGGATCATTATTATTAAAAAATTAGATCGGAAGGTGAAATGACTCACGGGACGCTTGGAACACGTAAACTTCTATGTACTCAAATATCCGGTATGAGTCAACCTTATCGTGTAGAAGATTGAGCAAAAATAATTAATCGTCTTTTTTCTAGTGAACTGAGTTTTAAATGCTTCCATGACTATATGGTAATTATTACATACACACATGATTTATGACGTAAACAAATAAGTCATGGGTTAATACATTTTTCCATTTCGGTATATATGAATGCAAAACCGCCAAAACATCAGATTTACTCGTATAGTTGTTTTATAGATCTATGATTAAGGCAAAATTGTATACCTATGTATAGTTTCGTATTGAACAGTTTCAAACCGTCATATAATCTACACACAATACGTAATTAATAACTAACTAATAGCACTATATCAGTACACGGTAGAAATGTAAAGATTAATTATTTCAAATTTAGGTAAATTTTTCTAATTCTGACGTATACCAAATTAAACTTCAACAAATTTAAAAGTTTTCCCATAGATTTGAAAAATGTGGGCCAAAGATTTCAATACAAATGGCTAATTGAATTTAATCAGTAAAGATATTCGGTGCTAAAAAGTTAAATTTGTTGTGATTCTTATATATTTCCCTCTCTACTGGCAGGGTCAAAGTAACGTGATTTTAGAAATTATTCCTAATTACGTCACTATAACAGGGGTCGTAATATACTATAAATTTATTCTGAGTCCAATAACTCAATCTCTGGTACCTATATAAAAAAAAAAATTGAATACTCGTATATTATTTTTAATTGTTTTGATTACTAGATTGTGGGTTGGAAAATTCATCTATCAAAAAATGAGCGGGTACCGGGATTCCGATGAAGAAATCCTTAGCAGCGGTTCTCATATAATGCAGGTATAATTGAAACTGTTGAGCAAATAACGGGAAATTTGCTTTATATGACTGAAAAAGAGGAAAAAAAACAAATTCAGTTTTATTAGTAGGTGTTTAAATGTACTGATTTTTAGCAGCTCTAATAGATATATAAATATATAGACTTCTTTTCTATGTTTTGCAGGAAAAAAAATTATTTCTGTGTGATACTTTTAAGTATGAATTTATTTTTTTTTAAAAAGGTAAACTCATCTTGTACTTTAACTAAACTAAATAAATAAAAAAAAAACGAACAATTTCCTTCTACAAAACATAGACAAGAAATCAAACAATTGAAATACCTAAATGTTTTTAGCATTAAAACCGGGCTGACAATAGTGAGGGAGTATTAAAATTAATCCAGCTTATTGGTTTGAAACGTCATAAAAACAGCCGTACACCCTTCCCCTTAAATGGGTACCGGGCAATAGATTACTAGAAAATTCTTCTATCATATGCAACTACAATAACAATAAGTAACATTTTTTAATGGAAAATAAACGTTTAGCTAAAATCAAAGTAACAACTAATTACGTTCTTTTAAAAAAAGTTACTTATTGTTATTATAGTTGCTTATGATAGAAAACTTTTCTAGTAATCTATTGCTTGACATCCATTTAAGTGGAAGAGGTTACGGGCGTTTTTACGACGTTTCAAACCAATAAGCTGAAGTAATACACACTCACTACTGTTCATCCAATTTTAATGCTAAAAAAAAAAACAAGTATTTCAATGTTAATAACTAGTAATAAACTGTAATAACTAATAACGTTCTTTATCGCTATACGAATAAATAAATAATATAACGTTTTTTATTCTTAATAATTAAATTGTGTCCTTTTAGCTTACTATAAAATCTATGTCGTTAAAAATCAATCCTTTAATTTTAGGACGAGGTGCTATATACCACTTTATAAAAGCTGCGTCTTGTTGAGCTCTCATTGTTATTTTTTCGCTATCGTATCTCCATTTGTCATTTTCAGCATGATAAAAACATAACAATAGATCTTTATCAGATTGCTGAACAGCATCTAAAAACACTGTAAAAAATTTAAACAAATTAACGGTTTGAGTATACAAAAAAAACTTATAATGAACTTCTTGTTAAGTTTCCAAGCATTTCTGTTACGTCAAACAATTTGATCCATATTATTTGTATTTTTGTATTCTGTATTTTGTAATTCGCTTAAATTTTTAAACCAGTCACGTGTAATTATTTTTGTGCATAAATTTATCTGTACTTTTACCATTTTGAGGTGTAAATAAATAAATAAATAATGCACATGCCATTATTTTCCCAAATTTTCCCAATATAACATATATATTGTGGATAAAGCAACACTATCAACCGAACTCCGCTCAGAATCGTTTTTTTCGTAATCAATAGTTAATCGTCGCGTACAGATATACATTCAATTTCCCCTCTACTACCTTCCCGACTTTTCACTTATAACAGTGACTACACCCGTCCCCATTATCCTAGGACAGCTTTTACTAATTGATAAATATTATCGGTTCTTATTGGCCATATTCAAATTTATGCCAGCTTAGGTGGCTATTCATGATAATTATAATTATATTCCATTATATCCAACACAAACCAAACATTTTGGTATCCATCATCCTTCTAACAATAGCAACGCTTAGTTGAATTTTAAAAGACAAGGTTAAAATAAAAGGTTGTCCTAGGATAATGGAGATTGGTGCAGCCACTGTTATAGATGAGAAATCGGAAAGGTAGTAGGGGGGAAATCGAATGGGAAAAACTGATAAAATATGTAGGAAAAAGATACAGACATACCTCGCACGGTGGGTGGGCCACTGTTGTATGTAAGAAGTTGAAAAGTAAGTAAAGGAGAAATTTAATGTACCTATATCTGTGAGCAATGATAAACCATTAAAATGTACTAATAATTTGTATTTTAATACATTGATATACGACTTTAACGAATGTTGTACCACAAATCAATTTTAATGTTCACAAATGATACGAATAAATACGAATGACATTTACCATATTTTATCTATCCTACGCCATTTATTTTAAAATCATTTTTCAACAATATTTTCTTCTAATATTGAATTTAACGCAATGTTTACATACGACGTTCGTTTTTAAACTGACATTGAATTAAATTATTATGTTTATTTTATTTCCGCAATGGGCAAATAGTTTTTAAATTAGTTTTGCCTTTTTCCTTACAAAAATATAGATGCGTTTTTTAATGTTAAATTCGAATCCGGATTGAAACAAACGTTTCAAGGAGGGTTTGTCGAAATATATTAGCTATAGTATGCAGAGATATGATGTTGAAATATTTCAAAACTATTCATGAAATTCTAAAACTTTCAAGGCCATTGAAATGAAAAGTTTTAAAACTTTTAATTTTCTTCTATTATCTATGCTTTTCATAATTTAAAATTGAATTTCAAAGACGATGTAAGTCAATTCGGTAGTATTTCTTGATAACTATTTGTATAAAGCAAATAAATATGTCCAAAAGAGCAAAAGGAATAATTTCAATTTGTTTTATGAAAAGTGACATAAAGCGTTTCGGTAAAACTCGTCATTTTATAACTTTGAATTAATGAAAATTAATAATTTTAATGTAGATTTTTATTTTCAACACTCATTATACGCGAAAACACGCAATATTTTTTGATACACGTATTTTTCAAGAAAATTATTTCACATATTAAATGCCCCTTTTAGATGTTTTTTTTTTTTATAGGGCATCATAATATATCATTGTATAATGATGTATTATGAATTATGAATTTTATACTTACTGAATTGGTCGGGCGATCCGTTTGGTTGCGGTGGCGGCGGTCCGTTATTAGGACCGCTCGTGTCTACTCGTCTATCGATTTCTATACCGTCGTATATGAAGGACGTGCACTCGCTCGGTAAATTCGATACGGGTACAGGTCTACCGTTGCAGGTTAAAGCAGCACTCCCGAAGTAATAGCAAAGGTACGGTCCAGGAAATCCTTTATACGTGAATTATATAACAATAATATTATACGAACCAGTGGCGGCTCGAAGGAGATGTATTTGAATCATGTGTTTCACAAAAAAACCGTGTGGGTGGATCGTAGGTATTCGGAAATATAAAAAAAAATGATCATGTTTTTAAAAAACAAGTTATTAAAAAAGAATTTTAAACTGCGGAAATTCGATAAATTGGACCAATTTTATTAAAATTTAATAAATTCCAATAAATTTGTGATAGGGTGCGGGTATTTTTTGGTTGGGCTAGGCAGATGGGTGAGTTGAAATTTTGTATTGGTGTTGCAAGGTCCGCCACTGATACGAATAGTTTCTATTAATAATTTTGAAATGTACAAGGAAGTATTGTAACTGTAAATTGCCTATATTGTCGATACGATAGGTATTATACGAGTATATTAAAATGTGGTCTGACGACATAAAAACCTGAAAACTCAAAATACAGTTTTGACAAAGAATATATTGCATAATGTATAGAGGTATTCTAATAATATTAAGAATTATAAATTTAATAACACTCGTAGTGTTAAAAATTGATGAAAAACAATACTTCGCGACATTTTTTCTGTATTTACTGTTAGAAGTACTGACCCACGCGTGCTGTTTTCGTCTTACAAACGTTCGACATAGGTAACAAATTTATATTCAGCAGAGACAACTTTATGTTATTTACTGTAATATTAAAGTGCATTTAACTTTTATCGAAATTAATGATAAGAACATTATAACATTGTGCAACGTTGGCGCCAGAGACGTAATTTGAGTTAGGTTTTGGAAGGGGGATGAACAAATGTTGACAATTTTATAGAAGACGGGGTATGAACTTATTAGCTAAAACTTGTTTTCAATTGGTGACATTTTACTACTATAAGAAAAGCTCATTTGTAGAAATCCATACAAATGTGCAGATTTTTTTCTTTTTAATTTTCAACTAATTATAGTCTTTGAAGCTGATCTGTAATCATTTTAATATCTATTTTTGATCAAAAAGTGGCCGAATAATACAAATTTATAATATGAATAAAAAAGTTATAAAAACTCAATATGTATAGATTTTTACAAATTAGCTATTCTTATACTATAAAATTTAATTTCACTTGATTCCCAATAAATCGTATGTATTTTTTTGTGATTTTTAAACTTTCGAACTTAATGAGTAAATGCGACTTAATTTAAAAACCTCCTCAAACGGACACCTCCCAATAGCAAACAAAAATTCGGCAACCGAGGGTGTCCGCTATTCAGAACTTTCACTGTATACATATTTATATTTTAAAACTACACGATTACTTACCATCTGTTGTTCTCGTTGCGACCGATATCAGAATTATAATAATGGAATATACCAACCGATTCATTTTAATACAATAGCTTTGATGTACCTAAATCTACGATAGACTTCATCAAACCGTCCTGTACACTAAATGTTCCATTTTGAACACGTAACATATCATCCGTCAACCGTTTTTGTTTTGAAATCTATACATTTGTATCATTCGCATTTTAATTTAATAATTTACTGCCAGACGTGATACGTTTAAATTGTTTTAAATATTATTTATTCGATTACGCATTTGTGTAAATAAAACATTTACGGTTATTTTATTTTGACTCGAGAGTATAAGGGTATGGAAATATCGAATTATACGATATTAAAATGGCGTGAAAAATTGGGTCTGAATTTAATTTATATAAAGCGTGATAAATGTGGTTATAGGCGCGCAAACAAATAAAATCTGTATAATTTATTATCAATAGGGCTGTCATTTGTTCAGAATTAGGCGGGACACTATCGGTTTTAAGCACGCCGTCCCGATATTTATCAAGTCCCGACCGGCACTTTAAATAGGTACCGTGATTTCCTAAAGGCTAAAATAAGTCCCGTGTCTTCCGAGAAAATTCATTTTTACGAAAACAAATCAAATTCAAACGTGAACCTGCTATTGATTTTTCGTGAATTACATTTCCCACAGAAAATGGTTTCTGCGATAAAATCAATTCAAATCATTATTTACATTTCTTGTAAAACGCTTTCTCTATTTATCCAGTCTCCTTGCCCCTGGTCCCCTAACTTTCCATTTGCAAAACAGGCGTAAGGAGAACAAGGGAAATTTTATTTTCCCGGGAACGGATACTATATTACACAAATAATTTAGATTGCTAAAATAGGTGTAAGTCACACAAGTTTTACTTCGATTGAATGTCCCGATTTTAGATTCTAAATGGAGCGAGGAATGTATTGGTTTTATAATGATGTTTATTTATTTACTACAGAAACCTTACTTTAAAATATTAAGTATAGCACGTTTTCTGAAAGGAAATTTTCCTGGGGTGGTACTTCAAAGAGGTCGTTTTTTGATTTTACCAGGAGTTTTCCAATAAATGGAAAAACTGAGTAAACGTCAAAATTCGATATTTAAAAAAAATAAACATCATTGTAAAACCAATACAATTCTTCACTTCGCTCAGAATTTAAAAAGTTAATCAAAAATTTTAAATACTTTGATAAGTTTGCTATTATGTTATCAATATTGTAAATAACAATATATTTGTCTGTTTACAACGCACATCATTCGATCAGAGAGCACGATTAAACTAAAACACAATAATCAATTTTCAAAATTGTCTTGAAACAATTTTTTTTATTTGAGGTTTACATATTTATTATTTAATAATATAGAATAAATAACAACAAGAAATAATTATTTCGCACTGCATAAATTAACAAATTTTATTGCACAGTTTTTTTTTCACTGCATAAGATGTGTCTGGTAAAAAAAACTCTGTTTTTTCAGATAAGTATATCATTAATCATGATAACACGCATAGATGCAACTAGGAGGAGCTTGAGGGAGCTAAATCCTTTCAGTATTCTAAATAGCCCCCCTCCAGTTACGACGAATATAAGTAGATATATTGATATTTTATAATAATTAATTTTATGACTACAATAATGTAATACAATATTATATTTTCAAATTTTGGCAAATAAATTTGTTTGACGTGTTAACTATCTAGTATTCTATATCAGCTATGTATGCAATAAGTTAAACAGTAAGAATAAGATAAAAAATATGGAGAAGAACACAATTATTACAAAAATATATGTTCTTTTTGCCAGGTTTTTTTCTGACGCGTATTTTGTGTTTAATCCTAAGGTGCTTATTGAAGCCTGGTACAGAATTATACTTCGTAAGCATAAACTTCGTATTTAAACACTTAAAAACTTATTAATAGTAATTAAGTACAACAATAAATAAAATAATTTGTATTTGTTAAAAAAACGGTAAAGTTATATTCATATTGTTATCAATATTATTATAGTGCCGATAACACAGAATAGTATCATGGAAACATGTATAGATAACAGTCACGTCACGGATATGGATCAGACCTTGGTGGATTAATCCAATTGTATTTTTATCAATCTACATTTGGATCAGACGTTCATGAGAAAAACCATGAATGGCTGACAAGGGTGTGTGATAAAAAAAAAATCAGTTATAGGTGGATCATAACTTTTATATAGAAGATTTATAATAATAGTTGTCACAGTTGTAATAATATTATAAAGTTTTTTTTCATAATTTTAAACATTTCTTATAGATTTAGAGAAATTGAAATAAATAATATTTGTTATACGTTATGTTAACAGTGTGTAAAAAAAAATTCAATTGAATAAAATAGTTTATAATGCAAGTATGTAAGTAGGTATGTGCAATTTCGTACACTTATTTATATATTTCTCAAGTTTATAAATTATATTTTTGCCGATCATTTTTCTGTTTTTATATTGACGTTCTGTCAAATAGAGGGCAATCCGGTTGAGTGTTTGCACCAGTGAAACCATCCACGAGGTAATAAAACGACGGAAACGGGGAATGACATTTACACTCGCAGAAAGGATCGTTCAAATCAATGCTGTCGACGACAAAACCTCCTCCGTTTTGGGCCGCAAAACAACCCTAGGCAAATACAAAATCAAAATATTAATATTATTGAAAACGTTATTTTAGTCGAATTTTCCCCGAAAATCGAGACTATTGAATTGTTTTGTATATAACGTGGGTTTTACAAATTTCATGTTACAGCTAAATTTTCCATAAAATATTTATTTTTTTCCAGAAATTATTAAAATATTAATGAATTTTAATGCAAGTTGCTACTTGAAAATCAAAAATAGGTATAGCCGATTTACTCCCAAAAATAAGGATAAAATATAACATTTTAGAATTATATACAACTATAAAAAGATTTTAGATGAGTCATTAATTAAAAAAATAAGTAATTCATGGACAATTTAAAGGACCCTGTAAGTATGATCTAATTTTTTTCCTACTAATTTTGGACACTTAAACAAGTGCACATATGAAAATTCCAGTGACTTTAGGCGGATTGAAGTTTAGATTAATTTAAAGCTTAATAATTTCACGTTCACCATATTTGTGCGGGAGAAAGATATTTGTTTAGCTTATTATAGTTGAGTGTAGTATTACAATATTGTATTCGTATTATTCAGGTTGTTTTTAAAACATATTTCTATTACCAGGTGATCCATTCAAGTGGATACACTCATTATCTCGAAAAGTATTAACTTTTTCTGGAATTTGTTTCCTAGAAAATTTAAGAAACAAGCTGCTTTACAATTTTATATTTATGTTATTTTTTGTTACCATTATTTTTACGAGCAAAACCACTAAATACTTTTGATTTTCGAATGACGATTTATATTAAGAATTCCATAAATAGATGGAGTATGAGTTAAATTTTTGATTTCTGTCAGTCCATTGACGAGATATTCCACTTTTAAGTTTGGGTTAGAGGAGATTAGTGGAGTATCATTTCTGTAGCGATACGGTGTGGCACACGGTATGTTAATAATGCACCACTAATCTGCTCTGTTCTATCTATTTATGGAATTCTTAATATAAGTTGCCATTTGAAAATTAAAAACAGGTAATGGATTTACCGCTAAAAATAAGAGTGACAAAAAATAACATAGATACACAATTGTAGAGTTGCTTGTTTCTTAAATGTTCTAGTAGACAAATTCCGAAAAAAGTTAATACTTTCCGAAATAATGAATGTACCTACTTAAATGGATCACCTGTAGGTATATAAAATATTTAGGACGAAATTCGAATACTAGTGGAGCTCTACTGTTCACGAGTGTTTTTTCTTCTGAAAAACACCAAAATGTCTTACTTTCTCGCGTAGTGATGTTGAATTATCCGCACACCAATGACACGTTTCACTCGGATACTTACATATCTATAAATTAATAATAAACAATATACATAAAACGAAAATAAATAATAAGTATACATTGCGAGTGTTTTGTACATCGTCACTTCTCATCATGAGTAAGTTACTATTCTAGATGAGAAATTAGGAAAGTAGGATATATATGAGGTGATTTAATTTATATCTACACGCAACAATAAGACTTTGCTAATGGAAACAATTCTGAGTGAAATTCGGTTCTTTAAGTTTTTACAACCTTAAATTAAAAATTATATTAATTTGTAAATATTCGATAAATAATTACAATTGTCTATGTTTTTTAAATTGTTGAACATTTTTATAGAGCCAACAAATGTACAACCACATAATCGGAAAATACCTTGTACGCGAATAAATGTCGTGGTTTTTAATATTTTCATCAAGATTTTAATTTAAAATGACAAATAGAAAAACCTATGATAAACCTTGAATTAAATTTCCAAGCCGGTTTGGGAAGCCAGAAATACTGCACCCACATAATAACTAATCAATTTCAATTGGCTATAGCTTAAGTCAGTTAGCAAACGCGATTAAAGCCTAATCTATAAAATGACTATTTTTTATTCGAAAATAATAAAATAAAAAGTTATTGTTTTAATTTTTTCACCAAAACATGGACATTTTAGTTAAATATAAATATGTTGTAGTCATTATCCCTGTGAGTAATATAAAAAAAAGAATAATAAAACTAAATTTAATTATCTTCATTATCTCTGGAGATACTAAAATATATATATCTTTGTGGGACACTCATATGTATATGTTTTATAATGTTAAAAAAAAATATTACATAACATTACATTATTAAATAACATTACCCTTTCAAACGTCGAATAACATTCGTTTTTGTATGTTAATTTCCGAGACCTGTTTGAAATTGCAAACAATTGGAATTTGAAGTATATTTTCTTCTTGTTTTTGATATTCAGTAGATCTATAGCTTGTTTTAATTTTAACTGTATAAACCATATTTAATTAACAATTTATAAAAATTACATTTACACGATTATTTTAATTATATATATTACTAAAGTGTGTGGGTAGGGTCCGTCTAATGGAATCGTACCTCCGTGCACCAAATCCGGTGTGCATTTATTAAATATTGAAAATGTGAATACGTAAAAATCGACTTCCATATCGAATACAGAAAAGTCCAAACCTTAAATATAACCCAAAAAAATACGTCAATATTTTTTTTTTTTTTTTTTGCATACAAGAAAATTTACTTAAAATGTACAATTATGGCCACAAATCTGAATAATGTGTATAATAAAATCATTAACGAACAAAAATAAATTATTAGGGTGAATTTTATGAATTTGAAAGTAAACTTTATGAGTAGATACAAAAATATGTAATTTTTCGTTGTGCTTTTTTAATTTTTGTAAATCATTAATATGCATTTAACTTTTTATTTTAAGTGTTTGATGATGCGTAAATATCAGATAAATTAAGATAATAATATATAAGTTATTAACAGTAGTGGACTGACTTTTTTTTAGATCACAATTGCAAAATTAATTAGTGGCTCACATATTTCTTTTTTTTTTGAAACTTACTTAAATTAGGAAAGAATTGAGATAATAAATAAATACGTGAAACCAGAGAATAACTTGTTACATTTTTTGGGCATATGATGCAGACGTGCAGGATATAATATAGATAATCATAGTAATTATTAATATTATGTAGGTAGTTGAGAGTAAACTTATTGTTAGACGATTTTTCTATTTGAGCTCACTCAAAGAAAGAATATTTTATTTAACATCTAATTCTTAAAATTATAAATTTAAAAGCCGAAATAACAAGCCGGTATTTATATTTATATATATATATCAATAATGACAAATGCATTCTATTCATACACACACATAGTTAGATAGTTCAATTTTAAACAAACTGTATTAAAACAAAACATATGTCATACATACAATATAAAATTGTAATGTAATATACGTATATAATCTATGCAGTGTGTTTCTTTTTAAATGTAATATTAATTATTTCTGTCCAGTGACTTTGGAATGAAATGGGGTTTTCGTGAGGAGCTAGGAGATACTGAAGTACTAATTTTTTGACAATTTTCAAATTGTTGGAATTTTTATTGTGCACATGCGCAATAAAACTTGCATTCTTTTAAATGGTAATATGCAAGACAGGGCAAGTCAATGATTTTTTTTTCAAATCGGTTAAGTTAAGCTAACTTTATATAAAGTTAATAATTAAAAGTTTATTCAAAATAATATATCTATCAATTCAACTAAATTTTAGAAGTTAATCAAAAGGTAAAATTAACTCTTTAACTCAAGTTAGGTTAATTAAAAAAAAAATGTACATATTGTCTATTACCTCTTACAATAGCCTAATTATAAATCTACCAACAACCCTAACCGGTGACAACAGTAAAAAATAACAGGCATTCATAACAGTTCGTGTTTTAACATTTTCTTAATATGTTGATAATAATAAAATATATTTTTTTAGATAGTTATAAAAAAAAAAAAAATTGAAATACTGGAAGCACAAAATTTACATTTTAAATAAATAAACGGATATACTTCGTACGAATGGCTAACTGTCAACGAAACGCTAAATGTGAATTTTTTATATTACAGTTAAAAAATTTACTAAACACATAGTATATTTTATGCACTTATGTATTTGTTCATTGAAAAATATTTTCTATGTATAATTTTATGAAATTCAAATTAATTATTATCCATTTTAATATGCTCCAGTATGCTTTCAGTATCCATTTGGAAGGTTGTGGTTAACACTGAACAAGATAAGAATTGAGTAGGTCAGATGCAAAAGTTTACTCTAAAAATGTGAGATAACACAGTCTTCTCTTTGCTTATGCGAAACTGTACAAATAATTCGATATATCACTGAAGAGTGTCCAAACACAAAATTTGAAGGCGACATGACGTAGCAGAACTACACGAGGCTAGAATGGAGGCAGTTATTGTGAATACGTATTAGTTTTACAATTATGTTTATTTTTTCGTCTTCGAACAACTTTTACACCAGAAAGCTCTCTCCGATTGTGGAACATTTTCTGAAAAGAAATTTTATATGAATGGTATTTTAAGCATGCCACTTTTTGATTTTTCAAGGAGTTTTCAAAACAATTAGAAAAATGGAGGAAAACGGGAAAATGTACGAATATTTTATTCGGTAGGTACCCTGTGGTATAAAATTATTAGACCAAACAGAAATGCTTAAAAATTGAACAGCATGTTCAATATAAGTCGTAGGTACTTTGTGGTAAAAAAAAAAAATATGAGTACAATTTTAATTATAATATTAATTCAATTAATAAAACATTTTTTATAAGTATTTTAATATAAAATTTTGACGAAAATCATAAATATTACGACCTTTTAAAACACGTGTAACCGAACTCCACTCAGAATCGTTTTTCGTTAGCAGATATTAATTGTAGCACACAGATGTACATTCAATTCTCCGTTATATTCTACATTCTCAACTTTTCACCTACAACAGTGTCCCGCTCATCGTGCGTGTCCGTCTTTTTAAAATTATTGTTATAACTTCTGTGTTTCTTATATTATGTACTATTGGGCTTTTACTATTGGCCGTTTTATTAATTTGAAAAAAATATTAATAATACTTTATTATCATCATCAACTATCAATTATCATTTGTAACAAAAGGTCAAGCAGAATATTTTTATTTTTAAAAACTGTACCTCCCCAAAAAAAAAGGAACAATGCATATTTAACAAAAATATGACTGTGTTGTACGGTAGTATGTAAAGTGTGTAGTGTGCAGTATTAGACGCGGTTATGGCACTAGATTTGATGATATCTCATAAACTATTAATCCTGGTAATTCATTACAGAAACATTTGTGCTTATCCTATAATAGATCTTCGAATATTGAACTGTTTATTAACAATGTTTACAAAATTTTAGCCTCAGACTTAGCAATGTGAAAATTATTTATTTTGTAACTTTCAGTTAAGTAACTATTACTAAAAAAAATCACGTAAATCTTTACTTGTAAAACAGGACTTTCTGATCGCGACTGCTATTAGTTCAATCCGACACAGTATTGACCACTGATACGGCGTCCGCCAATCTCAGTAAATAACTGTGGTTGTTCATAACATTAGGTCGTGTACATTGTAACTTTACTTTTGTGTATGTATTGAGTATGCATTTTTAAAAAAATAAAAAAGACGTCCTAGGATAACGGGGACGGAGCAGCCACTATTATAGGTAATTTAATGTATACCTGTAAGCTACGATAAGCCATTGGTTACGAAAAAACTATTCTCAGCGGAGTTCAGTTGATAGTGATGCTCTGTTAACAACATACACGCCATTTTTTGGTAAAATAATTAAATAGGCTCTATATATTTTCTTTAATAATATTTATTTAATGTCGTACCGATTTCCCCACTTTTCCTACGTTTTTCCTAGTTTTTCCGTGTTTTTTCCCAGTTTTTCACATTTGCTAAAAAAACTCTGAGGAAAATCGAAAAACTACCTCCGCACACCCATTTCCTTTCAGAAAAGGTATACACGTAACAATTGTAGCAAGTCCTCTGGTAAAAGTTGTACACAAAAAAAAAAAATAAACATCTTTGTAAAACCATAAGCTTCTTCGCTCCAATCAAAATCTAAAATTTGTTTTTTTATTGATTTAATTAATAAAAAAAAAATAGTAGTATAAAATTATAAAAAAAATAATTTTTGTGGGTTTTATTATACTTAAGTATAGTGTAGTTTAGGGTGGATATTATTTTATATTTAACTTGAATTACCAAATAGAATATCTCAAGCCACATATCCGTAAAATAGTATTAAAAACAATTTTTTTCTTACTCGAACATAATTATATTTACTTTTGGCATGCTTTATGTTGTACGTAACCCAATCTTTATTTTCCTTAGTCTCATCGGGGCTTATAATAGGGTCTGGATCTACAAAACCGGTGCGTTCTTCGTGATTAACTAATATATCGATTACTGATGAGGCAGATATGGTTACCCCGATGGTGAAGTTGTTGGTTGTTTTCCTCATATAATGAAGATATACTTGAAAGTTTTTAGTGAATTTCGAAAAATCGTCTTGATAGAGCTATAAATTTAAAAATAAATTAATATCAAATAATTTATTAAGAGCACTGAGTTATATAATATTTAATGTAAATAACAAGTATAATTATAGAGAAAGGCGGTAGATAATCTAAATTCTAAAGCCTCAAATTTGAAATATTTTACAAACAAATCTAATTAGGTGTAATTATCATTGACTAAAAAAAAAAAAAAAAGCTTTAAACAAATATACATCTACCTCGATTGGTATTATAATTAGGTATTACGGGTAAATCTAAGTGAGTATAGTATAATTTATATAATATACAGAATGATTCAGTCAACTGAGAACACTCATTATCTCACAAATTATTAACATTTTTTGGAATTTTTTTTTGAATATTTAAAATAAAGCAGTTCTAAAATGTAACATTACTATTAGTTTTGTCGTCCTTATCTTTGGAGGTAAAACGACTACCTAATTTTGATTTTAAAATGGCGACCTATATTAAAAATTTCATAAATAAATGGAATATTAGTTTTAGTCAATTTCGGTGTTGACATTTTTTATTTCAATCAACCTGTTGACGAGATATTTCTCTTTTGAGTTTGGGTAAGAAGAAATTAGTGGTATAATCATTTGTGTGGCAATACGGCACGTGGCATTTTATTAATAATCCATTATTCACCTAACCTACCCATACCCAAGCTCGTTCTTAAATTTTTAAAAAAATAAAATAAAAGTACTAGAAATAGTTAATACTTTTCGAGATGATGAGTGTTCCCAGTTGAGTGAATCATAAAATATAAAATATATATTTATATATTGTATACGGTATGTTGATATAGAATTAATTTGATATTACAATACGACCCTCGAAAAATGTTTGTCCGTTATATAAAAGTAACTTACTGTGAGGTCTATGTCTGCAAAAATTAATCCGTTTAGTTTCGGATGTACACCAATAAAATTTAATATACTGCTTGAATCTTGTTTTGCTAACGTGTCAATTCCATCCTTATCATATCTAAAATTGTTAGATTTTTCATGATATAACAACACGTACGACGGCTTATTAGTTGTCATAACAGCATCTAAATACGCTGTAACATAATATAATAAATTATAATATTAGCGTTTGGATTTATCTAAATAACTATTTACTTATCTTTTATCTTATCTAGATGAACAATTTCAAGTTGTTAATTATAAAGATAATTTGTATTTCTTTTTTTTATGAAAAACATTAAATACCTAACTAGAGTTATTATCTTACGATAGTGTTTTGTTTGTATTTTTATTGTCTTTTAAAAATATTACTAATATCATTGTTTGTGTTATACCGTGTGATTCTTTTAAACACTCATTGTCTTGGAAAGTGAAACGACTATCTACTTTTGATTTTCAAATAGCGACAAAATACCATAAATAAATTATAATAAACCATAAATAAATTTTGGTGTTTACATTTTTGATTTCCGTCAATCCATTGTCGAAATATTCCACTCTTAAGTTTCTGTCGGGAAAGAGTAGTGAAGCATTTGTGATCATTTGTGTGACAGCACGGCGCGTGGCGTTTTAATAATGCACCACCACTCTTCCCCGATCAAAACTTAAAAGTAAAATATCTCGTTAATGGATTGACCGAAATCAAAAATGTATTTTAACTAATACTCTATGTATTTAAGGCATTTTCAAGTAGGTTACCATTTAAAAATCAAAAGTAAATAGACGTTTCACCCTCAAAAATAAGGGTGACAGAAAATTAGAAAATGTACCGTTTTAGAAATATCTGTTTTTTAAATTATTAATAAAAAAAAATTAAGGTTTAAACTAGATTTTTTGATTTAAAATTTGATGTATTCAAAATAAATACAAATGTAATGCGGTTATTTCACAAAATTTCCAAAAAAATAATATACCTTAATAATTTGAGTTATTCAAAAATAAAAATTGAAAATTTATCTCCTAAATAACCTAGAATATTTTTGACATTCATAAAGACTTTAAAAATTAAAACCGGACATTGAAAAATATGTCTAAAACGTATGAAAAATAGATGTGGTATAATCAATTTGTTTTTATTACTATTTTTTTTTTTTTTTTACTTCAACTCGTCTGTAGTGATGAGTAATTCAGCTAGTAAAACAATAATTTAAAGTTAAATAGTGTCACGATTTATAAGTTCAAAAAATTATTGTTTATAGTTTTTAAATTTTTTTTATATACATCGGCAATCTACCTATATGGTTTTAATAATGACATACGTCATCCGACGAAAAATAATAAATATCCGGGAATGAAATAATTTATATAAATTAACAATATCGGCAAACATTGAATCAGCAATTTATTATTTTCTAACGTTTGATACTTCGAAGTTTGGGGCACAGTAATTAAATATTAAAAACTCATCAATTAAAAAACAGTTAGTTAAAAAGTTCAAATTTAATTTGTAATTTATTATGGATCTCGAAATATATCATAATAATAGTAAGTTATCACAAAAAACAAAAAAAAATAAAAACCACATAGAGGTACAAATTATAATAAAAAAAGGACGCACAATACTTCGTACGTGGGTGCAGCCATTGTTGTAGTTGGGAAGGTAGGATATAGATGGGAATTTAATGTATATTTCTAAATAACGATAAATCATTGCTACCGAAAAAAAAATTCTGAGCAAAGTTTAGTTGATAATGTTTTTTTGTCAACAATACAATATATGGTATTACATCATATTATGGTAAAATGATTAAAACAATGTGCATTTCCATGATAACAATGATCGTTTAATAAAGATTAAAACAATAAGAACTTAATAATAACAAAAAATAAATAAAAATGGTTGCCAATGACAACCTTATTTTTAATCTTTCAGTCTTTCTTAACCTAAATAACCAGGTTTATCTTATTATCTCGTATATTAACGAAAATTTCAAAACAAGACCTGTTTAAAGAACTACCCAGTGAACATTTCCTTTCAGAAAAGGTGCTATATTTGATAATTGGAGTAAGCTTTCTGGTAGAAAAAGTGTTCACATGAAAAATATTAACACCCCTGTAAAACCAACACATTTTTTGATAAACTCAGAGAATCTAAAATTCTGTTTTAAAATTGAAATTAACAGAAGAAATGTTTGCATCTTTAAACTGAAAAAATAAAAATATATAATTATGCTTTATTTACCTATATAAATATTATGAAAATTGTATTAAATGTGTGTTCAGGGCTTTGAAATATTTTTTTAAAAATTCATATTATATTATTTTATAGTACATTTTAAAAAATGTATAAAAATTTGTCAGTCGTCAAAATAAAAAGACACTATTTGTTTTTGAAAATATAATAATAATAACAACAACAATTATTACGTAAATTCATTTAGTATACAATTATTAAGTAACCATGGTACAGATATTTAAGAAACTATTTAAATATGCATTAAAAAAATAGAAACCAACAGGGAAGAAGTCACAAGAACGTCCAAGGAAAAGGTGGACGGATGTGGTCGAGGAAGGTTTAAAAAACTATAAGAATAAAGAGTGGAGAAATATAAGTCATGAACTGGGAGAAGTGGCGTAAATCTGTGATGGAGGCAAAAATTCTTGTAGAGTAAATTAAGTCAGAAGAAGATCAAAAAAATTAATAGTTAACACGTGGGAAACTTTTCACACTATACGTAATTGCTAATAAATGTGATAAATTGATAACAAAGCGTAAAGTGATGACAAAAGTTCTTAATGAATATTGGCATGTATAGACAGTATAGAATCTAGAGACAAGTTCCCCCTGGAATATTATTCGTCCCCCCCAGACAAATACAACAATCAACAAAATATATAATTTTTAAATGTAAAATGATGTCTAAAATAGTAGATACTATTATATAAAAATGCTATGCGAATTTCAAACAAACTTATTTCATAAAAAATAAAAGATACATTAGGTTGTATTTTATCATTTCCAGAACAAGTAATAAAAGAGATGGGTCGTATATTCAATGATACTGAGATTATCCTTGTAGGAGGGCGTTCAATATTTGAAAATTATAGTACGCTATTTGATGCATCAGAAAAAATGATTGAACAATTGTGTGACTGTTTATCTGTTTCTGAATATGATAAAGACTTTGTAATGTCAGATATTAAGTATTTTAATTTTGTAGGTACCAAATGATAAAAAATAAATTGGTGGAAATCCCATATCTGAACTTCTTGTTTGTGAACAAATATTGGAATCGGTTTTATGTATACCGATTGCCACTGTTACGGTTAAACGAACATTCAGTGTAATGAATTAATTAGTGCCAAAACTTCGAAATCGGATGGGATCGAATTGGAATATTGCGTGAAAATAAGTATCGAAGACGAAAAAACCTTGCCCTCAGGAGTTCATCGAAGAGGCAATCGATGTGTGCACGAGAAAAATTCGTCGTATTTGATTCGTTTAAAAAAAAAAAAAAAAACATAATAAAGTTTCTAATTTATATAAAACAGACCATATGTTTAAATAAAATATTCACGTATCGAATATCAAATGTACTGAACTAATTGTAACAAATACATAATAATGCAATAATTTATTGTACTATCAAATGCGTAATCAATGAATAAAAGTGAGCCCCCTCCCCGGGGCGAAAATTGTCTGGGTTCAACAGTGGATATAGGTATGCCAGTATTGAAAAATAATTATAATAATAATACGTATGCCTAAATATCGTTATATATTTTATACTTACGGAAATCAGATGCAGAAATAGGTGTAATGATACCATTATTGTTGGGGGTCAGTCTATCAATAATCAATCCGTCATACGCAAACGACGTGCATTCAGGCGGCAATGTGCAAACGTCTACGGGTTTTCCATTACATATACTAGAGACATCCCCGAAATAATAACATATGTATGTTCCGGGATACCCTGTACAAATAAAAAAATAATAATAATAACAATAATAATAATAATAGTATTTATGCACACGATGATACGATACGATGGTAAACGAGTAAAATGCGATTGACTACGTGATATAGGTTATTGGATTATTTAATAATGTATAATTATAAACAATGCTGGACGGTAGCTAGATAAACAGAATATATGTTTTATTTTTTTGATAACATTTAACTGGTACAAAAAAAAAAAAAAAAAAAAAACCGAAATATTAGAATATTAGAAAATAATCTAGTTTTTTCATATATATATATATATATATACAAATAATACATTTACCTATTTAGTTAATTTGTAAAAATTTAAGTTATTTACTAAAAATTTATTCACTATATTTTTCGTATACGATTGCGTTGCAATGTTTTCTTTTTCATTTGTTCTTCGGCAAAAATCACGATTTGTTTCACCTCAATATCACGTTAGAACAATAAAACGGGAACGTGGTAAACATAATGGAATACCCATACGAATCGTATTTTATAATAATAAGTCTAAAAAATAATAAATATTTAAGTTTCTACGAAATACGTTTATGAGCGTTAAGTCAAGGGTAATTTTTAACTTAAGTTACTATTTTTTTGAAAATTTGTAACTTATTTACTCAAATTCATTTATATGTTAGAATACATTTTAACTTGGTTTAGTTATTTTTCATTTTTTTTTTTTTTTTTTTTTTTTTTTGGATAAGTTAACTTTAGAAATTATAAATAAAATTAAAAAATGTATTAACTAGCTCAGATTTTTTAATATAAAATCGCACGATAAAATATTTGAATAAAAACGAAAATATAGTCGATACAAGTTCTACGCTAATAAATAATACGATTATGGAAACAAATGTTATTATGAAAAATGTATCAAACGAAATAATCTATTGGTTGATTATATAAACTGGCGAATTAAGTTAGGAATCTCATTTAATTTTAAAACATCGTTTTTTACAAGTATTTATCGTTATTATATTTCAAAAGTCTAATTAGAAATTTAATATATACATAATAATCAAATAAAAGTATACCCTCTGAAATCACTTTTGTTACGAAAAATAAAACCGTTAGTATAGACGAAATTGGATATAACGAAGTCCTCATTTTGAAAACTACTACAGTTTTAAAGTTGAGTTAAATTCAATTATAAACCGACTAAATACCTACATAAGTATTGATAATATTTAGTTATAGCTAAAATAATTTAGCGTACATTTTTAACCCGAGTAATTATACCATTTATTTATTAGCATACAATTATTCATAGATATTGAAAGTAATTAATTCGTTTATGTTACACAATTGTACAAACAAAATAATTAATTATTTGTGTATGTGCACACGAAACCGTCACGAGCGTATTTAATTTGTTAGCGATTTAGCAAAAACGAGTTTCATAAACAAACATTTGATAAATAATTGTTTAATTTTTTTCGGATAAAAATAAATATTACATTTTTACACTCTATAATTACACACGGAGCAGAAAAATGTGTGTTAATGGATATTAAAAACCCCAAGAAAAAGGCCTGATTAGTAATATAGTAATACACTATCCAAGTCATCCGAAACCAGTAATAATACAGAACGTATAAATTATATCGCAGTGTAATGAATGAAATCTCAAACGCCTTGACAAGTTTTTAAATGTTTAAAAAGAAAAACAAGCAAGTGAATTAGTTCAATACACATTATAGTATGTCGGTATATTTATTTTCACACGGATAGAGATTGACAGTTAATGTATAATGCATAATTTACGATTTGTCTATTATTGTTTAATAAACCACTTAAGTCGCAATATTAATATCGATGACCGTGTTTAAATTACGAAATGTAGATACAGGTGTTTTTTTCATTATAGTATCAATTCAATTACCAATTTATCAACACTGAACTTTTTTTTTAGATTCGGAGCGTGGCGAGAGATTTATCGATTTTACTATAATGACGTTTTTTTTTTTTTTAAATTTTTTTAAATTTTTTTTGACGGTTTATACACCCGGGAAATAAAAGTGAGCGTGAATCCTATTTACCCTTGAAAAAAAATAACGCCCGTGAGCAACAGCTAGAACTCTATTCACTTTTCCTCCGCCTATTTTCTTCTATAGAAATATTTTTTGTAGAACAACCGAAAACCGAATACTATAATATAATAGTACATCACTAAAATACCACACTACAAACTGTCTATAATGTGATACTACTTTCGAAAACCCGGTGAAATTCGGTCGTACAAATGGTAAGGGCGGCGGTCGAATGTTGAAACTCGCAAAAGGCACATCCTTGATGCTAACATGTGTATCCCCTGGCTCCATTCGGAGGGTCTACATAGAGGCGTTTTCAAAGCCAAAAAGGTCCCCTCCCTATTTTTATCACTTTGGTTCGCCTATACGTGTAACCACTATATCTATAATTCCCGAGTTTGATCGTATATGGCACAAAGGAAGCGGCTAGAAGTGTTCAAAAGTATAGCAAATTATATAGGTGCACAAAAAATGCATTACAATAGTCTCGCATTTTCGGGGGAGGGGGGGACATTATTTAACCGTGTGACATTATTGTTAAGCTAGGATATGTGTTGCGCACACTTTTAACGGAAATGCCAACAGCAAGTATAAGTACTGACCGATGAAACTTAGTCGATAATGACAGAACTGAAAATATATGCGCATAACCAGTTTTATACAACAGAAACTGATATTTTGCTCAACCGGTATGTTATAGAACCTAACAATTTATAATACCCACTGTACGCCTCGTCACTGGGTTTACCTAACTCGGCGTAATAATTAATTATATTGATTAATAATTGTATAGCATTATCAAATGCCTATGCAACTGCGAGCATTTAAACTATTTTAGCTACTACATCATCAAATAAACACACCGACGCGAAACAATTATATTTATACAGTTATAAATTATAGGTTTAGACTAAGTAGCTGTACGTAAGTTATATCGACTATGGCATTAAATTGTGTCGAAAAAAAAAAAAAATGTAAAATATAATTAATGATAATAAATTTGGACCCGGTTTGTTTTGCATTATATAATTTCAAAAAGCGGATACAAACACAGATATCTATGTCCTATACCTTATTCTATGAATTTTGGTTTAGTCACACCGGTTTTGATTTGCCACACACTCGCGTAGAAAGTCAGTACAGGCACCAATAACCTATGAAAAGAAATAAAAACCTATTGAACATTACTATTGTTCCTGATACTTTCGAAAAACGATTACAAGTTAATTATTTTAATAACAGTTACTATTAATTACCTGCATTCTTTATAACGTTTTCGGAAAAGTTATCGAAAAAATGCATAAAAAAATTGTATTTTCGGTGTAATCATATGTACCTTCATATTTTATATTCAACAACACATAGGTGTTATACGCACAAAATTGGTGAATAAACATTATTGTTAAACGCTCGACAAATGTTTTCCAACGCTAAAAAAAACGCGCTATTTTGTAATAGTAGTATTATAGCTATGATATTTTAGACTATACTATACAGTTGGCTGTTTTTATTTTAACATTTTTTTCGAATTAAGACTGGAAATTGCTTCTTTGTGGTGTCAAACTTACCCAAAAAAATGTGTACAATTTGCTCATCCTATAATTAATTTTCCATTTAAATGGCATAGAAAAGTAACGATATTTTCAACTAAATCACATTTGCCCATTAAGTTAGAAAGTTACGAGATTGTACATAGTATTTCTTTAAATATCACAAAAATACGTAAAATTCACTTCGAATCGAGTAAACCTGTACAACAGCTATATGAATAGCTAATAAAAGATAGCTATAGAAATGAAGTTTTTATAACTTTTTAATTCATATTATAAAGTTGAATAACTCGGCCACTTTTTGACTTAAAATGTTCTAATAAAGTCAATTTCATAAGTAATGAAAAGACCTTGCTATTGGTCCTTGGTTCTAGATCAGTTTCATAGACTTTTAGGTAATTCAAAATAAAAATATTCTCCATTTTTGATAAAAAGAACACAAGCCACTTAAATAGCAAAACAATCGAAAAAACTTAAAATTGAAATATATGAAAATAATAAAGAAATAAATCAAATTCTTAATTGATTTATTTATTTTAATTATTAAGAACACCTATGTATTTTTTCTTAATTTTATATTCTGGGCGGAACAAAAATCTCATGTTTTACAAAATAATTTTTTTTTTTTTTTTTTTTTTTTTCTGTGGACAACTTTTCTACCAGAGATCTTGCTTCAATTATCTAGTGTAACACCTTTTCTGAAAGGAAATCGGGCTGAGGAAGTACTTTAAAGAGGTCAGTTTTTGATTTTTCTATCATTTTTCGCCAATTGACCTTTTTTAGGTCAATAAATGTGAAAAACGTTCACAGGAAAAAAATACTGTAATATTTTATTTTATATTCGTACGTTTTCCCATATTTTTTTCCCAATTTTTCGAATTCAATAAGAAAACTCTTGAGGAAATCGAAAATGACCTCCTTAAAGTATCACCCCAAGAAAATTTCTTTTCAGAAAAGAATCTACATCTTATATATCGGTGTAAGCTTTCTTGTAAAAAAAAATTGTTCTCAAAAAAAAAATAAATTAAAAAAAATTACGGACATACATCGACACGTAAGTGCAACTATTGTTGTAGGTGGGGAGTTGGAAAGGTAGGTTACAGACGGGAATTTAATGTACACATGTAAATAAATATAAGCCATTGAAAAAGAAAAAACGATTCTGAGGGGAATTTAGTTTATAGTGTTGCTTTGTCAACAATCAATATATCAAAATTATTATAATAATGTGCGTTTCCATGACAACAATGATTTTTTAAAATAATAAAAATTTAATAACAAAAAATAAATAAAAACGGTTGTCAAAGACATCCGTTGTTTAATCTTTTAATCTGTTTTAACCTAAAGAACCCGGTTTTTTTCATTATTTCAAATATTAATGGGAGTTTAAAAAAATGTTTTGAAACTTTAAGAAGATTAAAGTACCACTACTTTCCGTTTCGAAAAAATGTTATTCCTGATGATGAACTGAGTATGGTATCTAGTAAAAAAATGTTTACATAAACAGAAATTTTAAAAAAATACACACTGTAAAACCATTTTTCACTACACTCAGAATCTAAAATAACGATAATAATGAGCACTTTAAAAATCATAATCATAATCATCAATAATAATCATAAGCATTTCATAAATAATAATCAAATCAGCATCATAATAATCATCAACACTTTAAATAATATTAACAACAATAATAATAATAACTATCAACAAACACCAATATTAAACTTATAATTATGATTATTGTCGGGTATTTTAATAAAATACTTATGATATTTGTCGATGATTTTTACTATTATTGATGGTTGTTATAAGTATGATGATTATTATGATTAGAAGTATTGTAGATTATTTAAGTGATCATTATATTTATCCTTTTATTTTACCTTTTATGCTTCTTATTAAAATGCTGATTATAATTATGATTTTAAAAGTGATCATTATTATAATTATCATCATCATCATCATTAACATTATCATTATCTTTATCATTGTCATTGTCATTATCATTTTCATTATCGTTATCATTATTACTGTTATTATTGTTGTTACTATTATTATTATTATTATTGTTCTTATTAATTACTCTTATTGAAATTATGATTCCGATCATTGTTTATTATTTTATTAAAATGCAGATTATGATATTCGTTAATTATTTAATAATTATTACAATTTGTGGCTGTTATTGGTATGTTGTTTATTATTATTTTGATTAATATTATTAAAAGTATTGATAATTTATTATGATGCTTATTTGATTATTATTGTTATTAAAATGCTCATTCTTATTATTATTGGTATGATAATGGGATCCTGAGGTCATTTTTTGATTTTCTCAGGAGTTTTCTCATAAAATGGGAAAAACTGAGAAAAAAAAAATGGGAAAATATATGAAATGTAGGTATCGGTTAAAAATATTACCACAATTCTTTTTTTACCCATACTTATTTCAAAAAAAAAAAAAAAAAAAACTAACAAATTTATGTATTTTTAAATTGTAATTTTATGCTGTACAGACATAATAATAATTAATAATAGTTCTATAGATAGACACTTGTAGGTCATGACATTTATGGATAATAGAAAACGATTAATCAAATATCGTTGGTTATTGTTTGAATAATTCATTTTCAGATTTTAATATTTACAGCATTTTTCCGTAGTCTATAATAATATATTATGTAAAACGTCAAGCGATTGCATTGTTTACACAGTAGTATTTAAAAAAAATGAATACGAATTGTACACAGTTTCGGTTTTTTCTCGGCGGAATATCATAACATTACATTATAATGTCGCGAAGTCGCGGATTGATGACGGAGACTAAACGTAAGTCGTATTAAACAATTTTACGAAAAACGGTTGTTTACGCAGGTGAACGAGTGTTGCCGAAATCGTAACCATTAACATCATGACCTGCAATTAAAACGGCATTTTAATATTGCATACACTGCGCAATTGACGGCGTGTGCCTGTATTACAAACGTTTTAAAACGTATAAGAACAAAACAAACGAGGCGTACAGAATCGCAATATTATTTCAATACATATTGAACGATATATCATGTGCGGCCGCGACGGTTACCGCCATCTATACAATAGCAATATCACGGTCACGGCAATCTGCAGTGGCGTGTCCGGGAATTTTCAATGACAGGGGACGTAGGAAACGATTATCGCGACGAATAAATAATCGTCGTGGTCTTCTTCTGCTTACACACCTGTACGCCTGACCCGACGAAAGGACATAATTCGCCCGATGTCACTGTTGTAGGCGAGAAATCGGGATGGTATAGGGGAAACTTAATGTATATCTGTACGCGAAGATTTACCATTGCTAAAGAGAAACGATTCTGAGCCGAGTTCGGTTAACAGCGTCGCATCGTCAACAACATATATGTCATATTAGGGTAAAATAATTACATAATATGCATTATGCGTTATATATTTTCTTCAATACGGTTCGCTTAATAGTGTACCTGTTTTCCCGTGTTATTATAAACACTTGTATTATTTTCAGAAGTAATTTTCGTGTACTCGACAACAGCGTGTAGACAAACATTGCGCCCGCATATTATATAATATTATGACAATACTCCGGCGGCAGCTAACTAATTCGCACATTTTCTACAGCAACAATACAGTGTAATGGCGTTTGTCACCCGTAACGACTTCGGTCGACCGCTAAATCGATTTTAAAACGAAATGACGGACATCGCATAATAGGTTAAGAGACCGGCTCGGCGGCATTTGTCGCCTCTATCTTTCCATAGCATTTTTACCGACATACTAGCATACGTGGCGTGTTCGAGTACAAAACAAACGAAAAAGCCTTTGAAGGCGGTTTTAGAGACAAAACACTTGTAGTGTTACTAACACCTATGTTAAGATGTGTATAGACGGCACATTTTTTATGAAACTTTTCATTGACACGTTTTCGAAATATTAACAATTAAAAATATTACGATCACGTGGTATATGAACATCCCGCGCCCGGCGTCGTCCGTGCCAACGTTTTGTTCTTTTCACCTTTATTTCCCGTTTTACTTCGTCTGTATCAGTATACTGAACGAAAAAAATAGACGCAAAGGCGGATGGTCGGCGGACTAAAAGTGGTCTAGCGTGTCATGCAATTTTTATCATCCGGGTTACCGCAGATACCCGCCCCCAGCACGGGGATTAAACTGCATATCGACTATAATAACGCTAAAATTATGGGGACAAAACAGTACTGTAGTGTTGTTACTGTACCGAAAAATCTACAAAGATTTAAAGACGACGTGTTTACACCATTCGCCCAACCAGGACCAGCGCGTAGTTTTTTGTTTTTTTATTCATCCGTGTTACCGAGGTAGCCCATTATTTCATATCAAATATTATATTCATATCACATCACATTTCACTAGATCGGCGCCGACAGCCAGATTATTTTAAGTTGTTACAGTCGTTACGGCATTTTTATTTCTGTTTATCGTTTACTTTTTTTTTTTTTTTTTTAAATTTTTGTTCGTTGCTATAAGGTAATCCATAATTCAACTAAATCAATTCGCGCTGAAAATACCTAAAAACCTTTCATCTATCTCAATACCGAAATTTCATCAAAACTCGTTCGGCAGTTTAAGCGTGAAAACATAACAGACAGATTTACTTTTACATGTTTAATATTATTTAGGAAGTTAGGGTTAGAATAAATAAACGTGAAACGCGTAATTCCGTATAATCGACAATGGCGTGTTGAACGTTTAGAGAATTCCAATAAAACCCCGGCGAGGCTGTCTTCAAAATGTTGTCGTCTACAAATTGTAATATTCAATGTATACTTACTGACGTTATTAAATTCAGTTTGAAATTTATAATGCCGCATGCTGAAAATTCCGTTTGTTCGTAGACATTTAGTTGTTCCATAAATAATTTGATCTAAACGCAAATCAATCAACAATTTAGATACATAATACTACGTTATAATAATATTATCAACGTTTTCTCCAAAAAAAAAAAACATAATTTCCGTATTATTTTTACCTGTATAATTGATTTGTTTCGTAAGTCAATAATCCGAGTCGATCGTAAAATTGTAATAAATTCGTTTTTCTAAAAAAAAAAAAAAACAAAAACAAATTAAATTTTAAAGTACACATTTAGATTCCGAGCGCGGCTAGGGAGTTATTGGTTTTCCAATGCTGTTTATTTATTTATTTTTCTCTTTTATTCTAATCTGTGGACACGGTTTTTTCTAGTAAACCTATTCCGATTGTTACTTGTAGTAAATTTTCTGAAAGCACAAGATGCCTGGATTGTACTTTAATGAAGTCATTTTTTTTGATTTTCGACGCCATTTTTAAACAAAAACACTTGAGTGAGAAAAAACGTAGAAAAACGTAAAATATATCAAAAATTATAAATTTAATTATAAAAATATGGACGACGTTTTCTACCATAAAAAAAGATTTAATCGAAAATCAAAAGACACCTTTTTTGTTGCCTTTTTGATTTACGTTCTTACGGTATCATCGCCATAACTTTTGAGTTACTTTGAGCTTTTAAAGAATTTTAATTTTTGGTAGTTTTTATGTTGTGATTCGGTTATAAATGCGCGTAGAGACTTGAAACTTGGTAATATTATTTATATTTGACTTACCTAGACGTGGTAAAGTTTCCAAAATGATAGGATGATATTTTTTTCCTTTTTTGAATAAGCGTTTTAAAATCAAATTTAAACGAAAATCGCAAAAAAAATTACGGGACCTCGAATGATGTACTACCAGACTGCGCTCGGAATCGTCTTTCGTTTACAATTTATTTTATTTATTTTTTTATTTATTTATTTTACGTTCTACACTGAATGCGCTCGTCGGTTGTCAGCCTGCAATATGTTTTCGTACTGCGTAGGTACATAAAATATTAAACTATTTGTCAGATTTTTGACTATTCCGGAAAGATTTTCAATACTACCCCGAATCCGTAGCATTTCTTTTTGACATTTCTCTCTCTCTCTCTCTCTCTCTCTCTCTCTCTCTCTCTCTCTCTAAAACATGTGAAATATTACGTGTTTTGTATTGTGCATAAAATATAATCTGCAAATACTATGCATTTATGCCGGTAAAATCGTCAAAATTGAACGAAATCCGATTTAAACTTTAGACCTACACATTCGTATCATTTTGTTTGCTAGAACAAACCTCACCCCTCCCCTCTCCAACCCACTCCATAGGACGAAAAACACGCAAGTCTTTTGCGGTTCTTTTGCTATCGCTCCGCCGCGATTTGATCGCATAACTAACTTTATTGTCGGTCCACGAAGCGACGCACGCCACGCAAAATACGAGACACGAATCGTGCACGTATTGCAAACACGGCGCGAGTCCCGCTGCAAAGTCCCCGGAAAACGTCGCGCGATACGTGTCGCACGCCGCGTCGAACGCGAAAAACGCGAACGATATCAAAAACATCGGGCCGTAGGCCGCGTTGAACGTGCCGAGCACATCGGACAGTTCGGCGTGCAACAGCCGTACGGTCTCCGCGAGTTTCGCCGTTTCCGCGGTCGTCATCCGCGTCGTTTGGCCACGGCGCGGGTCGTTCGCGTCGGCCGACGGCAACGAGCTCCGCCAGATCGAGGCGAGCGCGCCGAACCGGTGGCCCAAGTTGCACAGATAGAAACAGGCGGCGGCCACGATCGCGAAGTCCATTACGCGCGGAGCGGTGAACAAGATCTCGATCAGGTGGCCGACGGTGTTCCGGTCGATCGTCCACGCGTCCAACGATACGGCCGCGTGTAACGTGACGTAAAACACCGAGTAGGCCGCAAACACGGCCGACCAGAACAACGTGCCGGGCGATCCATCGTCGACCCGCGTCGACAGTGCCGTTAACTTCCGGTCGAACTCGACAATGCCGTTGATTAATCTAAAATAAAGTTGAGAAAAAAAAAATAAATAAATAAAAAACCGTTAATTGGCTATTAATAACATAATAGTGTACAGTGAAGGCGCCACCTATGGCCCGCATCTCTGCTGTGTAACTGATTCGTGTTTTATTCGTGAAATTGTGCGATTCGATAATCCATCGTTGTACGATTATTGTTATATTCTGCCGTATCATTAATTAATTTATTGGGTGATATCGATTATTAACACGAGAACAAGCGTAGAACGGCCGTAAAAAAGGAAAAATATTAATACTAATATTATATTCCATTCAGTGACGGATCCATCCAGGGGTGGGGGGTCGAGAAGCCCAGCTACCCCCCAGTCATATTATTTCTTCAATTGTTCTTACAACTCTATAAATCCTTGTATTGCCGTATGATAATATATCAATACCAATGGATGCTCTAGATAAATGCGATCCAAACATATTTCCTAGAGCATACCGGTTTCTAAGCGTAGTCTGTACGTTACCAATGGGTGTAGCTACTGCAGAACGAAGTTTCTCTACCCTAAGACGGGTGAAAACCTGGCTACGCCCGAAAATACCGGAGGATCTCCTTACTTCTTTATGTTTACCAAGTGTTCACGGGAAAGTTGAAAAGAGCGGAGAGGAGCGATGAATACATTGATAGTACTATGATGTAGGGAAACACGGGGTAAAACTTACCGGAAAAATGAATACCCCCATAATTATTCGGGATCATAAAATATACTTGATCTTTTTGCACAGTTGTTCGATGTCGCCCCGATTCCGGGGCAATATCGATTTGTAATGGGACAATACCGATGCCTGTCATGGCAGGTGCTAACCTAACCTAAAATAAATAGGTATCGACGATTGGGTATGCATAATAAAAACTAATAAACAATCGGTATGCCCCGTCGGTTTCGCCCCAGAGCATAATTTTTACAAAATTGTCGATAACTTACACAACATTGTTAGATAAAATTAGGTTAGGAATTGCAAAACAATCTTTACAAGTTATAGATTCATACTAGACGTGTATGATAATTGTAGTGTAGTTATATCTTAGTTCAATCTTAAACACAAAATATGTAAGTATAATAGTAATTAAATGTTCAAAATGTTCATTATCGATCAACAATTAAAAAAAAAACGTTACAGTTGATTTTAACAGTGATAACAACACGTTTTACGATAAGAAATGAAATAAATCGAAACCTGATAATTTTCATGCATAGAATAATGCGTTATAAACAATATCAGTTTTGCCCCCGTATCGGCTTTACCCCGTGTTTTCCTACACATTTTCTACCAGAAATCTCACTCCAATCGAAAAATAAGTTAGCAATGATTTATCCGTTTACAACAGTGGCTGCACCCGTCTTTAGTATCACTTTTTTTTTTGCTAAGTAGTAATTTTCTTTAGGAACCCCTGCCCCAAAAACACAAACTGAAAAACAAAAATCTATCCTCTATACAAAATTGTATTGTAAAAATAAGGTACAGGGCCATAGGGGTTCAACTCATCTCCGTCTCCAATCACCGGCACGTGTATAAGCCACAATATGAGACCAAAAGTTAAGACGTCCCTCCACTTGTTTTCAGCCACTTCGGCCACTGCCTATCATTTTATCTGACAAAATAAACATTCGAGTTAACATTGTCAGCGTAATATTACAATCGGTAGTACGCGCGGGATTTTTTTTTTTTTCGACGGGGCTTGCGCCTATCATAATTTCATAATTTCCTTTAGTGTCATCCTCAATCAGTGCAATAGGTACTATCACTCTTTTTACCAAGTAAACGCGACGAAATAAAATCGTATTATTTAATTCTGCGCTATAGGATATTTATGCTGTTCAATGTAAAGCTCGGTTTTAAAAAACGTAGCCAAGAAAGACATTTCGGGGGGAGGGGGGGGGGGTTGGTTCTGAATGTCTGTGTGCACCGCTAGTTACAATGTTCGGACGTCGTACGTGATGGTGCGCTTCCTCGAAAGCCGGGCCAGAACGATTACGGCCCAGAAGCGGACGAGTTGAGCGTAGCGTCGACGGAAAGTCGGCCGTTTCGCGACCGCGTACGTGAACGAAAACAGAACGATTGTTCGCGACAATTCGATGAGCTTCAACACGCTCGAATCGGATTTCTCCAACAGCAGTTCGCGATTGAACTCGTACGCAAAGTGGCTGATGCCGATTACGTTCGACAAGACCAGTAACGCGGACTGTACGCCGACAAACGCCGCGGTCTTCATGTTTGCGACGGCGGTGCACGCGGTTTACCGAATCGGTGTACCGATCGTTATCGCGATACTCCCGCGTGTAAACGCTGCGCGCGGCATACTGGAAGCCCGACGGCCGCGTCGGTCCGCGGAACGAAATAACCGTCAAAATTAACGGACAATGACATAATATTCGGATCCCGCGTAAATGGCGTTGCGACGATATTATCATAACGTGTCGGTATCGGTACCGGCAATAACAATGTTTGTATTGTGCGCGGGCACTTTTTGTTGTATTGTCGTGCGTTCCACAGTCGTAGATTGCACGGCAATTTCAACGTCTCGTGAATAAATTAACGCGCGCAGGCGCCTGTCGGCCACCACGGCCGGCCGACAGACGAAATGTTTTTCGGGAAAAAACCCGTTTTCTCCTACACCAGGGACCTACTTCTCCTTAAACTATTGTATTCCGCGATTGTGTGCGCGTTGATGATTTGTGCACGCAACTAGACCGCCAACTTTGGGGGAGGGGGGTCGTGCTAAAACTACAGACGCGTCGCTGACCCGCGGCGGAAAACGTCCCGCGATCCCCTAAACACGACACTTATATTAAGCAACCACAAATTTCGTTTAAATTTTTTTTTTTTTTTTTTTCATAAAAATACATCATAACATTTTTTACTTTATTTTTTTACACGCGTCTTATACGCATATATGCAATCTGTATTCTTATTAATCACGAAATACAAGGACAAAATGTTTAGTCGACACTGCACGAGAGTATATTGAGTATTTATGGGGGGGGGGTGCTGATTTTTAAATTGGGCTCGCCAAAGACCCCCAAGCACTCCCCTGACCGAGCGTGAAGTGTATAACAGTACTGATTTTTTGGTGAAAAACTGCACGGTCGTGGTCAAAATGATTTTTATAATCGTGTTTTTAAACGTTGCGATTTGTACAATGATTTTGTTGTACACATCGCGAAATGTACAATTCCGGAATTTGCATGCAACATATTTTACATATTATCCACAGGCGCAACTGGACCACCGACGTTAGGGGTTTTAGACGCGCACGGACAATGCCCTGACGATCCACTTTACAAGACACATACAATAAACAGCTAGATACACATTTCGTCAACAATTTTCGTATACAAATTTATCGTAACTTGTGTGCCTCAACTTTATTTTTAATACACGCAATGTCTGTATTTTGTTCTGCATATTAATAAATTATGAAATACACCGATAAAATATTTAGCCGAAACTATAAAAAGCTTATTTTAAACCGGGCGGGGGAGGGTGCTAAAGACCACCTAACACCCCCCCCCCATCCCAGTTAAGCTTATGATATTTTCTATGCATTCAGTTGGCTCACCTCAGTGGAAAATATACAGTTGTATTGTGATATCGATTTAAATTTAATATTTTATGTTCATGTTTAATAATAGTACGACGCTGTATTGTATAAAAAAAAAAACGCGACTCTACGTAAAGCTCAATTTAATAATTTATTATAATTTTAAATTCGGAGCGTTGCGAAGGATCTATTAGTTATTTACTATAACGTGTGCTTTTTTCTTTTCCTTTTTTATTTTTTTTGTGTCTGTGAACAATTTTTCAAAAATAAATATTGCTCCGGTGTATAGATTATAGTGCCTTTTCTAAAAGATGATCTTATCTAGTCAGCAAATTGGCTTGGTAATTTATTGATTTTCCTACAACAGTTTTTCTAATAATTGTTGGAAAAACGCAAAAAAGTCGAATAATAGGTTTTTTTCAAATTGCGGCACAACGATTTCATTATTTTCAAAGGATTTTTTTTTGTAGGTTATTTTAATAATTGAGCTAAATCTAAAAATGCCTAAAAAGTACGGAAAAATTTGCGAAAATAATTCTTTTATTCTTATAAATTTTGTTTTTTAACGTAATTCAGAGTACAATTTAAAATATGGAAAAAAAAAACTATAAAACTTGAAAATTTAATTAGAGGTTCGTTAATAATTCGTACCTACTTAGCTGTCAAAAAAAAAAAAAAAAAATACAAGAATACCTAGATGGATACAATTAAATTTCAAATCCTAATAGGTTAGGTTACCTACCTAATCACCTGCACTTACTCAAAACGAAATTATATATTGCGTTCTGTATACCATGTTAAATGCTTATACCATTAGATGCATATATTAAATAAAGTAATAATAATAAATACAATGTACTTTGACAAAAAAATAAAAATAAAGGTAAAATTAAATTTTAAAGGAAAAAAAATGGTTGCCAATTGTATGAATTATGTTATTTTTTATGCATTAAGGGACAATCTTTTTGCGTAAGATTTTCATTCCAACCGTCTAAAATGTAATAAAACGAAGGGAACGGATTGTCACAATGACAACAACCTTGTGGGTCGTTCAAGTCGATATTGTCTACGATAAATCCTGCTGCATATTTTTTACTTATTCGGCCCTAAAGAAAAGAAAAACAATTCAAATTATACGCATTTTTCCCTTAATAAATCATTACTTTTTCACGGAACGTCTCTTCGGTGTCTACACACCAATCGCTTGTATCACTTGAATTTGTGCACAGCTATATACACAGAAAAAAAAAAAAGTTGAAATAGTGTTTTATGTATAAACAGATTAATTTTGTATTTATACGCTCATTATAGATAGGCATATACAATATACATACTGATCGATTTGTTTTCAACAAGGGCACTTTGGAATATAATTCGTTTGTATCAATTTATATAACTAGCTAATTCTGTCTGTATACGCATTATTTTATTATAATTATTAGAGTATAACTAATACCTATAAATACCGTTGTTCAACAAATATTAATCTCTGTTTTCCCGTTAAAAATATTGTAATGTCGAATATTTGTTTGAAAATATACCTAAAAACATCAGTGTCAAATAGTTAACCTAATTCTATACAAAGATGGACAGTGCTATAAGTTAAAAATTAAAAGTAAGTAAGTTCTCTCTGTTAATAACTTAGCTTTAATCTTGCTTGGAGTTTTCTTTTTGTTTTACGATAATTCAACTTAAACCAATCAAAATAATTGGTGATCTTGTCCAGTTTTGGGTATTTACGTGTATATAAATTATATAGATAGGGATGCAGTTTATTTCGATTAAGAAGACGTTATACCTGCATCTACTGTCTCAGTCCAACTACCTGGTAAAATTCAAAACGATGCTTACACAGAGTAAGTAAAACTACCTTAATTTTGATTTTAGAGAAAAAGTACCTATTATACAATTTTTAGAGAACAATATTTTGGAATGTCACAGGTGTTTTTTAAATTATAAACTACTGAAAAAGCTACAGCTCAATATAAAAAAAAAAAAAATCAAAGGTTTTTGTATCTTTTATATCGAACTGTATATTTTGAATAATACAAAAGTCCCATGATATTTTCTCCAAAATATTATTCTCTATAAATTGTATAATAGGTACTTTTACTCTAAAACCTAAATTAAGTTAGTTTTATTTATTCTGCGTAAGCATTGTTTTTGCATGTTACCCGGTAGTTGGACTGAGACAGTAAATGCGAATATAACGTCCTCTTAATGATAACTCTAATCTTATTATTCTTGTTTATTTTATCATTTCTACTTTTATTGAATCATCGATTTGACAGACATGTAGATGCGATAAGTATTTAAAAATTATTATTCAACCCACGTTGATTTTTTATTTACATCTCGCGGCGTAGTGTTACCACGTAGTCTTGTAAAAATAGTTCGTCTTCATTGTTCATTTGTAATTGTTCACATTTTTTTAAAGTATTTAATTCTGTTTTTAATTAAGCTGTTAATTTATAATCGTCTATGGTGGAAAAACGTAAAATAGATGAAAAACACAGAATATTTCAGACAATCGGGAAGTGGAATATATCTGTATTTCTGATAAGAAACACGATGCTTTGTGTTTAATTTGTCGTAAAACTAAAAATATCCCAAAAACTCTACATTTTGAATTTTCTAAAATTTACCATCTCCTTTCTAAACAAAAGTAAATTAAAAAAATCAATTTTTTCGAAAAACAATCTACATTACGGTTTACTAATTAAAAGTGAACTTTCAACAAAAACATCTTACCAAATGACACATTTGTTAACCCAACGCATGAAATCATTTTCGGATGCTGAACTTATATAAGATTGTATTGAAACAGTTGTAAACACTATATTTTGTAATTTTTCCAATTTTAAGAATTACGTGACTAATTTTCCAATCTGCAGCTATCGAACACTACATGTGTTCGTAGCGTTGAACATCTTGGAAATCAAGTATTCGATTCATTCAACGATGAATTAGTAGAATGCCAATTTTTTTTTTGTTTAACATTAGATTCGTTAGTAGATATAACTTTTATTTCTCAGTTGGTTATGTTTGTTAGATTTTATTCAAAAGATAATATTATTAAAGAAAATTTGTTTGAAAGTCATACCAATGAAAACCCAAACTCGTGGAATGGTTTATAGATTATTTTGAAACAATTTCTATGGTTTTTGAAAAATATAAAATAGATTGGCAAAGGTTAATTTCAATATGTACAAACGGGTGTACTTCAATGATTGGAAATAATTCTAGTCTTGTTACTTTCATTAAGAATAAAATTGAAAAACTAAAATTTAAATTAATGGATTTTCATTACATATCACACTAGGAAAATGTATCATATTAATTTCTAAATGATTTTAGTATTGGCAAAAAAAAAACCTATTAAAATCGTTAACTTTATCAGAGCTAGAGATTTAAATCATCGAAAGTTTAAAGAGTTTCTTTCAGAACTTATTTAGAATTTATTTAATTCTCAATAAAGAGATATGTAATAATTTATAATGATGTACGATGGCTAATAAAAGTAAAGTTTTAAAACTTTACGAAACAAAAAGTTGAGTTTCCAGAAATAAAAACATTACAATTTTAGTACAAACTTGCATTACTTGCTGATGTAATTTAAAGTTTGAATACACTTCAAACTAACCTGCAAGGAGAAAATAAACTTATCACGCACATAACCAATAAGAATTTTGCCTTCGAAAAAAAACTCAAAATGTACATTGAAGAAGTATCAGACAATGGTTTTTCAAGATTTCCCAAATTCTATTTCAATCACGAGAGAAAATAATGTTTTTCAAACGAAACTTATACAGAAACTCTAAAACCATAATTCCTTAAATTATTAGGTACTTTAAAAAACGAAATGAACAGTTGTTTTAATGATATCAAACACTTTCGTAATACATTTCGATTTATTGAAAATCCATGGGCAGTGGGTAGTTACAAAAGATATATTTGAAATTAATGTTTTTAATTGCAAACGGAGGAAAAACGGGAAAATGTACGAAATGTAGATATTAGTTGAAAAATCGTTCGGCCTTTTTTTTTCCTGTGAACAACTTTCCTACAAACAATTTTGCTTCAAATTAAAATTATAGCAATGTTTCTAAATTGAAATCTGTCTGCGGAGGTACTTTAAAGAGGTCATTTTTTGATTTCCCCAGGAGTTTCCTTAACAAATCTGAAAATAAAACATAAACATCTTTGTAAAATCCATAAGCTTCTTCGCTTCACTCGGAATCTAGAATAATGATGATAATAGTAACAATAATAATGAGCACTCAAAAAATCATAATAACAATAATCTGCATTTTAATAAGAACCATAATAGATAATACTAAATATAATAATCACTCAAATAATAATAATGAGTATTAAAATAATAATAATCATCAAAACTTTTAAAATATTAATCATTAATAATAATAATCATCAACAAATATCAGAATCAGTATTTTAATAAAATAACCACTAATAATCATAATCATAAGTTTAATAAGGGTATTTGTTGATGATTATTATTATTATTGCTTATAATTATTATTGTAACCTATTATGCTTCTTATTAAAATGCTGATTATGATTATGATTTTTAAAATGCTCATTATCATTATTATTATTATTATTATTATATTAGATTCTGAGTGTAGCGAAGAATGTAATGGTTTTACAAAGATGTTTATTTTATTTTTATTTTTTTTATGTGAACACTTTTTCTACCAGGAAACCTACTCCGAAGTATACGATGTAGACCCTTTTCTGAAAGGAAATTTCATTTTTCGATTTTTTCAGGAGTTTTCTAATCAAATGTAAAAAACCGGGATAAAACATAGGAAAACCGGGAAAAACGTAAGAAAACTGAGAAAATCGGTACAACATTAAACAAATATTATTAAAGAAAATGTATAAAGCCTATTTAATTATTTTACAATAATATGGCATACATATTGTTGAAAATGCATCACTCCTCTCAGTATCGCTTTTAGTAAGCAATGGTTTATCTTTGATTACATATACAATTTAATTTTCCCTCTTTACCCTATCTTCCCAACTTTTCACCAACAACAGTGACTGCACTCGGCTCGAGCGAAGTATGTCCGTCTTTTTATGATTTTTTTGTAACATTATAATAATTAATAATTAATTTTTAATGAATTATTAAACATAGAAACTTAATATTTTCATGCTGTTTGTAAATGTTATAATTAAATCAAATTGTATTGTGACCATTTGTGTATAGCGGTATATGAATCCTACCTAAATAAACACATAATTTTCTAAATTATTAGTAACTCTACAAAAAAAATCACATATAACAGACATACAATTCGAGATTATTGGGTACCTATTTTGAAATTTAATGTTCGTACCTTTTGAAATGTTATATAACAAGAAGATGCGTCAGGATCATTTGTTGTTGGATTTAATGGGAATTTTAAGTGTATTTTATTCTTTGAAATGTTCGATTTTTGTAGCGCTGAAAGTGCTTTTTCCTGTAAAAAAAAAATTTAAGTTTTATGTGTAATTGATTTTACTTTGAATTACAAACAATATTTCAATACTATTGTGTAATCTGAATCGCCATTCCATGGAACAGTACCGCCAACGTAGAAAGCAGATGAACACTGATTAAAATCGATGAAAGAAACTACATAGAATTCCACAAAAGCATCAATATCTTTGAAGTTCAACCCTTTTAAAACATAAAAACAAAATAATCTTTGTGTGAAGGATTTAATTATATTAAGTCACAAGGCATGAGTGATATACTCTGTATGGTAGGAAATTTAACCATCTTGTCCATTGTTGCTTTTGTGTATACATATATTATACATTATTTATTATTTCATGTTTTTATATTTCATTTTTTTAACAAGATATAAATGTTTAAATTTTCTCTTGATTTTAACCAATAACTCATTAGGAAATTGAAAAATTAAAAAAGTAAAATTTTTAATAGGTCCCTTATTCCTAAACTCAACCAGAAAGTCGTTAATGGACCTTGTTAGTCTAATTAAGACAAATTTAGAATCAACTTTTACACAATTCGTGTTTACTTTTTTTACTCATTTCCTTATAATTTTCAAAAATATCATTGCTTAAAAAGTATCAGCTTTAATGCATTGCTTAATTTCAGCTATATGAACATATTTTTTTAAATACTATAAATTAAAATACATAAATATTAAATACATATACTTAATAAAATTACTTACATTCTACATTTGCATTTTTATAGTTATCTATAATAAAATTCGCTGGTATGTTTATACCGATTTCTAAACCCGGAAAGGTTTTGTTTAATACTTCGAGATATATTTTTAAATTATCAGTATAATGACAAAACTCTTCTGACGTAGCCTACAAACATAACGATACTCTATCAGTGTCAATTCAGAATTTTCAAAATTAAATAAAACTAGAATCGGGTTTTACAGGTTTTACTTATTATGATTAGTTAGGGTTGTATTTTTTACATTTCAATTTTTATGTGATCATTGCTTGAATTGGTGAGAAGGGAGGACAAAGTACCTCTTATTTAATAAAAAAATGATTTTAGGGTACCTACTCTTAATTTTTCATAATAAACATTGAATAATATTGAATGGCACTTATTTCTTAGGGTACTTAATCACATTTATTTTTTTTTAACGCCTTTGCATCCCCTTTTATTTTTTTCCAATTCAAGCACATCGTATGATAATAATAATATTAATGAAGTTCAATGCTTACGCCATATTCGAAACCCGTAAGAATAAGTCCAGTTATTCCTTTATGTTCATTTAAGTAAGCCTTTAGACCTACCATTTCGTCTTTAGCGTTGACTCCCGAACAACCTGCATCGCAAGCAAGGACTTGAGACCATTCTTGTTCACTGATATGGCCGTAATATACGAATACGGGCGTACCGGTTTTCAAAAGCATATCCAAATATGCTTTAAACAACAAAGCACAAAAATATAATTTGATGATATTATTATCATACTTTTATGTATAAAATTATCTACTTACCTTGATCGGTTTGTGAAAATGTGTCAGAAACGTGATACGTTATATCCACGGTTAAACCATTAAAAATGTACGCAGTACACTGGTTTGGTAGTTGGTTGATTGGTACGTCGAATTGGCCTACACACACTCTGCTAATACTACCGAAACAAGTACATGCAGCGGATCCAAGCCCTAAAAAAAAAATTTAACTAACATGAATAAATAATTGCAAGTTTTCACAACGTTAACAGCCTTAATATCAAAGCCAAATAAGTATAGCAAAAATAATATTAATAATTTTATAATGAAAATAATGTTGATAGTCATTCCTAAAATTGATCATTATCATTAAACGCGTAGGTACCCAATGTTAAAAATAAATTTTGATGAATTCTCGTATTATAGTTTATAGTCAATTTAAAACTATAATTTTAAACAAAAAGAACGGAAAGTAACGAAAATCGAATTATAATAAATTATAATTACTTGTCGATGTAATACGTGAGCATTTTCTTTTAGATAAGGTTACCAAATTATTATTTAAATAAAGCTTAAACAATTCCATAATGGTTAGAAAAAACGGAAATCAAATTAACTTAAAAAAAACTCCGAGATAATTGCTGGTTCATGATAATAAAATCACCCTGTAGAGGTGCCTACAACACTGATTAATGTCATAATATATAGTTATTTATTATAATATATAACTATATTCTTTTGATATTAATATAAATATTTAACAACCGATTTCAATGTCAATGTTGCCTATAACATCGATTTTATATCTAATTTACGTGTATTTGATCAAGTCCGATTTTTCAAACAATCAAAAAAAAGCTCATAAAATGTGTTACATTTGTCATCAATACAATTTGTTTTTATGATACCATCATTTTTAAGCTGCGCTAATACATTTTGAATTCCTATGGTTGGAAATTTTTTTTGTTTCTTATTTTCAATTTTTTCGATAAGGTTTTATATAATAATTATATCATTTGCAGATGATTTTTGACATTCCGCTTTTTTTAAATAATTTTTAATAGTTTTTAATTGACTATACAAAAATGTAAACCATAAAAGTTCGTCAGCTGACACTCGATTAAATTATTTAGTTCAAAATCTTCAAAAATCTATTTTGAACAGATTGAACATTTTAAGTTAGATAGTATAAGATCTAAAAGACTACTATGACAATATAGGTGTGTATTATGCTAGTATAAGTTAAAGAAAGAAAAGGTATAAGTATTGGGCAAATGTAAAAAGTATGATGCAGGTTACCAATGACAAATGGACATTCCGACAAAATTAGTTTTTTGCCAATTGATAAAAACAATTGATAATAGGTGAACGACGTATGCCATATTGTACGTATTTTGTCATGAGTATTGTCTAATAGACCAAATTTTTAAAAAAAAAATCTGTGTATGATGTACATCACACACAGATTTTTGTAAATAAGTATACTTATACGATTAAGCAAGTATTTGTTCATTGAAAAATTGTGCTAGCCAATTACTATAAAAAAAAAAACAAACAAAGTGAAATTCAATGTATTGAAACATTTTTCAAATTCAATCTATTATAATAATGACATTTTAAAAATTTGATATCCGGAGACCAATATTTTTTTAGTCTTTTTTTTATCTTTCGAGAATCAGCCGATACGAAGTCCTTTTCGTCAGGACTGCCAATTTCTAATTTCAATACCAATTGGTATTAAGTTTTAAACCTTGACAGTATTACCTACATAGTTTTTTTTTATAATTTTGTACAGAAAAAAAATGTATACAAACTTCTTAAGACGAGAAAACGCGATTTTTCTATGCGAGTGTCAGGGAAATGTTTCCCCAGTATTTGCAATACCAAATTTATTTGTACATCTCATTAAACAAATTAGTGGTAATACCGTATGACATTAACGCATGGAAAATGAAATCCTTGTCATTTGATGTGCTCGAACTACTTAGATTAAATATTATAATAGATTATAAACTAGAATAATATTAACATTTGCAAAACCTTCAATAGGTTAGGAAATAAAATACCATACCTAAACACATTTATGTATGTATCAACACCTCAAGTGCATAGTACAGTACAGATTATAATAATGGATATTGCATTAAGAATACAGGTAAACGGGAAGAAGGAACAAAGCTAATAACTCTAAGTTGAGAATGAGTAATAGCTAATATAATTTTCGAATTATAGATGACAATGAATCAAAAAAAATATCAATATTAGACAAATTATTAAGAGAACGACAAGCACGACCAAGAGGGGCTGCGTAACCCTGGATATCTTGAATAAAAAGAAGGAACTGCCAAAGATAATTTAGAAAGTAAATTTAGGACATCAATATCATTATTTAATAATTTATAAATAAAGGTAACATCAAACTCAATTCGATTTTCAGTTAGAGATTTAAAATTGTAAGGGTTAATTCTAACCGACTGAACTTGATTAAACTTGTTAATACTATCGTTAAATGTAAATGTTAACGATTCGAAACAAAGAACCACGAGCAAGACACTTAAAATTAAGAACTGACCTTTGCAAGTTGAATTATTACCGGCTTGCGATTGGATCTTTGATATTAGATCCACGACGATGAATATAATAAAACAAAACGAAACGTTCATCGCCAAACGTTTATGAAATGTATACTCAAATATTAAACTTTATACAATATATACGGAATATAGTAGGCACACTAATCAAGTTAATGTTTCGTGTAAGTATGACCTGAACAAAATACATAATTGGTATGTAATAGTATGCATAATTTAATGCTATAAATACATACAAAAAAAAATGTATACTTTTTATTATGTCACTATACGTATTATGAAATATTTAGGTTTTATTTATTTATCAGTACTATTAATTATTATTAATAATCGGTGTACAATTTATTTTACACAGTTGCACACACAAACGTTCCATAAAGTATATAAAAAATTAATTAAATATATATCTGTAAGCAACGATAAGCCATTATTAACTAAAAATTATTCTGAGCGAAGTTCGGTTTTACATATTTTGAAAAAAAAGCTTTTATCGTTTTTTTATTGGAATAATATTTCTGGTAAAAACATCGTAGGTAATAATTTAAAACTATGAAACCGTACGCCATATCATTTTTTCGATTTTCCCAATTATTATCTAAAATAATCGAAAAATCAAAAAATAACTTTTTTAGTGCACCAACTAGAAAAAATTTCTTTTCAGAAAAGGTGCCAGAAAAAAAGTTCCTTCCAGATACACAAAGAAAAACATCAGATTTTACAAAAATCTAATTTACGAAATTGCTATTTTGAACTTTTTTAAAAAAAAATATAGTATAATTTTAAATTTGTATGTTAATGTTCCCTTACCTACACTTTTTTAAGATATTAACTGTAGTACAAACGCATACTAATTATTTAAAAATATATTGAATGGAACAAAAGTTATTTTAAGTGGCAGATCATCGTGAAACACTTGTATATCGACTAAAGTTTCCCAGAACTTTTAACGGCTCTCTCCAATAGACCGAATGAACTCAAACTCGGGATTTAATTTTTTTATAAGACCGGAACGAAATTCAAACATTTTGGTTGAATTTATGTACACCGCTAGAGATCCCCGGATACTCCTATGGGAGCGGATACAGTCGGCAGGTGAGCATTTTGGATGTAGTATAACGAGTAAGATACAAGGAAAATTAATGTATAGGGAAATAGAGTAAAGCGACCAATGTTTACGCGATAAGACTGGGATTAAGAAATCGTCTTGTAAAATGTATAGAGGTTAGGTTTTTACGCACAGCCCATTTTCGCCCTAAAGTAGCCCATTCGTGCCCAGAGAGATGTAAACAAATGTGCCCGAAAGGATAAGGAACTACCTTCCGATGTATACCTGCCCATATGTAATCGGTTCGCATAAAACGTTGCCGTCATGATTAATGTCATTTAATTCTATAGTATATATTTAATATATTTGTTTACATGTATGTGTTACACGATATTTGAGAGGTATACACGAAAAGTAAAAAACAAAATTAATTATCTTAAAAAATAAAATAGATACGTAGATTAAGTAGACTGGGAAATTGTAATACTATAATAATAATTGCCTTAATACTATAGTTTAAAGTTTATAATTTCTTCGAAATTGTGTGTTAAAAAAAATTAGTTAATTTGACAATAACTTACATAAAACACAGGATTTATTAATTGAACAACTCTTGATTAATTCACACATATTGTTATTTACTGTAGTCAATCTCACAAAAATGAAATGGTATAAATAATAAAAAAAGAAGTCAACAAATATGTAAATATAAATGCAATTGTTATAAAAATAAATATCGTCATATCGTCGAGTTTTAGATTCTGAGTGTAGCAAATAATGTATTGGTTTTACAAAGATGTTTATTTCTTTTTTTTCTTTTTTATGTGAACACTTTTTCCACTAGAAAGCTTACTCTGATATATACGATCTAAACCCTTTTCTGAAAAGAAATTTTTCTTGTGGTGGTACTTTATGGAGATCATTTTTTTATTTTCCTGGAAATTTTCCTAATGAAAGGGAAAAAATGAGAAAATGTACAAAGTATATTAAATATAATAAATATTTTTTTATTTCTGTGGCCAACTTTTCTACCAGCAATTTACTCCAATTTATATTGGTACTCTTTTTCTGAAAGAAAACCTGAACTAGGAAAGTACTTTAGGGAGGTAGTTTTTTTTATTAGAGTTTTCTCAACAAATGTGAATAACCGAGAAAAAACATGAGAAAACAAGGGAAAACGTAGAAAAAATGGGAAAATCGGTACAACATTAAACAAATATTATTAAAGAAAATATATAACGCCTATTAAATTTTTTTTATTATAACATGACACATATATTGTTGACAAAGCATCACTATCAACTGAACTCTGCTCAGAATCGTTTTTAGTAAGCAATGGTTTATCGTTGCTTACAGAAATATTAATCTATATATATGAAAATGAATCACTATTTCCCTTGGTCATCGCATCACGTGAAAACGGCTAGACCTATTTTAACGCAGTTTTTCGTAAAATGTTCCGGATTGTCCGGAGAAGGTTTATGGCTATTGAAATTCGCTATTTTTTTTCAATAATATATTTAGTAAAAATTATAACAGAAATTTATTGAGAGTAACCGGTGACCCCTCAAAATTGGAACTGGTTACAAAATGATGAAATTTGTTTGATTTCACCGGTCACACTGGTGACAAATCTCGGATAGACGGTGGCGATCGGTGACTTTTCATCATCCCCTCCAGAATTACTATTTCTCCTCGTTAAACCGTCGGTGTGGCGTCTAAGGCATGTTATATCATACATATCATTATTATTATCGTAATATACTAATATCGTAAAATACAAAATTACAAAATGAGTATCTTCGATAATTTAATTGAAGGTAAATACTATAGATGCCTATATAATTAAATAAATAATTATCTATACCAACATGTTTAAATAAAAATTTACTTTCTTAAATTTAGAATATGATATTGAATCGGGTGAAAATGATGTAATTTTGATCTTTTTTGACAATATTCATTATTCAAACACATAATTTCTTCATCATTTTCAACTCCTTGAGATACACAATTATTATCCAAATGAAAAACAGTCTCACTTAAAATCTCTAGAAAGAAAAGTGTAGATTTATTATTATAATATTATATTATTTCACAATTTTTTTTCAATAAGATTTAAATAGAGCAGTTACCCCTACTGCCCATATATTATTAATACATTAGCTACATATATGAATTTGTAAAATATATCTACATTAGGATTGTATCAGAAATATAGATTAATTACTTTAATTGTTTAACATTAACAAATTTACCATTTGTATTATTTTCTAATACAAATATTGGTAAAACATTTACAATAGCAGTATTCTTTTTTAAAAAATATTCATTAAGTAAAACATTTATTTGCAAAATGTTAATTTGTTCCATTTTGATTATTTTGAATTTTGATTTATTTGTTTCGTTACAAATTGCATTATGATAACAAGCAGTTGATAAAATATTATTATTTCGCAACAATAGGAGGAGGTAAGTCATCTATAAAATAAAAGTTAAACGAATATCTTCAACCTCACTGGTTACTATGAATTGTAACCGTACAAAATGGTTTACTATCAATTTTTGACCAGTGACTCTCAACGTATTTGTGGTGTCTAAGATTAGTTTTGCGTTTTTATACATTTTTAAGTGATTTTTTCAAGGCTTTTTGACGTTTTTGAGTGTTTTTTTGTGGATTTTAAGAATACATAAATCCGGTCTCTAATTATGACAATCGAGTTTTTAATTTTGTATTAATATAAATTGTCGGTAAATACATACATAAGGTATAAAAGAAACGTCGTGCCATCTGAAAGTGACGACTATAATACAGTACACGCGCTCTCCCATTGCCGAGCGTCCCTACTCCCGATGGGTTAGGTAAGGCCTCATTTCCTTTGAAATCTCCCTCTCCCACCCCAAAAAAAAAAAAATTTGGTGTTTAGATATTTTTGGCATGATAATCATGAAAAAATGTCATAACAGAACACTTTTAGTCCGCCGAAAGTGAACCACTCACTTTCCACCTTTTTGTTTTCATTCAATACCAACATGGTCAATACCAAAAAGTAATATGGGTAAAATAAATAATAACAAATTGGCACGGGCAACGACGGATGGGACAGCTAGTTAATTTTAAATAAGTAAACAAATAAGATAGTTATATGATTATATATTATCTATTGACAAACGTTTCAGTTAGCTCACCTCAATGGAAAATATACAGTTAAACTGTATTTGATTTAGATTTTATATTTTATTTTTATAATAAATAGTACAATGTTGTATTGTATATACAAAAACCGTGATTCTACGTAAAGTTCAGTTTAATGATTTATTATACTGTTTTTAGATTAAAATTATATGGGACGTGGATATTTCCAAAAACTAATTTAATAACAAAAATAATATGCCTAGTACAAGAATACCTAAATGGCTAGATGGATACGATTAAACTTGAAATCCTAATAATTAACGATCTACTTAAAATTACAAATGTACATGTCAAAACGAATAATTAATGTTTAAAATTGTACTACATTCTATATCGTACTTAATGTTTTTACCATTAGGTGCGTATATTAAATTAATCAATAAATGTAAGGATAATTAATACTATGCACGTTGATATAAATATAAAAATAAAGGTAAAATTAAATTTTGAAGAAAAAAAATGGTCGCCAATTGTATGAATTATGCTATTTGTTATGCATTAAAGGACAATCATTTTGCGTAAGATTTTCATTCCAACCGTCTAAAATGTAATAAAACGAAGGGAACGGATTGTCGCATTGACAACAACCGTGTGGGTCATTCAAGTCGATATTGTCTACGACAAATCCTGCTGCATATTGTTTACTTATTCGTCCCTAGAGAAAAAAAACAACTCAAAATGTTAACGGTTCAAATGAATTATGTGAATTTTTTCCGTTAATAAAACATTACTTTTTCACGGAACGTCTCTTCGGTGTCTACACACCAATCGCTTGTTTCACTTGAATTTGTGCACAACTATATACACAGAAAAAAAAATTGAAATAGGGTTTTATATATAGAGATTAATTTATATGTATCCGCTCATTACAGATTGACATACATTATAATATACAATACTAACACTTTGGAACATAATTTATTTGTATCAATTTACATTTATAATTCTGTCTGTGTACGTATTATTATATGTATAACTATTATAGTATAACTAATACCTATATAAATATAATTGTTCAACAAATATTAATATCTGATTATTGATCTTTCCCATACAAATATTGTATTATCAAATATTTGTTTGAATGTATACTTGAAAAAATCAGTGTCTTAATTTGACCCAATTATATGCAAAGATGGACAGTAACTAGTTAAACATTTAAATGTTAAATTATAGGTTCCTTTTGTTGATAACAGCGTTAACTAATAGATTTGGTTTTTTTTTTCGTTTATAATAACTTAACTTATACTAGTTAAAACAATTGGTGAACTTGTATAGATATTGTAATGTACACGAGTATATAGCTGTTTACCGATTATTTTGATTAATCAAATAACTCAATTATTTACAGGATTAATTAGAAAATCGATTAATAGGAAATTATTTTTCTATATTTTGTATAAAATATGTTTTCGTGTTTTTAAAAACCATACATATTTTAACTCTCATTATTAGTACACTACAAAGGAAATCAGAAATATTAAATAATATATACAGAATACTGTCATTGGCGATTGGCACAACGCACGTCAATATAACAACCTATCACTTATGAATATATTTTATCATCTGCTGATTTTTTATTCCCGCTGTTTTTTCTTTAGCATTGCAACTTTTAATTACGTATAGTGGCGTAAGGATGAAAAAACTAATCGCGATTAATCGCTTTTTCCATTAATTGATCATAATCAATCATATTCTCTTATGAGTAGAAAAATGAATACGTTAAAAATAATACTAAAAATATGTGCTCATTAAAGTTATTCCTCCTTCACCTACCTATCACATTATTTAACTTGAAAATTTTTGTCAATCAACACAGTTTACCGAAATAAAATTTAAATGTACGGAAAATATAAAAAACGTAACCTTATATTCGATGTTCAAGAATTTTACTATAAATTCATTAATAAAAAATATCTTTTTGGAAAATGCTGTAATTTCTCAAACCTATAAATTATAATTTATAAAGAAATTTTAGCTATTTGAGTGTACTACTAACAATTTCCTTATTTAATAGTCATAACTACGAAAATAAAAAACGAGTGAACAATTAGAAAAATATAACTCTATATATATAAACGAAATATTACAGTTTAAAATTCATAAATTCTATAAAATATTTAAATAGATATTTTAACTTAATCAAACAAACAAGAATTAAAAATATCGAATCAATAGAAACTTAAATTTTTATACTATGCTTTCTGTGTATTTTATAATTAAAGTGCCAGCGTGTGACCTGTTTTTTGCTTAAAATACATGCGTTAAAGGAAAAACTCTCACGCCTTGTACCTAGAATGATCAGATTTCGATAATTGTTTTTTTGTTAGAAAGAGGAAGACTTCTTATAAGGCACATTGAACTTCAATTTTAAAAATTATATTTGTAAATCGTACAGTAAGAGTGAATTTTGCAAATTTTTACAAATTTTTAAATTTTTAATATTTTTGTTTTTAGCAATGTGATCAAAAATCGAAGTCCAATCCACACTGTAAAAAATCGTCCTCTTTCTAACAAAAAGTATTGTGATCTGCCTATTTGTATGTAGCGTTATATGCATCCTACCTAAATAAACATATAGTTTCCTAAATTATTATTAATAAACTTTGTAAAGGAATCGCATAAAACAGATATATAATTCGTATTTTGAGTTTTAATGTTCCTTAATACCTTTTGAAATGTTACATTACAGTAAGACTGGCCATTAACATCACACAATGTCGGGTTTAATGTAAATTTGAAATGTGTTTTTTCTTTTATAATGTTCAACTTTTCTAGCGATATAATTGCTTTTTCCTGTAAAAAAGCGAAAAACATTAGTTAAACACGTAATTGATTTTATTTTTAATTAAAAATAATATTTCAATACTATTGTGTAATCTGCATTGCCATTCCACGGAACAGTACCGCCAACGTAGAAATTAGATGAGCACTGATTAAAATCTATGAAAGAAACTACATAGAAGTCCAGAAGAATATCAATGTCTTTGAAGTTCAACCCTTTTAAAACATAGAAACAAAATAATCTTTTTGTGAAGGATTTAGTTAAATAAAACCACAAAGCATGAATGACATATTCTGTATGCTGGTAAATATAACCCATTGTCCATTGTTGCTTTTTGTGTATATTATATTTATGTAAATAAATAAATAATTTTTTTTTTTTTTTGTATTTTCACATTTATCAAATTATGAATGTTAAAATTTTCTCTTTTTTAACCATCAATAACTTAATGAGAAATTGAAATATCAAAAATTCATTCATCAAATCCATAATATATACTCTTTTTTACAAGGTGTACAATAAGAACACATGGTCCGTTTTCCCCAAACTCAACCACAGTAGAAATGCGGAATGTCTTTGTTGCCATATAATACATAGCACGGGACGGAAAGACGGAAAGACGGAAAAAACAATTATGATAGTGATTAACGAAAAATGTTTTCGAAAAAAAAAAAATCACGCTTTTCTTTTGTTCTCATTGTCTTAATCATTTTTGAAAAGTTGTCCTAAGATAATGAAGACGGGTGCAGCCTCTGGTATAGGTAATTTAATGTATGCCTGTAAGCAACGATAAACCATTGCTAACGAAAAAAAGATTTCTGGTAAAAAAGTTGTGCACAGAAAAAAAAACATTATTGTAAAACCATAAGCTTCTTCGATCCACTCAGAATCTAAAATACAAAAACATTTCATTGCTAAAAAAGTATCAGCTCATCACTTAACTTCGACTATATGAACAAATTTTTCAAAATATTATAAATTAAAATACATAAATAGTAAATACCTATACTTAAAAAATTACTCACATTCTGCATATACATTGTTATAGGTATCTATAATATAATTCCCGTCTATGTTTATACCAATTTCTAAATCCGGAAAGGTTTGCCTTAGTACTTCAAGATATATTTTTAAATTATCAGTATAATTTTGAAACTTGTTTGACTCAATCTACAAATATAACGATACTCTATCAGTATCAACAAAGTATTTTCAAAATTAAATACAACTAGAATCGCGTTTTACAAGGTAAAAATGATTATTATAATATTGGTCAATTACATTTCATTTTGTATCTGATCATCATTGCTTAAATTGGCGAGAAAGGAAGACTAAGTGTCTCCTATTTTTTAAAAAAAAAAACAGTGTTTTAGTACATTCCAAATTTTTCATAATAAACATTATGAACATAACATTCAATGACATTTAATTCTTCAAATACATTCAATAAATTCATTTTTTTACGCTTTTGCATCCCTTTCTAATTTTTTTTTCCAATTGAAGCACTTCGTATAATAATAATAATAATAATAATGAAAATAATGCTTACGTTATATTCTAAACCCGTAAGAATAAGTCCGGTTATACCTTGGTGTTCATTTAAGTAAGCCTGTATGCCTTCCATTTCGTCTTTAGCGTTTACTCCTCCCGAACAACCTGCATCGCAAGCAAGGACTTGAGACCATTCTTGTTCAGTGATATGGCCGTAATATACGAATACGGGCGTACCGGTTTTCAAAAGCATATCCAAATATGCTATGAATAATAAAGCACAATAATAGTTTTTGATTATATTATTTCCCTTCTTTTACATATTAAATTATGTACTCATGTACTTACGTTCATTGATTGGTGTATAAGTGTTATAAACATGGTACAATATATCCACGGTTAAACCATCAAAAATGTACGAAGTACACTGTTTTGGTAAGTTTTCGATTGGTACGTCCGACTGGCCCACACATATTTTGCTAATACTACCGAAATATGAACATGCCGCGTATCCAAGGCCTACAAAAAAAAAAAAAAAAAAACAATAATATTTAACCAGATTGAAAAACTGCTCAATTAATCAATATAATTAAATGCGTAGGCACCCAAAATTAAAATTGAAAATCTAAAGTGAACAGAAATGTAACGATATTTAATTTATAATAAGCTATAATCACCTGTCGGAGTAAAACGTGAGAATTGTCTTATAGACCGAGCAGTAGCTTAACTGGGGGTGTGATTTAGATGCTAAATGATCCCTAGACCCTTTTTTTTTTTTACTTGTTTTATAATTTATAAAATAAAAATTGATTGGACAAATGTCCTGGACATTTTTGCTCACGCGTTTTCTCTATAAATGTATAATAGTATAACGATTACGAAGTAAGTAAATTGTAGGTGCATTGTGATACAAATTATATATAATTATAGTTAAAGATTATATCAGTTTGATAGATAATTTGAATTTGCAATGCCTCTTTAATAATCCAAGTACTTCTAAACTAACTCTTGAAAAAACTGGTCAGTTTAATAAGCTTGTTGAATTTTACTCACCGGTGATCGACAAACATGTGTCATTATAACCGAGTTGAAAATGTGGGAAAAAAATGTCTACTAATAATTTAAGTATAAAGACTGCACTGGATGCACTTTTTTTGTAGATTTATACCCCAATATACATTTTCTTCTCAAGATTTTATGTACACATTCCGTATCAACAACTACTCCTGAAAGAACCTTTTCGAGTATAAACCATAGAAAAACCAATTTACGTAATACTATGACAGAAGTATTTTTTCTCAAAAGTTTTCTCATCAAATGTGAAAAACCAGGAAAAAAACATGGGAAAAGCCAAAGAACGTAGGAAAATCGGTACATTAAACAAATATTATTAAAGAAAATATATAATGCTTATAACGAAGAAAAAGTTAAGAAAATAACAAATTGTAAATTTTAACGATTTACAAAAAGCCACGAACAAGACCATTAAAATTAAGAACTGACCTTTGCAAGATGAATTATCGCTGGTTTGTGAATGGATCGTTGATATTAAATTCACGACGATAATTATAATAAAACATAATGAATTGTTCATCGTCAAACATTTATAAAATGTGTACTCAAATATTAAACTTTATGCAATGGATACGGAATTTAGTAGGCACACTAATCAAGTTAGTTACAAAAATTATTTATGTTCTTTAATATGTCACTATATGTATTATAAAATAATCAGATTGAATTTATTTATCAGTATTGTTAGCTGTTTGCAGTCTATTAATTATTATTAAAATCATATAAATGTATTTTACACAGTTGTACACACAAACATTTTAATCATATAATAAGTTGTGTACGAGAAATGCCAATAATTGCAAATTAAATAAAATTTAAGCCAAATTAACGTGAATGAAGAAACTAATAACGATTAAAACTATAACAGTATTAGTATTAAGTAAAGTAGTAGATTTACGAGGTAGGGGAGTTTAGAAGGCCGAACCTCCCCTCCATCCCTGACACCGATATTATTTCAATAAAATCTCGTCTAAAAATTGCATTTGTTATTATACTACTGTACGATCTACCCTCGTGGCGTTAATTCACAATAAATAATTATAGGTACGTTTGAAATACATATGGTTTTTCAGATCCCCTCCCAGATAGGTGTCATTTGAAGTAAAAACATAAGTAGTGAGCATCATAACAAATTTTATAAATTAATTTGTGGTTTATAATGAAGTGAGGAACAGTCAGTGGATCGCCAATAAGCATTTTACTTAATAAGCTAAAGTAATTGGTATTAATCAAAACACAACAGTACCTACCTATATTACTTATTTAAAACACATTTATTTTTTTTATTTTTTTTTAAAGCAAATTTTTCAAGTGTGACATTATTATCAATATTGTATTAGTGATTTCTCTTTCAATGGACATAGGGGATAGATTCGTAAATCTATGTTGAAGTATACTTATTCGCAACCAATTCTTAATTCGACGCTTTGATGAAAATGTTCTTTCGCAAGTAGCTGAAAATATTGGAATTGTTATATCTAACTAGACATAGCTACTTGAATCAATTTATAGATATTAGGATAAGTATTTATATTACAATGTTTTTTAAGATTTTTGAATATAAATGTAGCTGGTAAACAGGTTATTAACACAATCATTTCAGCTCTGATTGACTTCATAGACCAATCAACAATGTTTCCAACTGGACGAAACGTTGGAAAATCAACAGCGAAAAATCGGTGCACGTAATTACACCTAGCGTAAAACCGTCTACAAACCAGTATTGCTAGATCAGCAGATCGTCCCACAAAACGACTCAAAAAATACTAAGGAATGCACCTTGACTCTCGACTCAACTCAAAACACCATGTTCGTCAGAAAAAAACTCCAAATTAAGAAGAAAATGCGACAACTATATTGGCTGGTCAGAAAACACTCCGAACTAGACCTCACAAGCAAACGTCATGGTATGTAATGATAATTAGACCGATATGGACCTAGGAATTCAACTGTGGGGTTGTGCCAGCAGGTCTAATATTGAGGTTATTAAACATTGCAAGAAAATCGCTCTCCGTACCATTGTCGCAGCGTACCGGTATGACAAAAACGACATTATCCACCCAGATATAATGATCACCTCTATCCAAGACGAGATTACCAAGTTTTCCTGCAAACATGAAAAAAGGCTAGGTCAACACACCAATCCAGCAGCAATTCAACAACTCGACAACTCTCAAGACATTAGGCGTTTCTTACGCCGAAGACCATATGAGTATATGACTTAGTATAAGATTCTTAAACTAAGATCGGAGCCACTCCACTAGGAGTGAAACTACCCACGTTTATTTTTTTCTTGTTTATTGATACACAAGTATTTATATAGGTACCTTTGAAATGTATTGTTTAAGCTCTTTAATAAGAGCGGTTTAATAAAAAAAAGAACTAATCAGGGAATGAGAGAAGCTACTGTTGTAGGTGAGAAGTTGGGCAGGTAGGATACATACGGTTATTTCATTTATATCTGTAAGCAACGATAAACCATTGCTTGACTAAAGACGATTCCGAGTGCAGTTCGGTAATACACATAATTTGAAATGCCATAATTTGTTTTGCGATTTTCGTTTAAATTTGATTTCAAAACACTTATTAAAAAAATAAAAAGTCGTTCGATGATTTTGGAAATTTCACTACGTCTAAGTAAGTCCAATATAATTATTATTACCAAGTTTCAAGTCTCTACGTGTATCTATAACCGAATTACAGCAAAAATACTCCCAGCAATTAAAATACCTTATAACTCAAAAGTATTTCAAAAGTTTTAATGATGATACCGTAAGAAATTAAAAGTCAAAAATGCAACAAAAAAGGTGTCTTGTAATTTTCGATTAAATCATTTTTTCTGATAAAAAACGTTGTCCGTGTTTTTATAAAATAATGAAATCGTGAAATTGTACGTTTTCCTACGTTTTTTTCCCACTTGAGTGCTTTTATTTAAAAATGGCATGTTTAAAGTACCATCTAAACAACTTGAGCTTTCAGAAAAGTTGTTACACGTAAAAATCGGCGCACAATGCCAAATGCGACTTACAATATTCATTTAGATGAAGTTAGAATAATTATGAATAGGATTATTAGATTTATTCTGAGATTAGTTTTACAAATACTGATTTTGTATATAGGGAATTTAATGTACTAAGTTTTGATAGGTTACTTAACAAATGTACAACAGCTATTAACAGGTTATCAGTATAGAAAATATTTTCTAACATGCTGTCATAGTTATAACATTAGACTCAAAAAAATATGTCTATGTAATAGCGCCAACTTATAATAAGCATTGTAGTACTAAAAATCGCTTGAATCGAGCAATAATTCTCTGCAGAAATGTAGAAATAAATATTACTAATTTCTCTAGCTTTAATTTATTTAAGCATTATATATTAATTTTAATTTAGCCATTATTCACCAAGCTATCTATGTATTATATTTTCCGATGTACAAGTGTTAGATGTCTCACCACTTGTAATTAGCATTTAGCAGTATTTGTCACTGATCAAATTTTGTCTTATTTGTTTTATAATTTGTGTTACTATGTCTCTAATTTTGTAAAAAGATATTCATCTAATTCTTTTATTGTTAATGTTTATACTTTGTATATATTTATTTCGACCAACTTAGGAACCTCTTTCCACCATCACCAAGCTCGCTTATAGGAGGTGAGTAAACTACAGTTTGTATGTGCATAATTAAAATCATGTTATCGCTTGTTTATAAATAAAGTATTATTATTATTATTGAGTTTAAAAAACGAATAGGGAAAATACAAATTAAAAAAAATGCACAAGGATTAAACAGTGCTATTAGCTAGTGCTAATCCTGAAAGAACCTTTTCTTAGTGAGTGAAATTTGTTTTTTATGTGATTTATAAGACTTTTTTAATAAATAGCTCACTATATTAGTTGAAGATATTAGGTGGTGGGATGGTATGTTAGAAAATATTTAAACCATACTAACTTTAAAATCTGTGGGGGCCACTGACTCCTATAATAAATTTAAAAATTAATGATTTGAAATGTCTAAAACCCTGCATTTCAAACAATTGTTCACAGAATTTGGAGAACAATTTATAAGTGGCCAATTCACTAGCAAACATATAATTTTCTATAGATACCTTATAGGCACATAATATTATTATAGGTAGATTATATTATTAAAGGTATATTATATTATCACAGATATATTACATAACAAGTCATATGAAATAATAGTACATTACATCATGCATAGGGATAATAATAAAATATTTATATTAAATTCAAAAAATCTTTAAATTTAAAAAGAAAATAAAAGATAATATTTACCATGGAGTGTAAAAAAATATATAGGTACACATAAAAGATGTGTTTATTTAATACATATATATGCTCTACAGCATTTAAAAAATTTTTAATATGATTATTATCGATAATTTTTGTTATCCACAATCAGTGTGCGATTTGAAAATCCAAGCTATCAGTCATTATCCAGAGTGTAGCAGTAACCACGCCGGCAGGCGGTGTATGCTATAGCCATAGGTTTAAGTTGATTTTTATATTTTTATTTTACTTACACTACAATAATAGTCATTTTTGTTACATTTGATTATGAACTGCAGATTTTGATAACTTGTCCCAATAATTATTTTTGTGAAAACGTTTAAAATACTATCATCAAATAGGTGTAGGTATCTATTATTTGGTACTATAATATAATATGTAGTACTGACCAATAATATGGCTTTTTATATTATAATATACCTGATATATTATATGTAAAATAAATATATTGCTTTTTTTCCTAACCCCGATTGTAAATAACTTAATAAAATCTAACTTAAAAATCTCTCAATTTCAAGTTTAAAAGAACAGTAAATTCTGCATAATGTGGACATGTTGGGAGCAACTGTTTGCCTACATTAAGCAGCTGCCCATAAAAACCGAAATTAATTAAAACATTTTTAATATCATTTTATTTTGCACATGTGAACCATAAAATTTTAATTACAGCATAAATAAAACTAAATTTAACGTACTAAATAAAAAATTACTATTTGGATGTGGAAAGTGTACACATCTTTAAAATTACTTGTTGTCTAAACTGTTTAGTGTGGATCTGGTGGACAAAATGGGCACACAATTCAAACTTATCAGACGGACTATTTTTGTTACCTTCTTGCATAAAGTCACATGCAAATTTATATATTTAGTCAATAAAATCCTATTAAGATTTAAATGGTAATAATTTTTGATTAACACAATCTCATAGACAAGACAAAACTGGATTATATTAGTCATTTTTAAATACATGTGTATATTCTAATTCTATAACAAAATAAAAATTGACCACATAAAGCGAATCGAGTGTTCATATTATATGGTTTTTTTTTAACCTTGTCAATATACATTTGTATTGGGACCAGAATCCACTGAATATGGTAAAAATATGAAAAATAACATCAAGTGGAAGTTTCATCGTTTTAAAAAAAATTAAATCTAATTTTACAATACATTTTTTAATTAGTTGAGGATATAAAAAAAGGAAACTCAATAAAAAATTTACTCAAGTGCAATGTAATTTATTAAAAAACGAAAATAATAATAACATAATCACTATAGTTTATTGTTGTTGTTTTACCAACTGTCCAAGCCAGTCAGTTTTTATAGGTGAACTAACAGAAAGCATATTGGGACTCATATCCATAGTATCAACAAGCGATGAATCTTTCATGTCTTCGTCATCATCAATATCAGTAAGTTTATTTATATTATCATCATCAAAATGTCGATATAAATTAGACATTATAATATCTTTTGACCTAAAAATACAATAATTAGAATTAAATAAAATTAAACATTTTTCTAGTGGTATATTCAAAGGAAATGTATTAATGTTAAGGTTAACCTACTTTATAACTTTTACTTAAATATAAATTAATAAATATTATGTAAATGTATTTACTAGTTTTTTTATTGATAAAATAAATAGAGCAAACAAATTAATGTTTGAACCATACAAAAAAGAGTGAAACATTATTGAACTGTTTACGAATAGTATTAAAATTAGATATTTTATACTCATATATTTTTGTCTAGAATATTTTGTTGTATATATTTTTTAAATTGTTAACAGAAGAAAAATGTTTTTAAAAAATTGTCTTTCTTGCATTTTTTAATGTTTTTATGGCAAATTATAGTATTCATTTTGAGATTTTTTAAGGTCATAATATAGCACACATTTCAACTATTTTTAGTGCCATAAAATCAGAGTCCTAGCAATATAAAAGTGGATGATAAGGCACATTAGCCTCAAATTAATTGGTGTATTAAACTTCATTTCATCAGTTATTAATCTAGTTCATTCTATATATATGTGAAAACACATAACAAAAATTATGTACCTAATTCTAGTTTTTAACTTCTCCCCCCTACCACTATGTTACACAACCATTTGATATATTCCCTTCACATTACTATTTTTTACAATTGTTAGCACACAAATTCGAAAGCCTATAGTATTTTAATTTTGTGGCTAAAATCAACAAATAAATGAATAAATAGATGAATAAATGATAAATAAATGTTTATAATAACCTTGGCAAAACATATGGATCAAACGGGAAAAAAGAATACAGCCATTCATCCTTGATTGTTTGATTAGTAATTCGTATGTGACCATCCATTGCTGCATAACAATAAGTTAACTGATAAATTTTTGTAATATGTGCAAAATGATTGACTACTGTTGAACAACATAATCGTAATGGACTTAATTTACATGTGACTATTTTAGACAAACTCAAGTTTTCCATAAATTTTAAATCTAAAAAAAAAAATATATATGGTCAAAAAATTATTTACTAAATAATATATTCAATTACATTATAACTTACTTCGTTTGCTATCCATAAGGTCTTGATGACGAAAAGAAATAATATAAAATAAAGCTTGACAAATAGAATAAAATACTGCATGCCCTCTTAGCAGTTCTTCAGTAACTACTTTAACTGATTTATCCACTCTATTTATATAGTTATTACACCACAAAGCTATTTCAGAGAGGATATTTTTCAGAACACTAAAAAATATAAATTAATATTACTTTTTGTAAATTGTTGTTATTATTATTGGACATACACAACTAGATAGCAGTCTTTATAGTAATCTGTTGTGAGGGTGGCCGAGATTGAAATCAGCCATCATTTATCAAGCAGGCTAAATTAACATTTATTCATAAGATACTGATAATTAGCAGAGTATTTAATATTACTACGAATCTACTGATAGCAGTATGGTCAATATCAAATAGAAGAAAAATAAAAAGAAGGAGACGACTATCTAGTTGAATATATCTATGTTTACTAGTTATAAACTATAACATCCATTACCTGTTTGATACAAATGGAGCTCTACAAAGAAAACTAGCTAAATAACCAGCTGCAGCTTGCCTTAAAGTAATTGGAGATGATACATCGCAGCATTTTTTCCATAACCAATTAGAAAAGTTTTCTGCTAGAGTCATTTTAAAACTAAGCAAATAATATATGATATATTGAACATGGCTACTGTTATATGTAGGAAGAATTTCATTTTCAAAAATACCTAATAAGTCATGGTATAACAATTTAGTGTTACCCCATCTAGAAAAAAAAAATTAAAAATTATTGATCATAATATGCAATAATACAAAGTACAAAACAATTTAAAAACCATAGGATAGTTAACTAAACATTCTATTTGAAAAAACTTTAATTACACTTACAATAAACTACCTTCAGTATCAAAACAAGTGGTTTTTATATAATTATATAATACTTTTAGGCAAATATCTAATGTACGAGAATAGTTTTCTGCATTTAATTTATCAGGATCAACTTTCATACAATTTTCATCATCAACATCCATAGGAAATATGTCTTCAATTTCCACATTTGCATTAGATTTTAATCTATCTAATTCTTCATTAGGTATATGAACATCAATTTCTACTAACCTGTCAAATTAGTTTATACTATTTACAGAATTGATCATATAAAAATGTAATAAAATAATTCAAATACTGATATTAACTCACTTTTTAACAATAAGACTAAAAATGTTTTTCCTTAAAGATGGTTCATATTTAGTAACACACAATAAATTGTGTATATAATGAACTTGTAGTTCATAATTATTATTTTTGTAAGGGTAATTTTTTTGGAGTAACTTCATTAATATGTCCTTTGCTCTACAAAAAAAAAACAAAAGACCATTACAAAATAAATATAAAGATTATAAATCAAGTGTATAGTATTTGATAGTTTCTTTAATCCTTACAATGGAATAACTTTCAAAAGAGCTTCTAATGTCCCATGTACATTTTGATACGCTCTTTCTTCTTCTTCACTGGGCATACCATTAACACGACCATAAACTGCATTGTCCACTAAAAAAATGATTTAAACATATACATATGCATAGGTTAAGTTTTGTTTTATATTTACAATGTAAAAAACATGATACAAGTTGATCCATCGCAAATTTTGTATGATAGCTATGTGCAGTACAAACATCAAGCAGAAATGCCCGATATTCATTGACAACTTCTTCACTTCTATTCATCCATTTTAAAACCTATTTAAAATACACATTAAATTGAGATTAAATTTCTTATTCAAAATAATTTTTGCAAAAATTCTTACCAATATAACTTTTACAAAAAGTGTAAGATTTTCATTCAAAACATTTATACATTGTCTGGCATCTTTTAACAACTTGACTAATTCTTCATCCTGTGAAACAATTAAATAAATATTCCATAGTATTAAAATTAAAACTTTTTACCCAACGAGTATAATAGTTTTTAATGTAGTATTGAGGTTAATTATAAATGATAGTATAGCCAATTTATTCATTCAGTCAATTTTGACATTAATCTATATTTGTTGTGTTATTAGAAACCCCTACTTTCAATATTATATTTATTTATAAATAAATATATTTTGATAATTTGGATTTGTTTAACTTGCACTATGAGAGGTTAAGCTCTTTAAATTAAAACATATTAATTTTGTTTGGTTTGTATTTATACCCAAACACATTTTTTGTCTTCTATTGCAGATGAGCTTAGGAATCTCTCAATAATTGTGCATACCAGTTTAATTGTATGTATCTCACCTGATTATGCATCACTAAGTCTCTCTTCACCTGTGTTGTTTTCTTAACCCCCATTTTACTTGATCAAGTTCATATGCATCATTCAGCTACATTTGGGATAAATTCTTGGGCATGGGTATAATCTGTAATAGATTCATCTTTGATGAATCGGATAAAAATATTACAAGTTAGGTTGTTAATAAGTTCTTGATTTCACATGTTTGTTTATGATCATGTACCTATGTAAAAATGAATGGACAAAGAATTGAATTGAGTCTTATGATCCATTTATTTACAATTATGTTATATGTAATACATAGTTAAATCTTTGTTAAAATTAACTTTAAAACAAAAACCTAAATAAGGTAATATTATGATGAAATTCAACCAGTTTTAAGAAATGTTTATATTTGTAATAACAGTAGTAGAAAAAAAATCTGCTTAAGACTAAGGCAGTAAGGCTGTCTGTATACGGTATGAAGGTATTAAGGTTGAACCCCCTACTTTATTTTTAAAAAATATTGTTTATTATTTTCAATATAAATGCTATAAGTATAAGCAACAATTAATAGGATGAATTGATTTAATTTGAAAACACTCCTGAAAATTGGACCTAGCTACAGCCTTGTTTAAAATCTTTAGCATTTCCCTCTTAGGACTTTCTCATATTCAAGACATTATATGAACATTGATTTACATCAGCATTTTACCATAAAAAAATTGAAAAATTAAAATAAGACTCATTATACCAAACCCATTTTATAATGTTTTGATGACAAACTTACATCTGTATATGTACATATGTAATCAAATATATTATCTATATAATTTAATAAACATACAATTTGTATCATTTATAAATATGTTTTCAAAAGGGTGTATTGAAGGTGATACACTCTTACTCCCAAAAAGACTTATACAAATTAGATGGTGAACTAAAATTATTTTATTCTTATTCAATAACTACAATACTTACAATACATTACAAAATATGAAATGGGAAAATGTCACATTATCATTTTATTCATTTATTTTTTTGTTAATAAAAATGTGATATGGTTAAGGATGAAATTTGTGAGTATTTATATAGATAGCAATACTGAATAATGACTACCTAAGTGTACCTTGGGACAAACCTTTTTTTTAATGCCCAGACATACCTAAAGTTTTTAATTTTAATTATCATCTTATTTATTTTTTTGCTAGTAGGACATTCTTAGCTCAAATAACCTTTTAAAAAAAAACTATTCAGGTTTTATAGTATTCAAAATTGTAAAACAAATACATTCCAAAATAATAAAAATATAAAATTGTGATAAATAGCTTAATCGAAGTGTATTACATATTATACAAATATATTTCCTATATTTTCCCATTTTTCCTCTTTAATTTAGCATTTAATGAGAAAACTCTTGAGAAAATTGAAAAATGACCTCCCTTAAGTACCCCCCTCCTACACCAATTTTTTTCTATTGTGGCTAATAAATAATACATATGTACATACTTATAATACTATTGTATTTATTTTAGTTTATGTACAACATTTATGTACATATATTTATCGCAAAATTGTAATATTATATTTTATTACATAACTTGAAATTTTGATAAATTCGAGTTAGGTATCTCAAAGTGAACTTTTATCCCCATTCAACTTCGAGTTATCGCCACTCGACTATTAGATTCACAAATTTAATTAACACTAAATATGTTAGGTACCTAACCAAACAATCAATCTGGGTATTAAATAATTAATTGATAAGTAAATGTTATAATTAATCTAATCAATAATTTGTATTATAATATTGTTCACTCTACCTAGATATTAAAAAAAAATTTCTAATTAGTAAATAAGAACGATATAAATACAATTGGAAATATCTATACCTGGTTGAAGTTTTAAGTTATATTATTTAGTTTGAGTTATAATAAATTGTGTACCTATTTTTTTTAAAAATACAAATAACGAACGCACCTTTATTTCAATGCCAGCATCTCTGATATCACATATAAGATTATTGTATTTTAGTTTTTCTTTATCATTGTTTTGATTGAAACTAATGAGTAACGATTTTAAATTATCAACCAGACTGAATTGTACTTTTTGCTTGGGAACATTGCTCAAAGTATTATTGCGTTTTTTTATTATTGAAGGTGTACTCGTGCTAGGTGGTCGTAGGTTATAAGTCCCACTCTTGGGAGTACGATACGATGACATATTTTCTTGCAATATCTATAACATAAGAAAAAAGTAAACAAACAAAACTAGATCAGCATAAGGATCAAAAGTATAGGTACCCAGTTGAATAAAAATAGTAGGTATAGCAGATATCTATTAAATTGTTTCTTAATTTATAAATAACAATTTGATTATCAAAACAAAGATTGCCTTTCTACTAAAAGAGTAGCTTTCTAAATAGACAGAATGATGAATCTATAAGCAATAGAAAGTTATAAAAATTGTTATTTCTTAATATTCTGTTCAATTGTACAATTGGGTCCATCTTCTATACATTAGAATAATTACTGTACGCTCGGTGCCAAATTAAAGAACGAACTATATATAGCAGTTTGACTTGAATTTATACAATACCTACAGAATATATAACACAATTTTTAGTTTGGTATTTTATATTAGTTACCAACATCAAATAAAACTACTAGTCGAACAATTATCAATACTATAATTAATTTTTTAAAATACAAAATTGATTATTAAGGTGATTGACAGTAAGTCCAGCAAAAAACAAATTAAATGTTGAACTCGGTGAGCCGTACAAAATTATACTTGTTTTAATTAAATTTATGGTAATTTTTTTTTTTCTATATAATTTTGGGCTAATGTTAATACTACAATACGGTGGGCCGATACATTCACTCTGCGGTACTGAATAAAACTTAAAGTACCGGAATATTGTGGTTATTAAAGCACATGGCCGGCAATATAATAGTACTGTTAGATAAAAAAAATCTTTTCATACCTGTTATAAAGAATACAATTTAATTACCAATGTTTAAGGTATTTTCATTGAACTACGATGAATTATTACTAATTAAAATTACAAACTATCCAAAAATAACAATCCAAAACAATTTTCGTTCTTCCTCATACGCACGTAAGTAATATGATAGTGACAAGATTAAAAGTTGAAACGCATAAAAATCTCTCCAAAACGACACCGTAACTGCTAAGAGTGGTGAGTGGTGACCACGACTGCGGCAGCTGGAACGTTAATACGTCATAGATACCACAGAGTAGCCACAAAAATAACGTATAACACGTACGCGCAACTACTGAAACGATGAAGTTCGATCGAGAGGCCGGGAACTGTTATCACCCGCACCACGATATAGATAAAAATTCAATAATATTATCTATTGCCGTGCCATGAAAATATGAATACATGATATCGAAATTCCGACATGTTCTATATAACATATAATTTAATTGATTGAAGTAAGATTATGAAACAAAATATTACAAATAGTGCGAGTTTCTAGATAATCACTGTCCACTGATGACATACTAAAATCTGATCAATATTAATCAGTAGCCCATAATTTGTTTTAATTCACAATCTATTTCTTTTTTCAAATGAATATATGAATGGAAATATATTGTGATATTTGTAATTGAAATAAAAATTTCCAACAAAATACTCACTAGAAGAAGATAAACAAATGCCCATTTGGTAGAAAATATTACTCTTGAAAATCTAATCTAAAGATTCTTTATTATCTATGGTTAAACATAAAGTATAATGATGGCTTTATCCAGCGTAAATGTTTTAAGTCCCATAGTCATTTAGATCCCCCACACTCTAGATCCTTTTTATGTCACTTAAATCTTGAGGATCTAAATAGCTGTTCACGAAGATCTAGTTTACTCATAGGGATTTAGTTGACTGGGGAACTAATATTGATCCATGGGGATCCAGTTAAGCATGGGAGATCTAGATGCCCAACTAAATGGTGAATTGTCGCTTTCATAGTTCATACTCTATATTCTATGCGCTATAGGGAGATTCCTTGAAATTCTAATCCCGGAATAATAATCATATAGTAATTAGTTAATAGTCATTTTATTCTATGATAATAACAAAAACGAGCGCGTGTGTACGTGTTCAAAGCTGGTATCATTTTCTTAACCTTTAATACTGATAATTGATAACCGTGAATAATCATGGTGATAAACTGATAACTCGCCGAGAAGAGCCATGGATATGTAATACGTATGAACTAATATATTACCTTTAATCTTATGTAGTCCGTTTTTCAGTTATTAAGTTTGAACTTAGAAGTTTCACATTTCATGACGTGATGGTATACTTAATATTACTGGTCAATAGGTATATTATGCATTGATCTTCACGTGTAAGTATCGTTATAGAATTAGTTTCTGAGCGGAGCGATGATTGTATCGGTTTTACAATGATATTTTTATAATAATTTGAGCAAAACCTGAAACTGTATTATTTTCAATTTTGTTTTTTTTGTTGTTGTTATTCAGTTAAAAATATTAGTAGAGACTTGAAATTCGGACCGAAAACTAATATTTGCCTTTTCAAGACGTGGTAACATTTTCAGAACATTTTAGCCATTTTTGATCTTTTATAGACATTTTAATTTTGCAAGTTTTTTATGTAATTTTTATTCAGTAGGTACTTTGTAGATAAAATTGTTAGATCAAACAAAAATGCTTAAAAATTTACCAGTATGTTCATACAAGTCATAATTTATGACAAGAAAAAAAAATTGAGTGTAGGTTATGTAGAATTTTTTTTTACAAGAATTTTAGTTTCAAATTTTGATGAAAATCGTAAATATTATGGCCTTTTAAAACATGTATACTAGAACTCCGCTCAGAATGATTTTTCGTTACTGAAATTAATTGTTATGTTCAGATATACATTAAAGTCCCCTCTATATCCTATCTTCTGAACTTCTCACCTATAAGAGGTTTTTTGTAGGTATTTTTATTTTGAAGCAATAAATGATAAAACTTATTATAATTATTAATAAATACTTTTTGAAAAATATTTAGTTATGTTTTACAGGGACAAATGACAAATGAGTCTATTTACTTTATAAACAAATACCTAAATTACATTTAAAAAAAATAAATTATAATTTATTTATTAAAGCTGGCGCATACTTATATCTAAACAAAATATATTCAGTAAAACCTCTATAGCAGAATTGTTCGGTACTAACTAATTTTTCCATTATGAGTAGACTTCAATATAGGGATATAGGTTATGCAGAACTGTTGTTTTCTATTTTAAGGAGATTTCTGCCTTAAAGTGGGTCCTTTAAAAGAAGTTTTACTGTAACTAATTAATTATGAAATGATTTTAATTTTATTTATTTATTTTACAGTTACTTATGTCTACTCACCAAGCTCCAAACAGTGGTACTTACCACTTGTGCAAATCTGTAAGTTCACCGTCTATATTGAAAAAATGCGGTGCAAAATCAATCAATAATGTTCCAGGACGTAAAGTACATTTTGATCTATTCAACAACATTAAAATAATGCTCCTAAATTATAACAGAAATAATGATGAGGATAAAATATATTATAATAATCTTATTTGTGACATCAGGGACTCCGCCACAGAAATTAAGGTTAGTTAAATACAATTTAAGAAATAAATAAATATTAAGATTCAAAAATCGAAAATATGACAATAAATCACTTATACAATTTTATAGCTTAAATTTAAAAAATTAAATTATGAATGAGAACTTACGAATATTAATTAAACATATTTGAAAGCTTTTAAGTAAAATACCTACTTATTAACAAGTATATAGCTTTTATTTTTAAATAACTCATCAAAGATAGACATATTAGATATTAACTAAACAATTTTGATTAAAATTTTAAATTCTTAAGCTATATAAATTATATAATTAAGCAAGGCTTTTATGGTGTTCAAACAAGTGAGATTTATACAATTTAGCTGGTACCCATATTTAAGCCTTAAATATTGTTGTTATACCAATTACTATACATTTTCGACATAATATTTTTTGTTTATTCAAATTGATTGATTTACAGGATTTTGAACTTCTAAAGTTATTGCAAGATGCCAGAAATTGTATAAATATATTGAATGAAAACCTTAAACTTTTTGTAAAAGTTATATTGGTAAGAACTTTCTAAAACCTTATTTTAAACAAAAATTGAACATGTATTTTTAATAGATTTTAAAATGGATGAACAGAAGTGATGAAGTTGTCAATGAATATCGTGCATTTCTACTTGAAGTTTGTACTGCACACAACTATTATACAAAATTTGCAATAGAGCAACTTGTTGCATGTTTTTCTCAGGGTAAATATAAAAAGAGTTCAGTATCTTATATCTAGATACTGAAAATCAATGTATTAAGTATCTAGATACTCATTTTGAAGTATCTTGCGCTCATCCTTGAATACAAATCATTTTATGAAATAAAATATTGTATAGTACTATATCATGTTTCAATAATTTTTGTAGTGGATAATGCGGTGTATGATCGTGTCAATAGTATGCCCAGTGAAGAAGAAGAAAGAGGTTATCTAAATGTACATAGGATATTGGATGCTCTTTTGAAGGTCGTACCATTGTAAGGATTTAAGAAACAATACCAAATAAATGCATTTGATTTTTTAATTTTTTTTAATTTTTAATGAATTTTTTTAGAGCAAAAGACTTATTAATGCCAGCATTTCAAAATAAGTTTCCTTACAAGAACAACAGTGCTGACTCACACCTTCATTATGTACATAATTTATTATATGTAACAAAATATGAACCTTCATTAAGAAAAGATATTCTTAGTCTCATTATTAAAAAGTCAGTATATTATATTTTAAACTTGTAGAATATTAATGTAATTAAAATATAAACTATGTTTACAGATTAGTAGAAATTGATGTTCATATATCTAAAGACGAATTAGATAGATTAGAATCAAATGTAAATATTGAAACTGATAACATATTTTCTATGGATATTGATGACAATATTCAAGGGAAACCTAATAAAACAGAAACACAATGTTTTTCACATACAATAGATATTTGTCTACTGAGATTATTTGTTTATATGAAAACAACTTGTCACAATATTGTTGATAGTTTAGTGTGAGTATTATTAGTATTATTACTTTAAATTTAATAATATTTATAATCATACTTATATTTTTACTTTTTTATTTTGTAATATTTAAACTTAAATGGTAAAAATAATAAGCTTTTCAATATGCTCAGGACAGCCAATTGTCTCTTATCAAACTATAAATCATAGTGTGTACCATGGAGATTAGAACTAAGAAGAACATATTTGCATTCTAAAAAACATGTCATTTTTGTTCAAAATAAAATTACTAGGGCATGCAACGGGGGCTAAAATATAACTAAAATGTATATCATTCAAATCAGTTTCCATGAATTATATTTTTAGTAATGTATAGTGTATATTCTTGATTATATTAAATATTTTTAACATATATACAATATATAACATATATAAGGTAGATACTTTTAATTTATAAAGTATTATTCTATTTGTTATAATGTATAATATTTTAATAGATACATAATAGTTGCCTACATTGTATTTACAAGTTTAGGCCTTAATAGTAATAATTAAAGCAAATAGTTTTGGTCACCAAATAATTATACTAGGTAATAAATAATGTGTAACTAAATATAAATATACTATATTTAATTTTATAAACATAGATGAAAACCTGAAAAATAGTACAAATTAATTTATACACACTTTTAATAACAATTATTAATTTTATTTACTTTCAGATTTAAATTTATTCCAATAACTACTATAATATTTTCCAGTTCATTCCAATGAGAAAACATAATATAGGTACGAAGAAGTAAAAACATTGCCTAAAATTATATTATCATGTGCACATTTTTTTAGTCTTATTTTAATTTCATGCGCGATAAAAAATTCTGGAACTTGAAAAATCAACCGAATAGTTTAATTGGTTTTTTAAATTATTTAATGATTTATAATCTTTTTAAGTTTTTTAGATGAACTTATTTTACTCCCAACTGTATGTTATTTTTTTTTTTTTTTTTGTTTTATTTGTAAATTAACTCGGTAAAGTATAAATAGTAAAAATTTATCAATTTTTAAGTGATACCCTGCGTCCTTAAATTGTATGTATGCTTTCATCTAATATATTTGTTATAAAATATTTGTTTATACATTCTAATGTAAAAATTCAGTTTAAATACATTATCACTTAAGAAAATGGTCTGCTCTACTAATAATCTTAGTCCAAGATTGTTTTTCCTCTTCATTTTGTGAAATATAATTACTATTTATTATTTAAATTGAAGTTTCAATTCATAATAGTTATTTTAGGTTAAACGTGTTAGGACATTTTATTTCGTTTTTTAACTTTGGTGTTTAGTTGAATTATAACCAGAAGTGGAGCCTGGTACAAAACAACAAATTTTAAAATTATTTAAAATATTTAATTTAGTGAATGAAACCTAGCATTTATAATTGTATTAAAAATACGAAACAAATTAATTATAATCGTATCAAACATTTGTTTACAAGAAAGGTAGATTGTTATTGTCATTATTTTATTACAATGATGCTTCAAATAAACATGAATTAACCATTAAATAAATAGAATTTACCATCTAATTTAATTAATGCACACTAATTATGACACTGGAATGGAATGCAACCTATCGTTCAACAATGTGAACACGATTTTTTGTTGTTTTTTTTTTCAACTCATTTCTCCTTAGTTTTATTTTTTACGGTGTGTACATGGATTAAGACACAGTTACAAAAAAAAACAAATTATAGTAGTAGATGCTTTCTATTAAGAGCCCCAAAAATGCATATATACAATTAATCTTCCAAAGAGATTATATTAAGAAGTAAAATGTTAAAAGCATGGATAATTTAAAAACAAAAATGTAAAAATTTTTCTCTAGCAAGAGATGAACTTTGCTAAATTTTGATGAAATTTTCAATGAAGGGTAGAGTATTTTCTATGGTATCAGTTAGGCTCTTTATAGGATTTGATTTATAATTCCAAATGTAATTTAATTTTGTTTATTTATAAGTTACCTTGGCAACAAAAAATGAAACCAAATAGTTGTTATTATTTTATTTGATTTTCACAGGCAGGAATGTTTTTAATAATAAATAATGACTATTACTGTACAATTTAATATGTATTATTTAAGAATTATCAATAAAAAATATATATATATATATAGTTGAGGGACATCTAGTAACTAAATGTTAAAAATGAATTGATTGGTTTTTTTTTTTTTTTTTTCAGGTGGGATAACACTAAATCATTATATCATGATTTATTATCAGTTTTTGAAAATGAAATTCTCCCGACATATAACAGTTGTTATATTCAATATGTTATTTACTATTTTCTTAGTTTTAAAATGACTCTAGCCGATAACTTTTCCAATTGGTTGTGGAAAAAATGCTGCGATGTATCATCTCCAATTACTTTACGACAAGCTGCAGCTGGGTATTTAGCTAGTTTTCTTTGTAGAGCTCCATTTGTATCAAATAAGTAATTAATATTATAATTTTTAACTAATAATAAGAATAATACAATTTATGAAAAAGTATTAATAATTAATATTTTTTATTAGTGTATTGAAAAATATCCTCTCTGAAATAGCTTTTTGGTGTAATAACTATATAAATAACGTGGATAAATCAGTTAAAGTAGTTACTGAAGAATTGCTAAGAGAGCATGCAGTGTTTTATTCCATTTGTCAAGCTATGTTCTATATTATTTCTTTTCGTCATCAAGACCTTATGGATAGCAAACGAAGTAAGTTATAGTGTAGTTGAATATATTATTTAGTAAATCATTTTTTTATCTTATATATATATATATATTTTTACAGATCTAAAATTTATGGAAAATTTGAGATTATCCAAAATAGTCACATGTAAATTAAACCCTTTGCGATTATGTTGTTCAAAAGTTGTCGACCATTTTGCATATATTACAAAAATTTATCAGTTAACTTATTGTTATTCAGTAATGGATAGTCACATTAGAATAACTGATCAAACAATCAAGGATGAATGGTTGTATTCTTTTTTTCCATTTGGTCCATATGTTCTTCCAAGGTGAATGTTGTATCTTTTTAAAAATTATTATGTCTGCTAAGTTATTTAATTAGTATAAAACATCAATATATTTATTATTTAATGTTTGTTTTGATTTTAGATCTAAGAATTTGATCACACCTGATTTGTACAGAAATATTGAAATTGATTTTTTGAATTTTTCAAAAACTACAGGAAACATTTCGCATATTGTATCATCCCTTCCTGATAATAATATGGATATTAGTCCAAGTATGGTATTATCGCCTTCACCTGGAAAAATTGATTGGTTAGGACAATTTGTTTATGATAGTAATAAACCAATATTTCATCAATATTATTTTACTTTGTTATTTTTTGTACTACCTTGACTAACATCAAAATTAATAATTACTAACTATTTACTCTTAAGCTTAAGTATAAAATAATCAAATCTTACTTTATTTGCTTGTAAGTAATATTATTCGGTATCAGTTTGTCTGATTATATTTTTGTTTTTTAATCTGATTTTAATATTACCAAATAATGTTTTCTTCTTTCTCTCCTTTATCTTCAGCCCAACTATTTGGTGTTGATCACCTTTGTCCTAAAGTTCCACTTGACCTGATCCTTCACCTCACATACACTAGCTGTTCTTGAGAGTCATCATATTATTTTAAATCAAACCCAAAAATCTCTTTTACGGTCTTCCTCTTCCTTCTTTCCTCCTATGTTTATTTGTATTGCCATTCTTACTGTTTTTTATTCCTTCCCTCATGCCCAAACCATCTGTCTATTTTCTCTCATTGTTATATTATCTAAGTCACGCAAATAATATATCTCATATAATCGTTCCATATACTATCTTCTCTTGTCACTCCACTCAGTTATCTAATCATATTCTCATCCCTGATACACTCATTCTCTTATTTTATTTTTCTGTCTACAGCCTAACACTTCAAATCATACAACATAGTTGGTCTTACCACACTCCTGTAAAACTTGCCTTTAACGTTCATTAGATTTCTCTTGTCACTAAACACCTAAAGCTTTTCTTAACATTATCACACTTAATTTTATGTACACATACGCTCTTTTCTTTTATTTCTGCATATGTCTGATAATGTGACAATTCACCCTAGCCTTGTTTTGAACTCTTCAAACTATTTGATAGGATTTTGAATCAGCTATTGACCTGATCCAACGCCATTTGTTGCCACTTAAGACAGATAATGTTAATAAATATAAAATTATGGAAGTGTTTTAAACAATGACTACCCATGAGAAAAATGTCATATAAATAAGGAATTGTTAAAATTTTTAAAAACAAAGAATAATACCTAGGTTATCTATAAACAATGATTGGAAGGAACGGATTCAAAGGAACTTGTTCCTTTGTCAGGAATTTATCGTAAACAGATCTATGGAAGATCCGAGTATTGAAATTTTGTTCTATTATTGGAAGAAATGAACAATTTTTTTAACCAAATTTTAATTATTTTAATGGCGATTAACATTTTTATTTCACATTTATTAATAATATAATTTTATACATATATAACTGTCCCAATTGTCTCCTTTAAAGGAAAGTAATGTGTTTATGGAGTTTAAAATATATTAAAATTTAATAAAAAAAATATATACAAATTAATAATGTTTATTTTGTATATAAGGAACGAAGCTATAGTTTTTTTCTTCAATCCGGAAATAAGTCTGGAATTAGTTCTATTTTAAATAGATGATCATGAACTAATTATTTTTTAAAAGGAATTTTCCATAGGTATTTTATAATCAAATTTCGTATTTTAATTTTTCATTTTATATGTAATTCACAAGATGAATATGGTAACGAATTAATTACTGATTAGGTATTGCATGTCGCATTTAGAAAATTGAGCTTATTACAAGTTAGTTAACTAGCTATAAATAAAGCTCTGAACCATTAAATATAGATTTCTATTTCTTAACGTTCACTCAAAATAATAAGTACATTTTACAAAACTACAGAACAGACGATCTGTAGGATCGATTACTTTGTGTTTCTGTTTTTATTTTTAAAATGTTAATAGTAGATATCTACCATTAATTTTGTTGTCAATTTCAAAATATTAAACGAAAGACACGCACTTTACTGCGCAAGTAAAAAATATATCGCGACCAGATGGCGCAGCGGCACGCCATTGATGATAATGTTTTCACGTTATCGATTATTTATTACAACACGGTTGTTTACACTCGGTTTGTGGCGTTTGTGCGGCTAAATCGTATCAGCATCCGTCACACCGTAGCGTTGTTAAATGTTGACCATCTTTAATCTTACGTCTTTGATAGTTTAATTTCTTATTCACGCAATTCACGAGGATTTTCGTCTTCGTTCTCCGAAGTGCGAAATCAGTGGTCAATCCGCAACTGTCGTCAACGGGCACAGTTTTAGTCTGGTGCCCCAGCAACAGCGTCCAGAGCCCGTGGTGTAGTATAATATTATGATGTCTCGGTCAGTGCGTGCGGAGACCAGAAGCCGGGCCAAAGATGACATCAAGAGAGTCATGCAAGTTGTGGACAAGGTCCGCCGATGGTAAGTCCGCAAATATTCTTCTCCCGTTTTACACAAACCTGACCATATTGTGTTCTCTCTGTCTTCTGATGAAGTTTTTTTGTCCAGTTTACTATTCGTACAATTTATTTGATTTTCTGAATAATTGCCCTTCTCACTAACATAATTTTATGGTTTTTAAATTAAACTGAGTTTATAAGATAACTGATCAATCGTGGTCAGTCATAAACTCCATTTAAAAATCAGATAAACAAATTAGTCTATGTTGGTGAGAACAACACTACATCTATTTCAATTAATCCTATTCTATTTAAATTTTCCTAGTTTTTATGTCAGGTACTATGTAATAGTTAGTATCAGTTGACTACACCGAAAAATTATCTCTGTATACCATAGATTTTGTCCAAATGAAGGTACTGGGAATTTAAAAAATGACTAACTAGAACAAAAATATTTCCAGAAACCCCTTGTAATGTTTTTGGTTTGGAGCAAATCTTGTTAGAAAATCCACATACCTACCTGAATAGATAAATACATTTTCAAAATTGAATAATATTTCATATATATTCAGTATGAAATTAATTTACATTCTGATGTTGGTTGAATAAGGAACATTTATAATATTATGTTATAAAACAAGACAAAATAATGTTTTCTTTTTATTACCTAATCAAGAAAAAACATTGGTTTGAACACATTTAACTTTCCTAAATTAAATTAAATGTTTATGAACAAAATGAAAAATGTATTCAGTATAAATATTAATATAATTTACTTTTTCAGGGAAAAAAAATGGGTTACCATTGGAGAAACTACCATGAAAATATACAAATGGGTTCCCATAATATCCAATGATCAGGTTGGTATTTTTACTTTAAATTAAATCATACTGTCTTTTTGTTCTATTTGAACTGTGAACCGAAGGAAATTTGTTTCCTATTTTTCCCTCTGATCCCTATCATTTATTGGATAACAACAAAACAATAACAATTTCAAAAAAGTACTTCAGCAGCATGTGAGAGAAGAGTGGAGATCTGCCTCTGCTTTCCCCAGTTCACAATAGTAATAAGATTGACATTCCAATAAAATAAACCTCTAAAAAGTTTTTTATTTAATTACTGTTTAAGGAAATTCCACGCTGTTGCTCCTGTCCACCATTATACAATTATACTACCTATAGTATATTAGTTGAAATTAACCATTTCTTAAATGTTAGTTTTAGATTAAAGTTTAATAGGCTTTTTCCAGGCTTAGTAACTGGTGTAATAATAATAATAATATATATACATTACACCTACTTATATAGTTGACATGACTTGATTTTTAATTTTGATTAACAAAAAATGAGAATTGAATTTGTAAATTATTGTAGTGTTAATTTAAGAATGTTAATATCTTTAAAATACTAGGTTAGGTTTTTCACGACCTTTTTAAAACATTGGTAAATGTCAATAACTACTTAAGGAAAAATGTTACAACCCAATAAACAATGTAGTTCTAAATATCTCTTAACTATATAGAATAAAATATTAATCAAGTATGTAAATTACTAATAAATGCAATTTTTAAAGAATGTATACTGTTTTAACAAAAGAAAGAGCTAATACTGCTAATGGGTGCCCACCGTTGTGTGTGAGAAATGGGGAAGATAGGATACATAGTTATTTAATTTACATCTGTACGCAATGATAAATCATTGTTGACAAAATATGATTCTGAGAATATTTTGGTTAAACAGGCCGTGTTTAGTGTTCCAATATTACTCATAGTTACTTCATCACATCCGTTCATTTTTATTAACTAAACCAAATTTTGATACACTTGATAGTTACGCGCTAACATAGTTCCATTGCTTAAAGTTGTTTACCATCTGTATATGGCCTTCATTTAATACTACTATATATTATTTTCATTGGTTCTTGGAACCTAAATAATACATAGAAACATAACAAAATATTATATGATATAATTAATTATTATTGCTCTCTAGAATTTCAAGATTTGAGTTCCCATACTCTATTTTATTTAAATACATACAGAACATTTTTAATTAAACTAATAGGTATGCTAAGAACAAAGATCTCAAACAAAGTTATCTTTGTTATTTTGAATGGAAATTTGTACCAATATCACTTGAGAAAACTGACTTATGCTCTGTTTTAATGGCTCAAAAAATTATTAAAGAATTTGATTATATCAATATTAGATAAAATAAAAATTGTATGAACAAAATGTCAGGAAATTATTTTTTCGTGTCAAGTATACAACATAGTACTATACTATTTTCAAAATAAAAATGTACTGTGCCATACATCCAAACAGTGCCAGATGTTCTGTGATGGATTTTTAATAATTAGTAGAGACATGGCCACACACGAACCAATTTTTTTTATTGATTTTTTTTATTAATACAACCTGGTGTTAAGTCAATTTATGTCAAATGTTGGTTTTGCAATTAGACAGTTATTTTAACTATTTAAGACAATATATAAATTTATTAAACTTTGTAATTTCTGGATTTAAAACTTTCTGTTTTTCTGAGCTTTCCAAATGTGATATTTTGGAAGTTCAGAAGGGTGCCTACTACAAAAGTCTTGAAATATTTGTTTACATTAATACATCAATTTCACACACTACAGTAAAGTTACAGCTTTGACTTAAATAATGTACGGTTTTAAAAATAAATACAATACTTATCACCATATTTCCTACCTGGAAATATGAGGCGGAGGTCCATGACTCATATTGACTTCCGTGTGTTTTGTTTTGCAGAAAAAAAAGTCCAAAGAACATTCTCATGCGAACAAAGAAAACATGTTGGGCAAAAGACCGATAGAACCAACACATACAAACTTCTCGATTGCCGATGATTCAAACACGTGTAAGCAATAAATATTAACTTAATGATTAATGATTTATTACACCGCAAGTGAATATAATTTAAACTAATTTTTATTTGCAGCATTTTCTGTTAGCGATTCTCATTCTCAAGAACCAACTGAATTTGCTACCCAGCTGGGTTTCTCAGAAGACTCAAATTCTCAGAGTAGCGAAGCGCCTCCAACTAAAAAATTGAAAACTGAATTGCTGAAAACAGAATTATTGAAAACTGAAAAAATTGAATGAGGAGTTGACCTCCTATGGCTCTATCCCTTTGATACATTTTTTTATTTGTTTGTGTATTATAATTTTTTTTTTCATGTAAAAACACATTACTACCTACCTACCTCTATATGTGTTAATATTTATATTGAGGTGGAAAACATTTTTCCGACGTGAAAAACGGTAACTTATTTGGTTATATGCTGACACCTTCCTTCCATTGATGAAAACTCATTCCTCTGTGTTGAATTTTTTTTTATATATATTAGAAGCAAATGTGAATTTGTGTAAATATTACCTTTAAGTCACAATTTTATTTATATTTAATTTGTATTATTTTTATTTTGAGTGAAAAAAACAATTAATCATAAATAACAAAATAATATAATTTGATATTTTTAATGTTTATATTATTATAGTAGTTATTTTGGTTTAAGAATGATTTAAATGTATACCTTGTTGCATTTACACCAGTTACTAAGCCTGGAAAAAGCCTATTAAACTTTAATCTAAAACTAACATTTAAGAAATGGTTAATTTCAACTAATATACAGTACATTTTAAAGAATTTTCCATTTTTCACAATCATTATCGGAAGTATATTTATTGTGTAATCATGAAATAATCTAAAATGTTATGGAAAAATCATCTTGTGAGAATAAAAACTCCAAACCCCACCGTTAAAAATATCAAATTAATTTTATGTTTTATATAATATATTTATAGGAAAAAATGATCTGGGTTCTCTCAGTTTTTTTTTTTCTAAAATCTTATACCCAAAATATTTTTGTATAAGTACATACCACCTAATTTATATACATATTTTTTTTTTAAATACGCTTATAATATAATAAAAATAAAGAACTGATCCTGAGGGCCACTGTTGTAGGTTAGTTTGGAGCAAAGTTTGGTTACACTTGTTTTGAAAAACTAATATTTAAAATTTTCGTCAAAATTTAATATTAGAATTATTAAAAAAAGAATGTTATAGAAAACACAAATTTTTTCTACCACTTAGCATGACTTATAATAAACCTATCCTATTTCAAACATTTCTGTTAAGTCAACAATTTATCTACATAATACCTACCAAATAAAAATTACACAAAAAACTTGCAAAATAAAAATTTCTATAAATTATTCAAAAATTACTCAAATGTTCTGAAAGTTATACCACGTTTAGAAAAGTAAATATGAGTTTTCTGTTAACACTTTAAATTTACGAAAATTTAAAATTGAATTACATAAAATTTAAAATAATAACAATTTACAATGAAAATCAAAAACCGATTTTCTTGGTCACCTAGATTAGAAAACATCGTGTTAATATAATAAAATCAATGAAAACGGTAACGCCACGGCGTGCCGCATATATTGACCTACAATTTTCTTTCGGGTTTTTCCCAATTATTTCGAAAACCCTTAGAAAATTAAAAATTGACCTCCCCAGTGCATTAACTAGAGAAAATTACCATACAGAAAATATGCTATACTTTTGAACGAGTTTTTTGGTAGAAAATGTTTTCACAGAGAAAAAAAAAATGCACACGTAGTAAAATCAATAGATTCCTATAACCAATAGCTACGCTCACAATTTTAAAAAAACACTGATAATAAAACAAGGGTATTCTTGAAAATGTACTATCAATAATGGAATGTAATAGGACTAATCGCTATAAATCTATAATAAATATATAATAAACCTTAAGAACTGAATACCTTTGGCTACTAATACTTATCTTAATACGTAGGTACCTAAAAGTATTCTAAAAATCCAAATTAAAACGATTACTATAATAATAAAAATCAATGTTTTTATGTGCGTGATACAGACGAATCCATCCCCATAGGTCTAAAAAGTAATCACAGAGAAGCGGGTCCGTGTATATTCGATTTACAGGCCGTAGGTATTTTTGAATTTCAACCTGTAAAGTGTGGCTTATAATATGATTTTTGGTATTATATTGAGAAAACTAAATAAGGATGGCAATAACGATAACTCCTTCAAACAAATTGTTCAAGGGCTTCGATATCATTTGGTGTTGTGCTAATTTCACACTAGCCACTAATTCGCCTAAAACACAATGAAATTTATAACTAATCCACTGATGTATGATAATTATGAACATTTACATTTATATCTGTGGGCTAATCACAATAGGATTTTAAATTTTTAATACGACAATGTAGTATGTAGTGTCTTTGTTTTATGTTCACGCCATAGACTTCTTCATATACACGGCACATTCGCCCCGCGGATCGGGACTTTGAGGGGCGTGATCAGTCCGAACGGATCAAGAGAAATGGGCTAATATAAAGCCTTATTTAAGCGAGATCAAATTTGCACTTCGAGGACAGCTAATTAAAACAATCGGTTTATTAACTCACGTGTTCAGTCCTCGAAGTGAAAATCCACACACCGGAGTGCATTTTCATGCTGAATGTTCCGTCTATAGGAAAAAAAAAAATAGGTGTATATGTCTATGGTTACTGCATACATCGTCAGTTGGGGTGGCAAAACTGCTCCAGTCATCGAGACGCTCGCGCGCCGCGCCTCACCATAGAGTATTGATTTATTTTGTTACAACAGGAAACGATATTTTATTTCTTTTTTAATAATAAATATTTGTTTAAATTATGTTCATAAAAAATTCTTTATAATCATTTCAAATGTGCTCTATTTTGTTTAGTTTTATTTTATTGAATGTTTATTTTAATTGTATGGATATATTACAGGATTGCATAAGAATTGTACGGACTATAAACTATAAAGGTTGTATGATATAACATATTGTAATTGTCATAAAATAGTAAAATAATACTATTATAATTGAGGCGCCTAGAAAACAATGGGTATAAGTAATATTTTTAAAAATCTGAGTTAATGACTTGTGTACTTAACGACACAGTGAACTATACATTTTTTAATTTAATTTTTTGGTAAATAAATATTAGTGAATTATCATTTATTCATCATGTACTGCGATCTAGTATCGAATACTAGATTGTACTAAAATACTCTTTAAAATTAAAATTCCAGAGTAGATTAGATGTACCTAAATCATAAATATATTAATAAATTATTTATTAGTATATCTGCGTCCATAAAAACTGTTAAAACACTTAATATGTTTATTTAATGATAACTATGTCTTATCAGCATTCCACTAAGTGAGGCGAATTAATTTCCAAATTGTATCACTGTTAAATTGAGCGCTGCCCTACAGATTTATTTTAAGGTTATGACATTACTTTAAAATAACCTTGATGACACATTACTTTAAAATAACCATTAACCACAGATATGTATATTATTGTATGCTTAGATACGATGTCAGCCGCCAATTGTAAATAGGTAAATATTTGCTAAACTAGACCTTTCTTTGAAATAACTATAGGATCTATCTGCGTACATAATATTCACAATTCCCATATTTCTAATTATAACAATTAAATAGTTTTTGATATTTTCTTCAAGTGAATTATTAAAAGATTCATTCAAGGAGTGCGTTTTAACAAGTACTTATGTGTATTTTTGTATTTTAACGAGTTTTATATTTTAAACATAGGTATTTAAGTTTTTGAAAATTTGAAAAAATTTTTAATTTCTGTTATCTTTCTTTTATTTTATTTTTTTCTTGTGAAAATTGCCTCATCCTCATACTTATATAATACATCACAGTTTATCCCCACCATGACTTGGACATGAGAAATTTATTGTATTTTCTACATAATATCTGTGATAAGTTCAAATACATGCGTGGATGAAGAATGGTTTATGAAACTATATACGATTTTTTTTTTATGAAATTAAAAAAGAAAATGTTTGGATATATCAATCGTCTCTTCGTTTATATGTTAACTGATAAAGAACACATTTTTTTTCAGAATAATTTTGTGGTCATACAAAAGCTGACTTATAAGTATTGCAATCACCAATGTACTTCAACATTTATTTAGATTCTCTATAAAAGTAATTTACTGATTTTTAATATTTAATAACATTTTACATATAATAATTAATGGTAAATGTATCACAATATTTTGTTACATACCAGTTAAATATATATTAGATAATCTATTACTTCAGCCTCTGTATAATTGTGTTCAACAACTTCATCAAATAACCTATTTTTTTCTTCAATTATTTTATTAATTTTTACTCTTAAGTTTTCAACTAAATTTTGCTTTTTTGATTCATTGATAACTTTTTCCATATGGACACCTATCCACACCTGCATGTCAAATATGTTTACTGAGAAAATAACATTTTATAATTTATCAACAATATCCTTTGATCTTATTAATTGGTCATCCCGAAAATGTTGCTGCCAAGTGTCTAAACTCCAAAAACCATTTTACCATTCGAATACATGAACAGCGATGATATTACAATGTACTACGAGCTTAGATCATATACTATGTAGTATGAATGGAGCTACTGCGTGATAAACGCCTAATACGAGTTGAAGACATTATTATTAACGAGTGCTAAGGAGGACCGATGTCTATTGCGCGTGCGTATCAGTACTCGTCGCATATTTATCGTATAATCGTTATAATACCACCAAGCGGTGATGGTAGGTACGTCACACGTAATCACGTGAATTCGATCAATTGCGCGTGATGTAAATTTTGCGCTTACACATTTGACTCCCGACTCCTCTTAGTTACGTTTGCTTCAAATATTTAGTCAATAGCTCTATCGATAGTGTATGATCTAAGACTACGAGTATTAAATTAGGGCTATGAATTGAATGCAGTGAAAAACCTTAATAATGCATTAAAATATGCATTTAAGGTCTCATAAAGTACAATGTAAAATGCACTTAGAATGGTTTTTTTTAGTTTAATTTTTATATTTATTTTGATATTACTGATATCGATATATTGCAAGCCCACAAATAACTAATCTATCGTCGATTTGTTTAACAATTGTTTTCGGATTTTTGTACTCATATACCAAAAGTTTCTTCGTCCTTGGGGAATCGATATCTTATGGTGTATTTATCGGTATATTATGTTGTATCATACCCAATAACAACACAATTGTTGCAAGGCATATTATTGTTATTTAAAAAAAATAACTAATAAATGTACGGAACAATAAATGTAAATCCATGTAATGATATTCTGACGCATTTCATGTCAAACACAAAATTACTAAAATGAATAAAGTCTAAAGCATGGTTTTAGATAGAATGGTTATACTTGCCGGTTATACTTGAGGTTATGTAATTATGTTATGATATCAATATATATTATATCCATAGATATTAAACATATGAATATCTATGATTATATCACAGTATTGTACATGGCCTTATCATTAACACGAAAATATTTTTCACAAATTACATTATTATCGACATTGTTATTTAATATAAATTATCGACTCCCAGGGACTTAAACCATTCATTTTTAATGTTATTATTTTTTGAAATAGAAAAAACTGAGCTTTTTATTTTTATTGCGTCCAAATCAACATATAGCACCCAACAATATTTCAAAGGAAATTATAAGTATTTAAAATACAATTAAAGATAAAATGATAGACAACAAAATGTATCTTTGTATACAACAGTAGTGAATAACAATACTCGTATTATGTATATATCAAAATATACACTAACAATTATTAAAATTTTGCGAGATTCCAGCAGATCATGTAATTAATAGTATTATATTCAATAACCTCAACAATTATAACCATCAGGGCACGTGAGTAAAATCTGAACTAAAATTGTCTCAATAAGCGAACATCTGATAAGGACAATTCGTTGGACAATTCTTAGATAGTGATACACAGTATACTGTAAGGGAAGAGTCTATTGATTACCATTATGGTTATATGCGGTTTATGATTTTGGTTTAAAGGTGCTTCCACAGCTTACTATGAAACGTGAAATATTCTAGGACTGTGATTGGTTAAACCATATGGTTATTATGTAGTGGTAAATCAATGGTCATCATTTTTGAATTTAATACCTTCCCTCTACCGCCTATATCGGATAGTTGAATTCAATCCTATTCGAACTGTGTGTTCACAACAGTTTAATGATAATGGATCAACTATTTAAATTGTATCAATCATTTAATAAATTACAAATTGTAAATTATCACGTTTCACGTTTCATGGTGAGCTGTAAAGGAACCTTAAAGGAGAGTCCTCGACTCAACGTGTAGTTTAGTTTCGTGTGAAATACTCTTTACTGATTAGCTCATATTTATTTATTTCGTACGGCATGAGTCTCAAACACATAATACACTATTCACTTTCTAACTGTAACAAATATAGAATAATAAAATAAAACAAAATAAAAACAGAACATAAGGTTCTGGTAGTACACATATAGCTGTTAAATATATTATATAAATTGTAAACACAAGTAAAATAAAATAAATCAACATATAATAATATTGTTATAAATAGTAGTTAATTATAAGTTCTATTAGCCATTCTATTGCCTCTTTGGTAGCTTTGTGGATTCCTTCAGTCCCTTGTTCGAATGACCTTCTGGGACACGATTCCACGATGTGTTTCATGGTCTGTTCCACTTCCCCACAATCACACGCTGCACTATCTTTGTAGCGCCATTTGAATAATAAAGATCCACATCTTCCCTGTCCTGTCCTGATCCGATTTATTGGTTTCTTATCCATTGGTTTCTTGGTAGTGACATGCCTTCTATTTTTTGGTCGGGTCTAGTAATAAGATCTTTATTTGTAACATGTGATTTTGTCCACTCTTCATTCCATAATGTACTACTATAAAATTGTGTGTTGATTAAGTTCTTTGTGTTAAGCCAGGTGGTTTTCTGGATTTTAGTCTATTTATCGGTTTATCCCTTAGCATTTGGAACAGTAGTGACTTTTTGTAGTTTAGGCATAAAGTTATAGTGTTGACTAGAGCCTCTTTCCTCCGGATGTGGGGTGGTGCTATATTTGTCAGCACTGAGAGCCAAGGTGTTTGGGTTGACTTTACCGTGCCACTAATAATCCTCATTGCGTTGTTGAGTTCAGAGTCTATCCGAGTTACGTGTGCACTATTGATCCACACGGGGGCTCCATATTCAGCTGTGCTATAAACAATAGCCATTGTAGCTGTCCTGAGTGATATTGCATTAGCTACCCATCCTGTACCTGCAAGCTTCAGGATGAGGTTCACACGAGATTTCACCTTCTTAGCACTATTTTCTATGTGTTTCTTTAAAGACAATATTCGGTCCAGTGTTATACCTAAGTATTTTGGAGTGAAATTGTGGTTCAATTGTACATTATCAAA